TTCAAGCCGCAATTTACTGCACACTTGCATGGATTTCCTTCCTTGGAGCTTGGCCACACGCACCCAGGTTCCGAGGCTTCGTCGGCCTTCTTGGCTCCACAAATTCCTCAACGAGACAACTTGGTTCCTCTTTTCAGTTTGCACCACCGATCATTCTGCTGGAGCAGGATAATTGTTTTTCTTTTGATAATTTCTGTTATTTTCTTGCTGCCATTTCAAACGAATCCACTGTCCTCATGTCTCTCGGGATACACCATAGTCCACTCACGTTTGTAGTGATTTCTGTGAACAGGATTCCTGGTCATTGGAGATCCGTATATGCGCGTGGAAGATTATTAATTTTCTGATGAAAGAGACCTCACGCTTGAAAGCAAAATGACCCAACGATGCATGATAACTGGAACTCTTCCAAAATTTCGAAAGATGGATTCAAATGGATGGTCCAGCTCCACGACTCAGCTGGACGTAAGTGGCTCTAACCAAGTCTCTTCGTACCGCAGTCAATGATCGTCTCCATGGCTGTCACAACGAGGGATCGATCAACCTACTGGCCCAAGCATCGACTGGAACCTTGATATGAGATCTCGTTCCCTTGGGATTCGAATGTCGTCAAAGCGGTCACCTTCATTCTTTGTGTCATCGAGCCGAGAGTCTCAACGTCAATGGAAATTTGGCTAATCTTCCTTGCGCCTCGCTGGCTCTCTTCACACTCGATCTCGCTGATTTCAGATAACGCGCAGTCCACTTGCACCTCCACTTCGGCCCGCTACGTATACCAACATGCACCTGAGAGTTCATCGTGCAGCTTTATGCAATAATAGACTCAATTGGAACATGAATTCGAAGAATACGCAATGATGTTTTTTCCGTACTGTTCTTCTTCACTTCATCTCGTTGAAATCAAAACGTCGTGTACATTCAATTACAATTTGCACGAATAATTCCACTGACTGTATTCCAACTTCTCTCGCAACTGGTTCTGTGTATACAGATCTAAACCTCACTAGTATATATAATTCAAAATATATTCTTATTTCTTATTTATCCAAATTAATAATCATGATAAAAATTAACCTGAAAATGAGGGACAATGCATTTTACAAATGATAATTAAATAAATTTTAGCTGAAAATCATTAATAAATAAGCTAACATGAAACATTTTTATTTTAAAATAATTAAATGATAAGATTATTTGAAAGTTTATTATCGCGTGTCCCGGGCCAGATCTCGTCGTGGATTGAGAGGACAACTCGACAGGAGACTTGCGGGTGAGAAAAGCCTTCGCCATCTCTGACACGACAATTTCTCTTTCAACGAGGAAGATGCCACCGAGAATTCTGAAGAGAACGAACGAGATAGTCATTTGACCACACTAGCGAAAGCAACTACAAATAACACGCATAGACAGCAATCATCTACAATCGTTGCATACATGGATCTCCTCAAGTAGTTATTGATCTTTGGTGTAACACGAAAAATTTAATAGTACGGAAATATTAATAAAGACTTCAATGTTAATATGTTACGAACTATTGGAATCATTCCGAATAATTATTTTTTTATCTAAAAACATAAATTCGTATATAGATTCAAAAATTACAAGGACACCTATGTGCATTGTCAAGTAATTGAAACATACATTACATATTTAATTTCTCAAGAGACATGATTAAATAAAGTACACAAGCTCAAATTATATAAATCACCTCACGTAAATTCAAGTTAATGTGAACTTGAATGAATGTGAAATGGAAGTTCACATTAACGATTCATGACTAGATTTATTTATTTTTTCAAGAGACATGATTTAAGTAAAGTACACAAGTTCAAGTGATATAATTAAGCTCAAATAGATTTACGTTCACAATAATGATTCATGAGTAAACTCATTACAGTACTTATGACCACAGAACCTAATATCTTCAATTCCATCAAGATTATATTTACAAGACTATCATATTTATTTAAATATATTATTTCTTCACAACGAGTGTTTTCAAAAAATTAACTATAATTACGATAATACAGATAACTCAGTTAATAAATTGAATTTTCGATAAAGAAGAAATTCACAAACCTCGAACTGATCTTTCTTAAACACGTGAGATGTAATTGTTCTATAATGAAGGTTCTACTACAGCTTCAATTTATTATCAACTGTATATTTACCCAACTTACGCATATAAATTCCTCCATTACAAATAAGTACATGAGGGTTTAGGTTTCGTTCAAGGGCATGGAGAAGTTCCGAAAATATAGAAGAAAATAAAGTGAACCAAAAAATAACATAAACATTTTCCATTTAGATGCTAGATTGAAGTATAAATCTCCGATTAAATTATCCATCCAAAAGTAATCACATTAATAGCACCATATGTATAGGGTTTGGATAATGGATAGATAAAATTCTGAGGGATGCTTGCGAACCAATTCTCGATCTGAAAATTCTGGTATAATCTTGGGGCGAGAAGATATATCTAGTCAACAGAAGATCGAGGTGAGTGAGTGAGTGAGTGAATGGTCGGTGTACGCGGGAACAATCTGATAAGGCGAGGAGGAACGAAGTAAGAATGATATTGTGACAAAGAACTTTAGGAGCAGATTTACAGAACGAAGATTCCATCGAGTGAGAATTCGGGAGAGAATTCTGTCCCCGATTCCATTCGATCTCTCTCTTCAAATGCGCCAAGCGGCGGAGGGTATGGAGACGAGGAAATCTTGTCCGAGATCATGATTGAGGGAGGGAAAGCAACAGAGACACAAACGAAGAACGGACGCATGCATGCAAGAGGTCGAAGACGGTTGCAGGAGCAACAGCAAAAGCGAAAGAAGACGAAACAAAACGCAGAGAATCATGCCACGGAAGGTACGAGGCAGGTCCCGGAACAACGAGGAACAATATTCGTCGACAACCGTGCCCATGGCGGTGCGACTGACACTCGGAGGCCACGAGAATCGATCTCTCGATCGATCGATCGAACGAACGAAGGAACGAACGAACGAATCAATCAATCGACCGATCGCGCTAGAGGAGACGACGACGACGACCGAGAGAGCTACCCGGCGCTCCTCGTCACTAAGGGCTCCTCAAAAATGAGGGAACGCGACCTCTGCCCGCAGCCCGACCCCCCCTCCTCACCCGGGCCCACATCCCGACCCCCTCCCCCCGCAACCAGACACCCTCCCCCGCAGCCCGACCTCCCGGTTACTAGTTATTAGTTGTGGAGACCCTCCCGCTTTAGCTCGCCCATCGGGCTCTTTCTCTCGCGGCCTCCCTTCCCCGCAGGGAACTTGTACTTCGTAGTTTTTTCCTGCCCCATGCCCCAATTCTCCTCCCCTCGCAAAGGGGAGGAGAAATGAAGTAGCATGTTTGGGGCTTCCATTCTTCTTCCCCCAAAAAACAACTAGGTCTTTTTCTTTCTAAAGCTTTAGTTTCTAAGGAAATTATCTCTCTTCAATTTTTATATTTAAGTAAATCTATTCATCTATCAACATGATGGAGAATCACAAGAGAAGGTTTTGAAAGATTTTATGAAAGATTTCACAAAAGCAAAATTATAAAGTGATAACAAGATAAATGAAAAAACTCAAATCATAAATTTTATTTCACAAAAATCTCATGGTCACAATTTTTGCAAAAAATAGAATTTCCTCCTCTGCAAAAAAGGAATCTGATAAGCTGATAATCCGAATCGTGCTCTTTTCCCCACATGAAGTTAGGTAACGTCTTGACGAAAGTCTTAAATATCGACGATTATATCCACTCTGGAGAAGACTCGCCCGTAATAATTAAGTTGGCAGCTACCTGAGGCGGAAAAAACACACTCAATACTCTCATTCTCTGAACTTACATGGCCAGACGAAGGACATAATTCTCAACACCATTGTTGGGCTCGATTGTTATTGCCAGCGTTTTTGATTAATCAGAAGTTTGATTTTTCCGATTTACTGCTTGAACGCAGCGCCTGCCTGCGTCTAATTTTTCCAACCAAATCTCCGAAATGGAAGACATGACATACCTCGCAATACATTTGTCGTTCGCAGTTCTCTTCAAACGTGGGACAGAATCAGAAGGGGCTGGACTATTTAATAAAATTTAATGTAATTTAGCGTGAAGGACTCGGTGACTGGCATTGGCAGTGGACAGTGGACGCAGACATTTTGCGAAGGGACGGGAAAGGGAAAGTGGAGTGATCGGGAGGCGGCCATCGCTAGTCGGGCTGGGGGAAGGGGGGATGGGGTCGGAGGCGGGGAGGTCGGGCTGCGGGCAGAAAGCCCGGGCGGGCAGAGGTCGCGTTCCCTCATTTTTTAGGAGCCCTTAGTGACGAGGCCCGGCGCTCCCGTCCACTGACGGCTGCCATGCAGTGGGATCACGGGAGGGACTGGAGCGGCGACCGCGTGAGACGCTCTGGAATCTATTAATAGAAGGAGCGGACATCTCGAGGAGGAGGTCCTGACGGATTGGGAAAGATCCGGCCGTCCATAGTGCGAGCGAGGAGACGGGAAATTCCGGCGTGGGCTCGGACGCTCCGCACTCCCGCACTCCCGCAACCATGCGGCCGTCGACGTTAACTTCGATGAGATTCCCCTGCTGACGGACTCACTGACGGACTGACAGAGTCTAGCTCACCTGCTACGACGGGAATCTCTTGTCCGCCCACCTCGTGGCCGGATGGATGCCCGAGCGGCTCGGTTGACGACGCTGTGCCACTGGGCTCCAGCTTCCGACACCGTGGCAGCTGGCTGCGGTTAACCCAGGGGGCCGCCGTGGTAACCCACGGGAGAGGGCACGGTGGGTGGAGCGGAACGGAGCGACAAAGTCTGACACGCGGGCGGGACTGTACGAGATGTCCGAGCTTGCGATCCGAAAGCGCACGTGCTCAATTGTCCACCCGGGCCGGGCGGCCCCACCGCTCTCGTCGCGGCCCGGCCCGTCCTCTGCAGGGGCGTGAGTGCGAAGATTCTGCTCAGTCGTGACTCGGACACGTCGTCCTGACTGCGCACTGTAACTCGCGCTCGCTCGTCCCCCTCGCAGTAGCTCTTTCGTCTTCTTCAGCGCGAGAGTCTATTTAGCTCGTGCCTTCTCTCCCTCTCTCATTCCGGCTACGGAAGTTCTCATCGGGACTTCCATAGCTTCGTTCACTCACACACTCATTCTTTCATTCAGTCAATCAATCAATCCATCATTCTCTCTCTCTCTCTCTCTCTTCTCCTCACTGGCACAGACTCAGAAATTAGTCAGTTGTGCTGCCAGTGCAGAGGCAGTCTCTAGATGCTGCAGCAATTCGAGCAGAATCGTAGACAGTGTGTGGCACAGACTCAGAAATCAGTCACTTGTGCTGCCAGTGCACAGGCAGTCGTTAGATGCTGCAGCATTTGGAGTAGAATCGTAGACAGTGTGTGGGTGGAACGGTCCAAGTAGTTAGACTCGATTCTCAGACTCAATTCTGTAGAAGAAATATTAGTAGTAGTAGAGGCAGAACAGAAAATGTAGGTGGTGGTGGTGTTGTTGTTGTTGATGGGATTCGGGTGGTTCGAGTTTTTAGTTGTTCTCGGACGTGCAGTGGCGGGGATTTCTGGGGTCTGACGCACGATTGGAATTGGGATTGCTTTTGCGGAAGCGGAGGGTGGTCGGTCGATGGCCGAGGTGAAGAGCATGGCGGCTTCGGCGTCGGGGGAGAGGAAGAGAAGCAAATTAGGCGGCGGCGGCGGCCGAAGAATCGGACCCGAGCTGCCGGACGTGTGCGAGACTCGGGCGGAGGTGGTGTTCGAGTGCGACAAGGCGATGCTGCAAGCGAAGAAGAAGAAGCCGACGCTCAGAGCGTCGCTGGGCAAGTCGCTGAAGAAATGGTGGAGCGCTTGGTGCAAGGACTTTCACAGCGACGAGAAAGTTCTGCGGCGGGAGGAGCATCAGAGGGGGCTCGAGGTGAACCGCATCGTCATGTCGTTCGGCCTCTGAACATTCTCCCTCCTCTTCTAGGCCCCAGATTCTCAGAAGCCATTTTCTGTCCAGCATTCTCCAGCACACTCGGACCCGCATTGTCCCACTTCTGAGCCTCGTGCTCTTTACGCTTCAGCTGTACGCTGGCACCGAGTGCTGGTGCAGCAGCAGCAGCAGCAGCAGCAGGAGGGAGGAAGGATTTGGGGCGCAGAAGGGAGCCAGGTCGCATTTGGGCTCCTTCCCCAAATTTCAGATAGAATTAACCAATTTGCCGAATTACAGTCTGTACAGGCGACAGGCGTACAGACTAGGGAGCTGCAGGGTGAGCAAGGTGAAGGAGAAGAGAAGATGGAATTCACCACACTCTGCTGCCTGCCAGTCCGTCCAGCAGCTGCTGGAGGAGCCCGTGAAGAAGCAGAAACATCGAGGAATCCATATCCTCGTAGTACCATAAACGCAGGTACCGCAAAATTTGCTTAGATTCTGACACGAAGTCTACCATTTGGAAATCTTAGAGTGTATGGTATGGGATGGCTCGAGGATTCGTTCTCGGCATGGAAGAACTGCACGACATAGTACTCCGGCCGGTTTATCCTAGGGACAATGTGTGACCGAGACACGAGGGATAAGCTCGATGTTTTCAGACAGATTGATAGATTAGTTCTTAGTTGTAGTAGAAGTAGTAAGAGTAGTAAGAGTAGTAAGAGTATTTTGGTCGGTCATTGGGGCAGAAACAATTCTTCTGCCATCCGACAATTCTTTCTTAGACACGCAGCAGAAAAGCTGGCTCTTTGCTCTTGGCTGTTTCCGGCCACAACGACACGTCGGTGTCCATGTTTTTGCAGCCGAGCAAGGGGTCGCAAAAAGAAGCAGATCGAAAGGATGAAACGTTTTGACAACTTGCCATCTCCATGGCGCCCAGACATTTCTGGCTATAACTTCATTCGCGCACTCCTTTCTATCGAGCCATCTTGTGCCGCAAAGTCTGTGCGTCCATTTCCTTCCTTCCTTCCTTCCTTCCATCCATCATCAACGATCCGACACACCTCCATCTCTTTCCTCCCTCATCCTGCGCTATCATGATCTGATTTTAGCACAATCAGAACTATAACATCGAGATAGCTGAGCTGGCTAGAAACATGCAAGTGGGTTGCTGGTCGAGAATAAGAAGCTCTTTGCAGTAATTATTCGATTACATTTACCACTGGCAGAATTCACGTCCCTGCTGAGCACCGGTAAGCTCCATACATTGTTAAGGAAACAAGGGAACACACCGAGCCTTGTGCTAGTGCACAGGGTCCATGAAGATTGAATTTCTCAAGAGACTAATTCATCGAGGTTAACAAAGTCGCTTGACATGATCATGAAACGGTGCGGCACTCGGCAGCACATGAAGAAACCGAACACCTTGATTGGAAGTAAGTTACAACATCTGCTGCTGCAGCTAGCTCGCATGCTCCACCAACCAGAAGCTACCGATTTCGACGAGTGCCGGTCACGTCTAGAACCTAAATTGGTCGTCGTGAAATTAAAAATAGACCACGAAAACATGAAACCATGTGAACACCTGGACGTCCATGCAAGTGCATCTCAGGAACGCGCTCTGACTCAGGTGCCCGCCCCGTTCTGTCTTTAACGCAGCACGAAGTGGGTCCCATCCTGGTTCCGCAGAAGGATGCGGACTCGATGCCGATTGCAGCTGGATGATAAGCTCAGTGGAAGATCCAGTTGCAGGTCCATGAGAACTACGCAAGGTCCAAACCTCGAACGACCAAATGGTCAAAGGCAGTTGCAGTTGCATGTCGATCAGCGAAATTATTGATTCTTCCTGTCTGCTCTTCGGGAATCGTCGTCTGAACTTATATTCCCCGGCCTGCGAGCATTCAATTGCCAGTCCCGAAAATAGCCACGGAATCTAGCTGCAGAAGGCAGACTAGGTCAATAGTGATCAGAAGCATATGTATTTGTGGCAACTTTGAGCAAGGCTGCACGGATTCATTTCGGCCCCATTCACACAACAGTCCACATCTGGTTGCATCCCTTCGAGTCTCGAAGCAAGCTCAGACAAGCCTGTCTCTCTTTTTGTTTGCATCTCTGAGCCTCGAGATAAAGCAACAGTTTTGTCCACCCCCATCGACTTACCCCATGAGCACCCACAGACTGACTGACTGACTGACTGACTGACTAACTGCAGATGCAATTTCCGCTTCCCCGTAACCAGCCGTACAAGACAGACCAGCTGCTGCTGCAGCACTCTCGGTGGCATATGCTACGCTGCCAACTTTGATGCTCTGAATCTGGTGACTTCCACATAGATCTGAATGGCGAATGTTTGGGACTCTGGTTCTGTAGGCTCACGTAACTGGTCGTCGGCCTACTTGTCAGACAAGGATTCGAACCAGACTTGCGCTGGAATTCATTCTGGCTAACCATCAGACGTCAACTGCTGGAATATTCACGAGAGGAAGTCCATGGGGACTGACTGGAATATTCATGAAGACAGGCAGTCCTCTGAGGGATCGATGGAATTCATCACCCACCCAGTAACAGAGAGAGAGAGAGAGAAAGAGAGAGAGAGTTCCGGAGGTCGTCTGCGTTGGTGTGAGTGTGTGTTGCTCAAGGCGACGAAAGTTGGGCCACGTTCTGCCACACTGTTCTGTTGCTGCTGCTCCTGCCTATGAGACAAGTTTCACGTATGCTGGATTTGGGCGACCATGTTTCAGGTCTTTCTGACTGTGGTTCTACCTGGCCAGCTGTAATCTGCAGGTACGTACGTTATCAGCCCAGTGCACTTCATGATCAGCGAGAGTCAGGGACATTGGATTTTGAGTGACGAGCGACTGCATTGGATGTGATTGAGTAAAATCAGAGCAGGAGAGCAAGACAGGATCATCTCCTGAGCAGTCGGCGAAGGTGGGGGGATGGGGGTGGAGGCTGCACAGATGGTACGATATAACTCAGTGTTCGACTCGATCTCCCCGGAGGATCCGATTTTGTGGCGCGCATCATCAGACTGTGCACGAGGTGTACGCAGAAAGGGCATTTGTTTCCGGTCCATGGCATTTCGAACGACACACGCTGCCATCGAAAAGACTTCTGAATATGTTTTCTCATAAATCTCTTGGAATCTGTTTGGGATCAGAATCCGTGCAAGTGTTTCTTCACGAGTCTTATTTTCAGGCTTTGGGATCAGAATCCTGGCAAGGATGCTGATCCTGGTTTCCACTCCAAACTTTATTCCGACAGGGGTGTCCGTATGTATTCATTCCCTGGAAATGCGAGACCATCCATCTCACTGGACCTGCGCTGATTCGTTCATGAGTGTGGGGTCTGATGGGAGAATCTGAAGCACACTCGATTACTCGGTGCGCAATTCAATCTGCACGCAATCGAAACTTCACAGAGTATCTTCCCATGCTGCAGCAGCAGCATGGAGAGAAGAAGCGTATCTGAGAGACTCGTTGCCATCCCTCTGCAGCTGCTGCCTCGTGACCCTTTCCTTTTCCACCGCCACTCGATGTGATGTGATGTGATGAGGAATCGACCAGCGCTGTGTCCTCCGCTCTTTCTGTTTGTAGCAGCAGAGCTGGTCTACGATGTGGACTCCTGGCGACCCACGGACCTGTTCCTCACACGACAAATGCAGTCGTGATGGGATCGGATTATTGCTGCTCCAGTGACACCCATTACAGCCCTCAGGTGCGGCATGGCATAGCTTCCAAAGCTCAGTCACCTTGATTGCTCGAGTGCTCAGAGGCAATTGCGGATCTACTAAGGTCGTGATGACGCCAGCTCATGGTCTCCTTTTGATTCGGACGTTTGACCTGTAACCATGGGCACATGGATAGAGCAGAATTAAAATGGATAGAGCCATGAATCATGAACAAAGAAGAAGCTTAAGGAATGTAGGTATATTGAGTGTTATAAGTTGTATATAAGTAAATATGTTCGGAGGTATATATGTTGTATATACGTACAATACACCAATCGATATTGAGTACAAAATATAAGAGATTATGATATAGCATAACCTGAAGATTTGATCATTTCAATAGTATCAGTTCCGTTTCTCTGTCAACAATGTAAGATCTGTCACTGGAGTAAAGTTTATAGAATATTCATACTTCATTATCCTCTTCACTTTATCTACATGCTATATTAGTCGAAATAATTGCAAGCATAATGATCTAAGATATCATGAATTCTGAAATTCTGAGTTCTATTGAATGAATTCTAAGTTCTGAAATTTTCATCTCAGAAGATAAAACTATATGCAGAAAAAAATTAATTCCTAACCTTTTTTTTTCATTTTGAAGACATATGATCTTGTTATGACAACAAGTTTGCGTGATATCTTTCTGCAGCCGAATATCATAGAATCAAATATTGTTGTTGGTTCTTTTGAAAGTGAGAATGTTAATGTATTGATTTATGAATGTTTGTCTGCTTGATGTGACAGCAAGTGAGTGCATTATAAAGCCCGAAATTTGTAAAAATTGATTTTTTTTTAATTGAGATAATAAATGACAAAATTAACCAGTCGTTTTACAATTCCTTCCTCTTCTCTCCTTGGTGTCACTGGGAATCTCCATAGTCACCACCACCATTCACTTCGTCTCCTCCTCGCCAAACCAAGCACACGTGTGTTAGCAAAAGGCTCCAAACAGTAAATTGAAATTTTACACAAGATTGAAAGGAAAGGAAATATTCAAAGTGTCCAACCTAGCCGAAGTCTCCACTTCAGTTTTGTTTAAGCCCTCAGCATCGCTTCGATTCTTGTACAGACATCCGCAGTTTTAGATTCCCAGAATGGTTGCGCTCAGAAAAGCGAAGAGGTTCGTAACCAAAAAAATGAGTTTTTACCCAAAAAAAGATCTTATGATATATTCGGAATTTAATCTGAGCTTACCTTAATCTCTTGATTTATGGATTAGTCGTAGCTGCATATATAATGATTATAATATCTTTTTACCTAAATTTATTAATTTATGTATTATTCATTTTGTATATATGAAATGGAAACCTGATTTTATCCTTCTTACAAGGCCAGGCTTCTAAGTTATATTCCTTAAAAGGTCGAGGACATTTACACTGTGACTAAAAACTTTTCAATTCCAAAGCTCAGCCAATAAGTTGAGGACATTTGCGCTTTGGCACTTCTATTATTGGCTAAAACTGTATTACTAACCACCAAGTATAGCGAAGCCAGTACGCCGTCAGTGGTGTTTATGAACAATTTAAGGATATTCCGAAGTGATTTTGCATGAGAGCCCTCTAACGCGTTGAACAGCTCACTAACAATAGATATGGTAATACGATTTATCTGGAGATGCGTTACTCGAGAATTAGAGAGAAGCTGCGATCGGTTGGATTCATTCGGGACAAACAGGGTGCATTACCTAAATCCCCGCCCCGGATTACAGAGCTTGAGGATATTCAAATAATCGAATTTTTTAAGCAGGAGGCCTAGGGTCTTCTTAACTTCTACCAATGTGTGGACAATCGATGGAAGCTTATCAAGATCGTGAATTGGATACTTAGATAATCTCTCTTACACGCACAAGTATAACACTACTGTGTCAAAAATAATTGGCGTATACTCCAAACCTCCGAATGTCTTCCTTGAAGCTGGGAACCCTGGCGAATACTCTATGCTCACTGGGTTTCACACCCCACTGGAGATAAACACTAGACGCAAAGAATTCCTCGTTTCGGGAAATGAAACCCCCGAAGGCTTGGAAAAACTCCTTGAAGATAAGCGTACCCTTCTCACCCAACCGAAATCGAAGTTCGATAAATGCTGTGTCGCTGATTGCCCTGAAACTTACATAAAGCTCCATCACATTCGGAAGCTGGTAAAAAGGTTCAAAGGCAACATCATCACCATCGACGTTAAGGGCAAACGCACCGGAAAATAGGATCTGGACAAGGTGCGTCTTTCAGCCCTATCCAGAAAACAAATCCCCCTCTGCCCCAAACATCACTCCAAACATCATGAAGGCATCATAACCTTGGAAAACATAGACAGCAAGCATTCGTATCATAAGACCTTATATGTGGGCGGAGAACAAGGGAAGTTCGTGAACATAAAAGACGTCACCAAACAACGTTTTCTGGAGAAGAAAAAGACTGGTTTTTTTACCCCCCCTTTTATCCCCGTCAGGAGATATTATTGCACGGCCTCGTTCTCAGTTTGGATACAAGTCTAGGCATGAAGATGACTTCTGCGGTCTTTGTAAGTGACCAACATATGAAAAGCTATTACCTCGTAGTTTTCTCTCACATAATTATCTGCATTTCTGTTCGTCCTCTTTATGCCACATGTCATTACTCTGCGAAAGCTGGGATATTTAGTAGTATTAAGATTTCTTTTCGGTTAAAAAATCCGTGTAGAAAAACCTTTTCCATAAGCTACATGAAACTTTCAATATAAATAAACGCAGAAAAGTGGATAGGGTTATTGGCATTCGATCCAAAAGTATGAAATTACTAATTCTCCTGGATACACAGTAACCCTTGTAAAGCTTGGCATTTCACATTTCCTCAGAATTGTGTTTTGTAACAACAAACTGGATTCTTCCCATGTCTTTCTATACTTATCGAATCTACATGTCAAAACAGATCACTCGGAGGTTACTGGTACTAACGAAGCGGGCACAGATCACATGGAAGAGACGAGACATCCCGGCGGTCATGGTAGTAGGACACAGGCAGTCTCGGAAGTTTTGTTTCTCTACCCTTATGGGGAAGGCGCAATGAGCAGGAGTCATAATGCTTTGTCCCTTACTCCTAGATAACAAAATTCATTCTACTTGATCAAATCAAAGACGAGTGTCCAAGATTCTTCTTTCTTCCAAGAATTTACGTGTCAACGTTGCTATGTTGGAAAAGGCATCTGTTCAACATGCCTTAAAAAATTTTTACGCACCGTAAGACACAATCGGAATGACGTTGGGCCCACTGCTCGGCAGAAAAATATCAATATTAAGATATCAATAAGAACATCCCTTCAGGTAGTCAGTAGCACGGAGAGAGTCCAGGAACGATAGTACAAATTTTTTGATGATATCCAATTAGGAATGAGATTGTCCAAACACATTTCTCCAAGAATTTACTTGATACGGTCAAGACACTTAAAGAAGCATCTGTTTGATACAAAATGCATGTAATTTGCCTTACTTCACCATAACTCCACTAGCTTCTAAAGAGTTTATGATTTAATTTTATTCAACTGTAAGTGACACGGCACAGTATCATCTTCTGACTTTTACAGAAAATCCACTTGCAGATCAAGCACTAAGCATCCCTGACTCACTCAATAGGTCAAAGTAATGAGACATATTTTTCAAAAATGAACAGAAAATGATTCTGTGGCTAACTAACTACTTTAATTACATTACATGAGAAACTCATGCATTACTTGAGACCCCTAAGAATATGTCTCAAGAAGCTACCGCATAGAGCACGGTTTTCCTTTCTCACTGGTAGCTACAAAACTCGCACGCGAGTCAGGGGAAAGAGCCAATCACTGCTTTCGGCGTACCTCTGTTCATGAATAGGCAGTAATGCCAGTGTCTGTTTACATGGATTGTCTGTCCCCAAAGCGACCTGTATCCATGACCATCAAGTAGGCAAAATTTGCAAAACCATTACAAAATAGAATCTGCTGTATTAAACAGCAGCAACTTAGATGCACAGAGCTTTGGGCTTCCCTCCTATCTGCAGAAAATAAGAGAAAAAATTTAGTACACCGAGTCACTGTTTGTAATGATAAGTAATGAAGCTTGACTTGATGAAAGCCTCAATATGAACACTAAGATGTGTCCAGTAACAAACACTTCCTCCAGATGTCCTACCAGCGTTTCATGAGTTTAGTCGGAAAGCTTGAAATAATTGTGTAAGGTGTGAAGTGAAGTTTAAGAACTCACCTGAAATGAACCTTCACAGAAAAGACATCTGTACACTGCCAGCACTCTCCAAGTAAATGCCCCGGAACACATTCTTATAATTGAAGAACTTACATTAGCTGATGCAGCATGTCATCAAAGGCATCGTCTCCGAAGTCACCTCCAGAACCTTCATCACTACTAAAGGTCCTTCTCGTCATACCATCTTCTCCTTCAGTAATCAGTTCTAAAATGTTACCTCCAAGACCATCATCACTACCGTCATCATCGCTAGTATCACCAAAGTCAACGTCGACATCATCGTCGACGTCATCATCGTCATCCGCACTACCGTCATCATCATCATCATTGCTGGCAAGGTCGATGTCTGAATCATCAACGTCACCATGTAAATCACCATCGTCATCTTCATCATCGTCATCGGCCTCACTGTCTTCATCTTCTGTCTCCCCTCCATCATCAGGGTCAGAGTCATCATCCGTCGGTCGTCGTCTCCCTACTTCATACAACCTGGCAAACGTGTCCATTTCTTCATTGCTGTCCATTGAGACGACAGCGATAAACGAATCCGTAGGCTCAGTTGCCAAATCAAGAACGCATCGATCAACAGGCGTAGTTGCGATGTCCGAATAGTCAACGGCGTCCATGGTCCGAAAAGCAGCGAAAAGTGGATGACGGACACGACGAGGATTGAGAGCTGCCATAATATCGTCGGAGTTTCGCCGTAGTGTGGCGTATATCACATCCCCTGTAGCATTGAATGTGATAGTGGTCTGGTCGAGCGACTGAACACTCCGTAACAATTTGAAAGAGCGCATGTCCCACACCTCAGAATTTATAATTATCTGCATTAGAACCAAAAACCAATAAGCAAAGTTTCGACAGTCACTTATGTCTGGCTGCAGTAGCGAGCATCCATACAAGACATCCCTCTTTATTTATAAAAGGATCCATCACGTACCATTTGCACTATAGAACAGGAAAAGCTTACCTCATTGCCAGCAGGATGGAAACCACCACCACCGTAGTCAGTGAACTGATCAAATCGATGGATTGCACGAGGGATACGATGATCCCAGAGGACCCCACTCCAGAGCACGAGAACGTCTGAAGGACTAAAGTGAACCATCGCTTGATTGTGACCACGTGCTGTTACCACTGGAGAGTTGTCAGAAAGTCTGTGCTCTAGCTTGCAGGTAGCAACATCGTATAACAGTACCTCTTTATGAGGGGATTCCAACCCAACAGCACCGAACCTACTGCCACTGTGATTGAAGCGAGCTGCTCGACAGATATCAAAGGTGTGAAGAGCACCATTACTCATCATGGAAGAATCCCAGAGTTTTACGTCGTACCCAGCTGAGGACAATAGAAGCTGTCCCGTATGTGACGCCAAACCTTCTACGCCGCCTCCTATCTCCCTTGGAGCAGACTGCAGGAGAGTAATGGGCGACGTGTGACAAGCATGCACCTCCAAAGGGTTACCAGAACTGGAATCGAAAAGGCGGATGTCTCCTTGATGACTCCCAGCAGCCAAACAAGAAGCCTGGCCTAAAAATGTGGTGGCAGTCAATAAGACGGCTTGGTCACGACATGTGCGCCAAGGTCTGAATCGACTGTAAACAAAGTGCCTGTCGTGACGACGACCATGCACACCTCCATAGGGAGCCCTCACTTCTCTGGAGGCTAGCCTTACTGTGGTATTCAAGGGTGCGTCCAAAGTTCTGCTTGGCTCAGGACACACATGAGGATGAAGTAACGAAAGCGGAGGTAGGGTGGTAATAGGTGCTGGACATTGTCGATGTTGATGTTTCAAATACTGCACAACCAAAGAGTCCAGACTGGTATGCTCGGCTGGACACGCTCTAGATTCAGTAGGCAATCCTGAAAGAGGAACCTGCATGGACATGGGTGTACCTTGATATCTTGCAATGAACGAAGGACAGGGTGATAAGGATACATCGCTGTTGCCAGCATTTTCGAAAAGAGAAGATCCACCCGTGTCGGTTTTGTCAAACTGCGAGGACAAACTAAGTACAGATTTGACTGCACCGTCATTTTGAACTGGGAAAGACGAACTGGGTACAGGTGGCAATCCGGTGTCCACCATCAAGGTACTCTTCAATCGAGAATTTGGCGGCGTGAATGGGGGTGCAGTAAATCCAGACTCAAATTGAGCTACTCTCTTGATAGGTGAAACTGGAAAGGTATCCTTGTCGCCGGCCTTGCGCTTCAGTGGAAGTATGGTTCGGGATGATGTTGGCGTCTTGAAGGGATTGTCTGAGTTGTCAAGACCGGTATTCTTGATAACTCCGGATCCATTCGGGGTTTCAAGAGGCAATCGAGAGTCTTTACCGTTAAGGCTCTTTTTCAGAGGCGCAGTGACTGGTGTCTTCGGACATCCCACCAAAGCCGGTGAGAATACTGGTACTTTCTTTCGTGCCGAACTCGCGGAACCACTAACTTCTTCCTCCTCTCTTACAGCTTTACCGGGCCCAGCAAGAAAACCTCCGGGTACACGGCCTCCGGGCCACTCATGGTCTTCCCAGTAACACTTGTTTGGAGGACATGAATATTGTATTGATGCAGAAGGTATAGTCGACGGTAAAGGTTTGATACGTGCTTCCTTTAACAAAGCTCCAGCAGCGGTGGGAAGCCCAGATGCTATGAGGTGCTCATGAATTAGCTGAAGCAACTCCCTGCACGACGTCGAAAGGCGCATTATAACTAACTGTATATTGAAGACCAAAGCGGGCCGAGATGTTCTAAGCCACACATCCAGCTTACTTACGAGTTGACGACAATCACTTTCAGGGTTCAAATTGAGGAAAAACAACAGACAGCAGCGGTACCTTGAATGGTAACTTATAGGAGTCGCAGCGGCTATAGCAGCTCTTTCGATTCGTCTCAGAGTGGGAGCTGCAGCTTCACTAGCCGCCATAGTACTTGCTCTTCCAGCGTTGGTCACGATCTACGAAAAAAATGCACGAAATTATCTCAATTACTAGATTATCGGTTGTCTATGTTTGATCTTAGATGAACTCAAGATTTGATGACAAAGTCACTCTAATGTCAAAAGTTTCACCTCAGGCACCAATCAACTACATTCAATATACAACGAAAAAGAAGAAGGTGTAATCAGTAGCATTTGTTTCTTAGACCCTGCGCATTGGCTGGGGCGCTACGCAGTGGCGCAAAAGAGGAAAATCTGACAAAACACTTACTGCAATCAGCTCCAAGGCTACTCGACCCAGTTCAGCTTGCCACCGACCTTGCTCACCATGACCACCACTACCTGCTTGACGTCCAGCCTGGGCTCCATCACGGAGGAGCTCAGAAAGAATTTTCCCCACCTGCTCAACATGCGGAGCATGGGACTGTCAGAAAAATACTTCAAAATTCAAAAGACGTGAAAACTACAGTGTCCAAGAAGATGACTAGAGTTGTAATCAAATCAAAACTGATGTAGGCTGTGATTACTGTTGGAGGCACAACAAAAAATTTCGAGTCATGCCCATCCTGCCTTTCAAGGTCAAAAGGCATGCACGTACTACAATACGTACATTTGTTGTATCAAAAAATGTACTTCTACGGAATAAAACAATCTTAGTTGTGAATCTTGAAATCCGACTGTTGTATCAGAAAATGTACTTCTATGGAAATAAAACACCCTTAGTGAGTTGATGTTGAAATCCGGCTGTTGTGATACGTTTCAATTTGTTCGTCCGTACGGGCATGCCTCATATGGAAGAATGCGAATGAAGCATGCCCGTGGGCATGCCCTTGGAGGTTGTGCCTCCAACCCTGGCTGGGACACAAACACATTCTAAAATAAGAAAAGTCCCAGAAGACGGCATACGAGGCTTACCTGAAGCTTCGTTAAAATGTGAGCGATAGCATTGTCACGGGCAAGGCCAAGGAGAACCCGGCAAGAAAGAGCTCGTATGCAATCAAGCGCTCCTGGAGGAAAAAGCTGACGGGGATAAAGGAGATGAAGGAGAACTTTGATTCCATTATTTGCACGGACAGCTTCACGAGCATAACGGTAGCCCTGTTCCATGTACGCTGCAAGACCAGAACCACCAGCACCTGGCCCCAAAGATATCCTGCGGTCTCCAACTACCCCCGCAGCTGAAGAGACAGGAGTAGATGGAGCAACATGCCCAGGGGCTGATACGGGCCCGTTGGAAGTACCTGCAGGTCGATCTCCCCCATTCTTGTCCGTTGCCAGTTCTACCTTTCCCGACCTGTCTGATCTGTCCCTACTATCAACATTTACTCCAGCAGTACCGCTTCCAGAAATACTACTCGTCGGGAGCGCGCTGACCGGAGTTGGTCCTTGAGCATGAGACGCATGAGCAGGACCCGGTGTACTACTTGGCAAATTCGGACGACTACATAGAGAAGGCGGTGGACAAACAAGGTTAACCAGTACTAAAAGGGCTGATTGTATCACCTGCACACGCAGCACAATATTCAAATGCTATACGATCTAAGCCTATCATCAAGAGAATAAGTAACACTGCATTCAAGTTAAGCAAGGTACGACAAAAGTTTACAGAGATCGAAGTTGAAACCAGAGAGCTTGTTGTGAGATAGTTAACAAAGTCATTTCTTGCTATATACGTCCTTATGAGGACAGGCAGTTAAGATATGTGAGTTCTCTGAATGCCCGAGCAGGAAACAATCTATATCTTCGAAACTTTTATAGAGTCAAAATGCCACAGCTTCGCAACACAACGGGCACCTCTGAGAGAAAGTATATACCTCTGGATCATAACCCAAACCCACACCACTTGCAGCATCCAGAATGACTGCCATACCCGTCCGCTCGTTACTCAACGTCGAACCAACGACAAGCTTTCGAGTAAATGGCATTAAAGTAACAATCTGCAATACTCCTAGCGCATGCTGTGAAATTTCGTGCAGATACCTCTCGTTTGGTGAAGCCTACAAACATACCAAAATCAAGGTAAGCATCTCGCGGTTTTTGGATGCTCAAACAAAAACGAATGAATAGGTGCATTCCTGCTTGGCTCAAAGTATATACCTGCGTCAGCTCTAGTAAAATAGTGTGACCACCGTAATTCATAAACTTCTCCAGTTGAGTCCAATGATATTTCACAAAAGAAGGGCCCAACTTCCTATCCCGCTGCAACTGCAAGATGATGGCATCCATGGCTTCATTGCTTAGATCGGCAGGCTTGTAAATGGCTCTGCCACTGGAATTATTTCGAGAGCCACCACGATGGCCTTTGAGAGGTCTTAACGAGTCTACCAAAACAAGAAGGTGAGCACGAAAGTACTGTCTTAAAGCGACACAAGAGTGGTAAGCAATTTGCTTTCCAGACGATGTCAAAACTTCCGCAGCTAATTGTCGATCATTTCTGGAGACAACAGCGGCTCCACCCCCACTAGAACCACCACCAGATCTCAAATGGGCAGCATTGCGCAGAAGATTGAGGAACTTTGAAAGACCATCTTGGGCCTCAAAAGCATCCAGTATTGCTCGGAAGACAAATGCAGAACCAAAGAACAGCGCTGCATTCCTACGTGCAGGGTCTTGAGGACACCCGAGTAAATGAAGGCCGAGAGCAACAATTTCCTGAACAACGGATGGTGGTAGTGTGCAAACGCGTTCCATAACGCCCTGTGGTAGAGTAAGAAACGCAACAAAGATCAGGAAACAGCTTCTGAAGAAATCATACCCGCAAACACAATTACGAATGATAGAATTTAAGCAGAGCATGCCCCTAGAACAGCTAACATACTTGACATACATCTGATTACACGAAGTAGTTTAAGAGCCACGTTGAACAGCACCTGAAGCGAAGCAAATGCAAAGAGGCACAAAGATATGCCAATTAGTGTCAAAGGCACTCTAGGTGTTGCAAGTAGCTGTTGAACGCCCCCGCGATCCACAAAGAGTGAGGCAAACTTGCGATGAGCTGCTAGAGAGCATATCAACTTGAGAACTTCAGATAACATGGTCATGTCCTTCACTGAGCTGCTGTCTTTGGACTGACGCTGTAGAAGGGCGAGACAGACGTCCACTCCCCTTTCATGAAGAACAGGTCCCAATACTTCTAGGTACTCCCCCATCTTCTCGAGACATTGCACGCAGTAAAGTTCCCTCAAAGTCGCCAAGGATTCCACTTCTACACCACACACTCCTTTCTCTCCTAGTTCACATTTATGATCCTTTGTCTCAGCAATTTCTTCAACAGCCTTCATTTTGTGGTCAGGATCTGCTGCTGCAGCAGCTTCTCTGAAATACGCAGGACCAAACAAGCACTTTCAGCAATCGTTTCCGACATCACGTCAAGAAACTATTTCCTCTAAGTTTTATGAGTCGAGACAGCACAAATGGTAAAGTTGAAGGTGAAGATTTTTACCTGCATGTATTCACATTAATGGCTTCGGCAGCGTCCACAACGGTCGCGGCTGCGGCCTTTGCAGCTTCTTCAATGGCAGCGTCATCTTCAGGTGCAGTTGCAAGAGCCTGCAAGATGAAAGTTCAGCCCACTCTGTCAGAATCAACCACTTCAACAACCTCAGCGAACGAACAGGAACGACTACTAACTTTCGAGACATAACACATATGAACTAAAGGGAAATGCCACCAACCTCTGTTGCCGCCAGCTTGACAAGTTCAGTTGCTGCGTCTCCAGCAGCTTTGATCGCCTCTAATGGCGCAAAGGCAGCCCTTGCTTCTGCCTCCGCCGCCCTTGCAGCTGTTCTTATTATCCTTCCCACATCCACCTTGCCAATCATGACACAAGGTGCTGGCTCATCATCCTCTTTCTCGGCTTCCTGCGATGGCGTAACCTCCTTTGAACCTCCTTCTTTACCTAGTTCCGCCCCTTTCCCAGTCTCTGAAGTACTTTCAAAATTACTGTTACCTCTATCCACCAACGACCTTCGACGGAGGAGTTCTCCACCTCGAACACCACCTGTCGGTGTTGTTTCAAAACCTCCATCACCACTTCTTCCCTTCCCTCTCCCTCTGCCGCCTCCTCGATCACGAATGTCACTCCTTCGCTTCGAGGGCTCTGCTCTACCATTCTCCTCTCCATCTTCCTCTCTCGATGGACGAGTGTGTCCAAACCACTCTCCGCTAACTATTCCTCTTCTCTTTAAATCCCCTTTGTCTTTGCGCCGTCTCTTATCTTCACCTACCTCTACGTCCTCGTCGGCGTCATAAGTCTGTCCAGCTTGATCGGAAGCTTCAACAGTAGTCCTACCATCTTTCTCCTCCCCGACTCCTTCATCATCTTTCCGTTTGCCTTTTACGTCAGCTCCACGCTCACTACTCCTATCAACTGCAGATTGTTCCGTACCAACCTTCTCAATTCCAACTCTCTCAGAGCCCCGGTTTTCCTCCAAACGCGATGAATCCAGATGCATTCTTGCTCTGCCGCGTACTTCTTCCCTCGCTCTACCACTTGTCAGAGATCTGTTTTCTACAGCTGGACCAGTTTCCACGTTGATTTCACCAAGAGTGCGGATTCTCAAATAGTGCATAAGCTTGGCCACCATACCAGTTGTTAAGACATCTTCAACCACGTCCCCCCTGTAAGAGAATGAAAACATTAGCTTGTGAGCAATCTCATCTTGAAGCTCGACAAACATGCTTCTTGGGTTTCTCTATCCACATATGAAGACGAAAAGCTCCAGTTCCAAATGTTCATCTGTAACACATTCAAGAGTCCTGAAGCAAGAAACCAACAAGAGTCCACTTATCTGGTTTTAACCAATCACAAAATGCAATTCACATATAATCAAATTCCATATGAATTCTCTACTTGAGTGCCCTATTTTAGGAATGGCCGCTTCAGAACTCAGTTCAGGTGGCTGTAGTCTATATACAAGAATACATACATGGTCACAAGTAACCGAATTAATCTTGATAATGGTATCCAAATCAGAAGTAATAGAGATGTTTGTTGCCACAAGCATATGAAGAGATTAACATCGAAAGTCCCGCATTATGTGGACGGAAAGAAGTCTAGGTTCGCTCTTGCCATCGCAATTAGCCAGAGAGGATACACACATGCACCAAGTCTCTTACAAGACATTCTTAAGCGTTTACTTCCAGTACTGGTCGATAATATAGCTTGCCAGCTCGTAACACAGAATAGGATTCCTCACCAAGGTTTCTATACGCGACAAGGGCTCTGGTGTATGGGCTAAGAGCTTCGAGGCTCACGTTCAAATCTTATCATTGGTAGGTTTTGCTATGATCTTCTGCACAGCAATCACTTGCAGCATCACTTTCATATCTGCAAATTCACTCGCAGGACTGCAGGCAAATAATCACTTGCAAAGACGTGAAGGACATGTGCTCGCGATCTGCTAGACAACAGTACTCCTTCATAGCACCCAGCGGACGGCCAGTGTGCTTGCGAGGTGAGAAAGTTTAGCATGCAAGACGGGCTAACTGAATAATACCAACTCCACAAATGCAAGAGGTGCGAGCTGATGGACAAATAAGTAGCCACAAAAACTTAAGTTTTCATTTTCAGCAGGCCATTTTAACAGGAAAATAGAGCGCTGTAAACTGTGAGGCATGGCTAAATGAGAAAAAGAGAAATCTTATAAGATATAAAATCAGCTAGAGGAATGACTATCAAACCGCAGAAGTTGTTATACTTTTGGTGCACGATAACTCATCGATATTTCAATTGAGTTATGATAATCATTTTTCAAATCTCTGAAGATGAACTACACAACGCTACGTGATGTAACATGGAATTCTTGTTATGAATAAATTATATTTTGTAGGTTTATTCAATATCGGGATTACAGGATCTTCGATACTTTTTCCTATCAACCGGATGGTTCATTTCTCACCATAGATAAATGTAACAGAAGTTGTTGTCTTGTACATTTAAGCTAGTTGCACGTGATCAATCAGTAGACAATCATATGATAGCCTTCTAATCATGGCTAGAGAGTTCAAATCCATCGGAGTTACATTCGATGGAAACAACGCTTTGAGGACTAACTTTTATGGAATGAAGGCTGGACAGGACAGCAGAGGACAAGAGGATTCAGTAACTTTTGGCAGCTCATTGTACGTGCGCACATCATATTAATAAGCAAATCCAGAATGGAGCAACGCTGTGAGGACTAACTTTAAGGGAATGAAGGCTGGACAGGACAGCAACTTTTGGCAGCTAACTGTACGTGCGGACATCTTATTAATAAGCTAATCAATAATGGAGCAACGCTTTGAGTACTAACTTCTAGGGAATGAAGGCTGGAACGGACAGCAGAGTTCAAGAGAATTCAGGAACTTCTGGCAGCTCACTGTCCGTGTGGGCATCTGATAAATAACCAAATCCAGAATGGAGCAGGAACGAGTCGACGACATCGTGTCCATGTTCACATTGCCGCCGGATTTTACTACTCTTGCTCTTCGTCCCGGTACAGGTCCAGTCCAGCGTTTTATAGGAGATGACTGGACTCGGGAGACGAATTTCGGATGAGACTGGTGCGCAGAGGTTTAAACTGAAGTGGAGTGAAGTGAAGGATGTGAATGGACTCAGAGTAAGTGAGGAGCTGAAAGCGGAGGACCATGACTCGTTTCTGACTGGACCGGGCTCGATTTGATCGGCTCCAAGCCTCAGAACCGCAGCCACAGCGTCATCGAGGTTATGGATGTTGTCTGATGCGAAGCGCAGAAGAGAGGAACCAGTGCCATGACTGGGCGCTTCCATCGAGCTGGTGGGTGACGTTCTCGCACGATGGGAGATGGCGCTAGCCACGAATACAGCTCTTCTGCCGTACCAGCTCCAACACGAGAACGGGACCAAGACGCACTTGTATTAACTCGATCACAATTAGCTCGCTTACGTACTTGCATTCGATGCACTGAAACTCATCGCGCAGCAACGCCATGATAAAAGACCACCTCCAGTCATGGTTCAGACAACGACGTGGCAATCGCCCAATAATGGCCGATAATCGGTCGGTACAACGACATGATCGGATTAGAGAGGAAGACGCAAACAGAGCTTATCAACCGACGTGACAGGATGTCTACTATGAGCACTTACACTTGTAACGCGACTGCCAGAAGACCTGTTGCATAAGTTCTCAACATCTCACGATCCATCACTTCTGAAGCTTTTTTTCCAGAGGTTGCCGAATTCCTCCCTATGGAAATCCCATTCCGCCCATCACCGGCCTTAGGCGCGTCTTCTATGACCCACTGCTTGATACTAACAAGTACTTGGTCCTCAAAAACATGAGGATACTGCACATGCATATACTGCAAAAAAATATTCACCAGTATGAGTCTGTGAGTTATACAAGTACGTATTTTATCAAGAAAATGGTTAAAATTTTCTCATTTATACATGTAAGCATTCCATTACTCAAACGTCTTCTACCTCTAATCCAGCACTGTCAAAAATCACAAAAGGAACTTGCATGATTCGGAAATGGCAAGATCCAAGATGAAGAGAGAACGACACTCACCATCCAGCAAGATAAACAAGCTAGAAGTAATCTGGCAGCAGCAGCGCGGACACGGATTGAATGTCCGCTGTCGATAAGAAATTTCGAGGATACTAGCTCAAAAAAGTCATCATCTTCCTGCGTTAATTTCAAACAAAAAAATAAGAAACAAAACAAAGTAACTATTTGTTTATCTGGTCTCCATGATCAGATCCATGAAGTCCGATTATGAGATAAAAAAAATATCCCACTACACGTACATACATCGAAGAGGTTATGTCATTGTAGGTAGAATAGACATGAGAACAGAAAAGGCTGGTAGCAAATGTAACCCGTAACCAAACTCTTTCATACTCATTTGCGGAAACTACTTGTGAGATAGATGTAACGGTTAGACAAACTTCACGGCTCATTCAAAATTCTCATAAAAGCACTAGGTGAAATCACTAAAACGTCTAATGTGACAAGAAAAGACAGGAAAATGATGAGTCGAAGAATACCCGAATCATATTCACAAGGCGGCCAATCGTGTGAGAGGAACGGGAGTTGCTCGTGAATGGGTGTCCCGTTGCCTGCTCGTACCTACAGACGAAACACGTACGCTGTTCATAAGTACCTCCAACATACTATTGAGAAGCAATTACATACATGCAAAACAACAAGACCAATCCGAAACTCATGACAAATATTATCTTCCGAACGACATCAGAAAAGATCACATAATATCATTACCAGATCTCTGTAGATTAGGCACATGCCTAAAGTGCCTAATCTCAAGAAAATTAGACACAAATACCAATTAGGCGTAAAGATTAGGCGTAATTAGGCATCACCAGTTAAGGAAGATAAAATCACAAGGATATGAGTATTTTGTTGCTTAATCGTGCGCAAAAGGTCATACGGTTTGCATTGGAAAAATCAATCAATGACATGTTCAATACTTCCTTTTAAGATTATACATCCAGTTCCTCGTCATCAGTTCTAAATGACCTGCGACACCAACGAGGAATTTAAGATTTGGGTGTAGGGTGTATGATACAAAAGTCGATATTGTTTAGGTCGATTCGGTCACACATATGCACTTCACGGTCGGCCTGGGCAAGGTGGTTTCTACAGACATGCATGCTGAAACTGCAAGAAAGTTGAAGGTCTCCGACAAACACTTGAGAAAGCAGGTGAGCATTAAGTAGTTACAAACTGGGATTTCAGGTTGACCTTGAATTTTCCAATGTGTTTGCAGTTGTACATATGCAGTAGTACTTGTTGCTGCTGCATATGTGCATATGTGCAGTAGCAACAAGTACTACTATGATAGTAGGAGAGTAAGATCAGTATCTTAGTCTGCGACAGGTATTAGAAAGCACCAGCCATAGCACAATTTCACTCGAAATGTCACATGGAATGGACTCAAGCATTACAGACGCAATAAAGCACCGAGAGTACGATCCTTTAAAACCTTCATCCATAGTCACAAGGTGTCAAGGTACACCAATCTCTGTGCACGAAAAGATAGTGAATCGCATATATGGACGGAGAAAAAACCGTAAACATTGTCGAGGGTTTCTCGAGCTATCCTGGCATTTTCGTGTAGAATTTCAATATGTTGTTCATACTATTCAACTGTTCATCAGTTCTTCGACATAGTCTCAGTGTATTTTCTACCTAGTTCACCAGATGATTACAAGCTGATATTGCGTAGTCTCAGTGTATTTTCTACCTAGTTCCCCAAATGATTACAAGCTGATATTGCGTAATGTAACTGACTACACATTTCAGTCTGATCTCGACTTATTACCTGAAAGTAACATTGATCGTAATAACCCTACGAAAGGGCATCAGTTCCTCCTTTCTTGCGGTCAGGACTTAAACATGGAAGAAAAAACGTGATTGTACGGACACAACACGACTTAAATGTGTTTGATGTGGTTGATGCTGACATCCATCTTCACAAAGATTTATATCCAGGTAGGAAAGCGCGATGTACCGCATGAAGAAGCATGATCTGTACTACACTATGCTATTAAGCCATGAACCACCTTCCCAAACAAAAGGAAAAGGGGAGTGAGAAATCAAGAGTCAGTTCGAAGAGAGAAGGGCTACGCAGGAAGTCAGAGGAATAATGGTAAAAGATACCCACACATATTGAGTGGTACAGCATGAACTGAAGAAACGCACATTTTCGATTAGGTGGAACAGATTAGCGATTATTTTAAGGACAGGCTAAATGGAGTTACGAACAAGAAAGTAAAGTTCCATAATTTCCTCACGGCCCACAACAGTCGGCACTCCTGATGCTTCACGATAATCTCTTCTAACGGGGCTTCTTGACTTGATAATTACCCTCTCTAGTTCATTAAAGAATCGATGTAAAGTCCAGGCAAGAAGCTTCCACCAGCCATGCCAAACTGATGTGGGAAGCCATGTCGGAAAATTAGACAAACCGAAATGTAGCACAAGAACGAAGCGTGCCCCAAATGCATAACTCCCAAGGAGACGGAATGCTGTAAATTTTCTTCAACTTTTTCCATATACCTGCAAATCCCCTTTGCGCTTAGTTCCAGTGTTGGAGAACATCAGGACCTCATTTGGCTTTTTTCTCTAATTACCATCTGGCTGAGCTAGAACAGACAATTAAAGTTCACGGGATTGACGATTGACGTGGAACGAAAAATGTGCCAGAGGGGACAAAATCAACGACAAGGATTGTCCGCGTCGACATCCTCGTCAACGAATCATTAGGGCGAAAATGACTTCGTCGTGACAGCATTCCACAACACACCAGGTGGAGAACTGGTAAGCAAGTTGAAGTTCGTCATCTCAAAAGTAGAGGCGTCGTCCAAGGAACAGTGACAGTCCAGTATTTCAATTCCAGCAGCGGTGGGAAATTTATTTACTGATCTTCCACTGTGATGGCAATTCGATGGTGAACCGGGCGATTTGGGTCACAGACGACAGAGCTCGAAAGATCTCGACCTACCTCGATTCTTCCTGCTCCAAAATCGCCGCCAACGAGTGAAGCAGACAAGGCTCGGGAGCATGACGATTACTCCCTATCCGCCTCATCAAACTCCGCGCCTTGTGCACTACATCCTCGCTCCCACTACCACTACCGCTAGCTCCAACGACACCTCCTCCTCCTCCTTCAGCTTCGCCATTCACAGCAGCAGCAGCCGCCGTGCTCCCCGCGTCCATGTGTTGAACGACCACCATCGATCCTCACCCGTCGAGCTCCACCGCTTCTCTGTTCTTCCTTTCTCTACACTAATCTCGTGACCTCGAAATCTCAATCTCCTCCCTCCCTCTCTCCCTCGCTCACACTCTCATTCACTCCCGAGTCTCGAGCCTCCACCCGAACCTGCTGCTCCTGCTCCTGCTCCTACTCCTCCTTTTGCTGCTGCTGCTCGTCGTCCTCTGTGCGCTGCTGCAGCAGCTGCTGCTGCCGAGTGCTGCTGGATGTGCTTGCTGTGCTGCTGCTGCTCCCCTCCCTACCTATGCGGCGCTTTCCAAATCCGACGATCGCTGCCTTCGTGGTGCTTTAGCTGCTGCGCGTCCGCTCCTCTCCTGGCCTTGTTTTCCCTTGGGATTCCTCTCTAAAAGCTCGACCCCTGCACATCAGAACTGCGCAGAGGCCTCGAGACCCAGCGAGCGCACAGCGAGCGAGAGCGAGGGGAAGGCTCCTTCTGCTGCTGCTGCTGCTCTTCTAGGGCCTGTGACCGGCAACCTAACCCTGATTAGCCACCCGACGACGGCGATCTGCCGCGGTGACGAGGTGGGTTAGATCGCACGGTCCGCGCGCTCCCGATATGGCAGCGCCGGATCTGCCCTCGGGTTTGCGAGCGCTGGTGCCTTGGAGCCCCCGGAGCACTTCCGGCTATTATTAGCACAGGTTTTTGAAAATCGGAGCTGTTCGGCCTCTCCGTCGCCATCAGTCGCCATCATGCCAGCCCCAGCAGTTACGTAATTCTCCTGTGTGTACGGTTCTCTTCTTCCCCCGGCTTTTTCTCTGCTTGCTTTTCTGATGGGCGCCCGAATTTTCCATCGTCGGGCTCTGTACAGCAACTTGGTTCGGTTTCGATACTCGGTGGTATCTGTTTCTACTTGGTTCGACAGAACCGCGTTATTCTGCATACCTGGTACGTAAGGATTGGCGAATCCAACCAAGTTATGTAAGTACAGTACTGTACATGTATACAAATACGATCATGCATAGCATCGGAACCAGTGCAGTAGAGATATGCAGGCCTGTTCAATGTACGCGATCGTATGTCAAGACGCCTAAACTAGATTATGGGAGCGCGTCTACTTATGTAGACATCTTCACTCTACAATCTGAATAACAGTAGTGTAGCTACATCTACTGGAGACAGTGGATATGCTAGACACAAAATCATCCACGTTTAGTTTCTATCAAAACCTTAAGAGAAACCTGGGGGCATATCAGATGCCACCAAAACGTTTCTATAGACTGCCTACTGCAAGCATTAGCATTTATGAATCGAGTGGATATTGAACCCCATTGCAGTGTAACAGGTGATGCGGTGACTTGAGTGGTTGGTTATTGAGAGGAGTGGGAGGTGTTCTATCACTTCTAACCGAGCAAATGACTTCACTTTGAGTATGAAGCATGCTGATGAAATTATTCTGAAAAAGACCAGCTGCGTCCTTGATTGTAACATACTTTACACATCAGGAACGTACAGAGAATCGAAACTATTCCTCGAGGATTCAAGTACATGTCCTAGATGCACGCTGAGCTGGGGGATTTAGACGAATAAGGGTGCTGGATTTTACAGAAATAACCTGAAGGGTTCAGTCATAGATAAGGTTTCTTCTGATGGCAAATTAGAAATCCTTTGTAATGGTGGATGGCTGATAATCACAGAAATCATATTGGGCTAAGGTCAGTTCTGAAAAACAGCATTGTAATATTGAACAGGAGGGGAAATCCGGAGAAGAATTTCAAAACAGTATGATTGACAACCTGAATAAAGTCTTGGTACGGACTGAACGAAAGGTCTGTCGCCCATGAACTCCACATGGCTCCATTTTATGCACTCTATATGCTCAATAAAACTCACATTTACACACCTTTAAACTAACGTATCGACTTAATTTAGGTAACTTAGGTAAGCAGACCTGGAGATATGTCATGGGTTGCGTGATAGATGACTACACCATGTGTCAGATTGTATCATTCTTTTTCACTTATTGTATGAATTATGTAGATTGTGTCTATGGCTCTCCACTATACTCTGATAAAAATACATGACTCGATCACATTAGATGATGATTTTATTACTTATTTATTTATTTATACTTAAATTCACCCCTTCGCAAAATAAGAGTTTATGGTTGAGAAATGGTCGCAAAATAAGAGAGGACTTGGAATATGAACTGTTGGCTGAGATCAAGCGAATGTTCAAGCTCCCCAAGAGAAGCAGATTCCGGTGTTTCCTCTAGAGCATATGAAGTATCATCTCTGAGCTGGTGCACAGGAATGAAGAGAAAATGAGAAAGAGAAAATACACGAGAGAAAAAATAAATTCTTACGTATCTTGTTTCCATGACTTCAATAACTCAATTTAACATACATAAACTTTCAAGCCCCAAAATGGATTGAAAGCTTGGGATTTCCTTCGAGTCAATAGTGGGTGCGGGGGAAGACAGGTGTCCGCTTACAGATGAAGTTTCCCTTCGAGGTGAGGAATCGCTGCCCAGCGCCACATCCGCCTTGCGGAGAAGAGTGAGTTGGCAGTGTTGGGGGTTTCTATTGACGGGACAAGTGCGTCAGAAGTTCCTTTCGGAAGTTTGAGTCAGTGTTCACAGCGGTCTCTATACGCATACATATACGCATGACACATAGAGAGCCGATGAGGCTTTGATCGCAATCAGATGAGCTCCAACTGTCTTTCCTGTGTATTGGTACAGTAATCTCAAATGCAGCATGCATGTTCACGGGGAGTGGCATAGTCACTCTGAGATAACCAGCGTCGCAGAATGGGTTCGGCCTAGACGCTAGAGATCGTTACAAGTTTACCTTCCTCGTCTATACATTTTCCTCTGCATAGGATGGGGGTTTTTCCTAGCCGTTTAAGGAGTATGTCTCCCTCAGCCAAATATGAGGGAGGCATAAACTGTTGACATTCTTCATCGTTCCGCTCACCAGTATCTCTAAGTGACGGACAGCCGCCGACAGTAATTCCATCCTTCCGTCTTCCATCATATTATTCATGTAGGATGACACCTCGGTTCCAATGACCATTTTCAAAGAAGGAAGGACGCAAGTATCATCAAACAGATCATGTCCACGATCTAGTAAACGGGATATTTCTCTTCTCCTTAGCAAGGATACTTCACAATCGAGGTTACCCGCTGGATAATCGTACGATTTTCCCCACTTAACACGAAATCGCCTAGTAGGATGTTAGCCATTGTTCCATGTATGTTCCTTTAAATATGTATATTTCCTTCTCGAACGGTGAAAGGTACCTCAATGTTTCCCTTTTACTTCGAAGACATTACATCTAATGATGAGCTCTGCGTCAAAATGTTCAGGATGATTCGGTAAGGTCCTTCCTTGCCCTTATTTCTCCGATCCTTCCGTCACTCTTCCTTTTGTTCGATTCGTAGACTCTTGTCCCTTAACGATCGAAGTCTATCCAAGTCCCTTAACAAGTACGTAAGTAGCTGAGTTATCTGTAACAGTGCCACACAGACCACTATCCAACGAATATGACTATGCACCTCTTCATTTAACCCTTTCCCTGAAGGACATTTCCCCGCCGTGCAATAGTCTTCCGCTGCCATACTTTACAACTCATTCACACTACAATCACAAATTCTGACAGTTCGGCAGTTTAACATGTACGCAGTTCAATATTTGCGGTTTTCTGGTATTTCTTTCCACTCCAAGTTCTGAACAAGACGAGCTTTTAGCCTGTTTCAGCCTCCACAATCAATGTTCGGATGAAGGAAGAATATATATATTCAACAAACTGACTGACTTCAAATGCACAACAAGTAATCAGGAAAACTTCCTGAAATTACGACAAGAGTAGAGCGAAGTAACCGATTGCCGGTTCAAGATAAGTTAACACAGATTTCAGACCTGTGATTCCACTTCCTAATGACATCAGACCACCTCCACAAGAATGGCAGGGAAGAAAGGAACTAATCAGAACAATGTTGATAGCAAGGCCGTTCAAAAAACTTCCACATTCCACTCCCTACAACGGAAAGTTTCCGTGACCTTCCTCTATCCATTCCGAGTTCGGAAGAGCTGGCGATGAAAAGTTCGAACTCCCGCTGATGAATAAGGTAAACTTGCCAAACGATGTGACGTCGTGTTACAGTTGGACGGTGCATGACACAATCGAATCGTAGTGTACAACCTCTCTTGAGTTGATTCCATGATTCATAAAGCGACGAGTCCGGTCGCTAATATGAGAAGAAAAGTTACCACAATTTACAGCATGAAGGGTAAAACGTACCGTAGCAAACGACCTTGCTGTCACGCAATAAACTCAATCCTACTAAATAGGACAGTGGACAAAACTGCTAAGATTTGTTAGAAAACAAGTTGTTCAATTACAATATGATTTCTCACTTGAAGCACTTGGCCTCTAGAAGCTTTTCACCGTCAATAAGGTCGGGCTCCTCGAACATAGCACTAACACGTTCCTTTTGGGCGGCATCAGAGATGTCGACCTTGGTCCACTCGTACAAGTCCATATCGTAACACTCGTCCTTCACCAACTGGGGAATATCAGTGCCACGGAAAAGCCATACTCCCTTGATTGCGAAAGGTCCATCTCCTAGGATACACATTTTTCCGAAAGCGTACTTCCGGATAAAGTCCATACGCTGCAAAAATCCTCCAACCTTGTTCAAAGTGACGTAAGAAATCTGGTTCTCTTCGTTGTACTTGTAGTCGCAGAACCACAAGGAGTATCCTTCCGGGTCATACATTTCCCAGAATCCTGCGAGTCACGCCGGATAAGATGCATATCAGCGACGCGCCCACTAGAGACAGACTTTATCCTCGCAAAAATGGCAGTTGCACTCGCTAGTAACTAGATACGTTCCAATGTCGAGAAACAGGGGGAGCAGCTTTTCTCGCAAGTCCGTCAATCTTGGTGAAAAGATCGGCAAAAATGGTCTGGTGAAATTCATGCGTTTGCAGATTCATGAGAATTTGTAATAAGCCATAATGTGTACTTCAACCTTCTCGCTGACAGAGTTCAAAAAAGCGACGATGGACAGCAGACTGAGACTCGTAACTGCATAAGGTCATTAAAGACATCCAGGATATATTCTGTATGATTAAGTTACGTCGACGCATTCAAATGTCACTGCGTGCTGTCTTCTAATCATAAACTTCCACGCATCTTCGGACTCATGACCTTCTGAGGTACCACATCCACAGCTCTGACGAAATATAGAGATTCATTCGCGTGCGAGGACATCTGAAATCAGAGGCATCCAGCCTCCTCAGAACCCAGACAATCGAAGATCACGACATGGGACAGATAAATGGGTACCTTTGATAGCGACTTCGGCAAAATCCTTCGCTTTGGTGTTAGAGTAGAGCCTCTTCCAGTTATCCAACACCATGGGACTGGGTGGTAGAAGATCAAGAGCATTCTTTGACTTCTTTGGTGCGGCAACTTCCTCATCGTCGTCCGCAGCGGCGGGGGCGGGGGCGGGGGCAGCCTCCTTAGGTGCAGGGGGAGCCTTGGTTTTCTTCGCAGGTGAGGCTTCCTTTGCTGCTGCTGGGGCGGCGGCTGCAGGCGACTGGGTCGTTAGCTTGTCACCGAAAGTGAACTCACCGACGACTTTCTTGACCTGTGGCTGATTAGCCATAGTCCAGAAATATCTTTCGACGTGGGGGAATGCGCCGAGGAACTGCTTGTCAATAACAGTTCTCACTGCTACCAGAATGTTGCAGAAGATAACAACATCGGCGACAGTGATGGAGTTCCCAACCAGGTAGGTGCGAGTGGTAAGCCACGTGTTCAAGGAACCCAAAGCCCTCTTGGAGGCTTCAACAGCTCCCTCCTCCACCTAACAAATGAAAGATGCAGTCCATCAACAAATGCCTAGATATATCATTCGATTTAGCTTGAACCTGAAATCATCTCCAATTTTTCAAACAGAAAGGCAGGCGTTAACTTACATTTGGTGCGGTTGGCATGAACGTGTAGCCCATCTTGGGGTAAATCCATCGTAGTAAGTTATGGTCGAGCTCGGAGACAGCGAAGTCACACCACTGATCCACTAAACCCTGTCGAAGTTCAAGCCATTCCTTTAGCGAGAGCCAAAGACGAAGTGCAAACCTGTGACATATGCTGCGCACTTTAAACCACGTACTTGATGGGAACTATGTGGGAAGACGTGGTAAAGCAATACAGGAGTCGAACTCTATACCTTCTCGTACAAAGTGCTGCCCAGCATCTGATCCTTTGTCCTCGCGACTGTATTTGCACAACGATAGATCGGCAGTTTCACACATGAGACCGGTAATAATTATCTTAGATCTGTACGGCTCAGATACTTAGATCTATGACGCTAAGGTAGACTAGCAGACTCGCGTGTGCAGAATACACAGACTCACAGACTCTATTCATAGTCGAGAATGAGTGCAGGAGCTTTCAAATGAAAAAAACTAGGCTTGGATTCCAGAGTCAAGGCTACGATCACTCACCATATCTTGCGATAGCGTTGCTTTCAAAGATACCACCTTCGGGAGTGACTAATACTGGAATCTGAGTAAGCCATTACAAATGCATTAGGTCACCACTTATCGTATCAAAACAACGGCCGAAATAAGTTCTTCATCGTGTACAGGTTAAACTTCGCCCGCTCTCCGAGTGCATACCTTCTGAATTGGATTCATCTTTTGGAACTCCGGAGTCTTCTGAGTAACGCCCCATTCGACGGGGAGGGTTTCGATCTTCACTCCGATGAATTCGCCGACAATCAAAGCCTTGGCGGCGTTCTTGTTACTGCCATCACCGTAAATCTTCTGAGAGCCAAGGAGATTTCCAAACTGTTAGTATTCGTCGAAGACGACAAGGTTGCCGCGTTTTAAAAGAGGTGCGACCGCGGATTCAACAAATCTCACGCTTTTCTTTCTTTGAATGACCTGAAAGGCCCTACAGAGGACGCAGAACGCCAAGTACAACAAGCGACATTCACAGTGGCAGCAGTGTCTATGGCCGGGTTGCTCGCCCCGTCGACCATGGCACGCCAATGGTGATATGACGCACAACTTGAGCAAACAAGAATAGCCATTCCAGACACGAATCGACAATCTCGAGCTCGCTCCGATGTATAGGTATAACAACAACACAAGCAATCTCGAAAAGTACGAAAATGCCACACGTATAACAGAAAGCGAAATCGTGCGACGAAAAACGAAATCCGACGGAGAGCAGAATCGGGAAATCGGAACTTACGAGCGCCATGGTGGTGGTGGCTAATCGAATAGCCTCCTCCAACAAAATTACAAGATTCAGTGGCGGCGAATCGCAGTGGTGCAGACGGGAAGATGGCGAAAGAGGAAGAGCAGGGAAGCCACGCGAGGCTAATATCAGTGCAGCGCCTCCTTCGATTGTTCCTTCGTCCGCTGGTCTAACGTACAGCTTTCACTTAGGGCAAAGGTCGACCTTTGCCTCCCTCCCTCACCTTTCCTCGCTTGTCCTGCTCATGGATTTATTTCGGAATATTCGTTCTGGTACGCTATTTTCCATTTTCTCCCAATATGCTTTGATGTCTTTTCTTCTCATTTTCGCGAAAGGTCCGCGAATTTTTCCTCTCATTCTCCTTCCGCTTTCTGCAGGCTCGAATCTTCTGATCTCGCAAGTGCTTTCAGGTGCATGATACCACAGAGATTCAGAATATTGAAGGCTTTGAACTCCTTCGAATTTGTAATATATCGATCCCCATGAGATCACGTTTCCTTCCCAACTTAAAGTTTCTCGCTTGTGGATGAAGTAAATGCTCAGCTTGAAGGTTGAATACTTCCGCCGTGAAGGGAGTACGTACCGTAAATTTTAAGGAAATAAATTCAATACAGATGCTGAGGGTAAATATCTCTTAATTTCAAATACCCGTAATTTCAAATACTCTTTGTTGTATATACTGGTCTAGCCGTGTAGTCTAGATTAACTTAAATAAAAGGATTTTGAAAAAAATCCCAAAGCTTGTATAGCTGTCTATTTTTTTATACACAAAATGTGAGGCACACAAATAACCATCATACAAATAGATGTAATATAATAGTTCCTCCATCCACATAGGAACACAAATCCAATACAATTCACCATACCCGAATGTCATCCAGAAATACAAGCAAATTAGAATAAAGTCCTGATATAATGTCAAAATTTCCTATCCTTGATGAATTCTACATCGCTTTTGCTACGGTTCGCTATCATATGCAATTTGAGCCATGCAATCATTACAATCATCCACATAACACGATAAAATTTGTAGGGATACATGAAAAATTGTTCTGATACAACCTAAATACATTGATTTGACTACTCCGATTTCTTTCTGAAAAAAGCTAAACACATAACAATCATTTGCTAAATCACATTGAGACCTGATAAAAATCACGACATGCATATCACACCATGAAGCTCACAAATGACTGAAAATACCTGCAATCACAATCAAAGGTTAAAATAATACATTTAAATTGACTTAAATTATCTTTTAATATTGATCTCAACATCCTATTCAAATATCATGATGGTGTTATGACTTTCTTTCACATATGTTAAAGAAGTATTTCTATTCAAAGATTAAAATAAATCATGTTGAACCCTTGAAGTGACATATACTTACTATCATCATGCTTTGTGCACATGTCATTCAAGCATGTATTGTTCATGAAATGTTAATAAGAATTGTGGATTTGTCAAATATTTTGCCATTCAATATTTGATATGTGTACATATAATGACACTTATTCCTGAAGCATTGTTGATTCTCAGTCAATGCCATGAAAATTTTATTTGTTTACTTAATGGACAAAACAATTAGATTGACAAATTTTGAAAAGCCAGCGAACATCAATCTTAACATACGGCTACGTTATGTGATTTGAGTTTACAAAAGTGTACGCACAAAAAGCATGAAACATACATCTAATTATGAAAATTACAGTAATGGAAGAATCCACCACACATCACACGCATCGTTTTACATTTTTATTTCAGTTTGGTTTAATACAGCTTAAAAAAACTTTGATTTGATAAAAAATATTGTATTTGATAGCTTCACATAATATTCAATGTATTATTCAATAAAATATACATAATATTAAAGATCATTCTTTTTATTCACACATTCTGAACAAAATCAGGGATTCAAATTCTCAATCAGGGCAGCCAAATGCATCACACACACTTGCTTCGTATTGTACACAAATTTGCATCCATTCAACAACCTAACAACCACTCACGTTGGAAATGACAATGTAGCCAAACACTTCTTTCAAACTATAGGAAGAATATCATATCTCAAATAAAAGTTACATTGTATCTTGTAAGAAAAATATTCATAACCTTTGTATTTAAAAAACAAAAAAAATTGCGTATAAACCATTGAAAACATCACATATTTTTTTAAACACGCCAATTAACTATTATCATGTACTTTCAAATATTTTAAATATGTTGACATACTTCCAAAAGCATCCTACGCCGTCTAATTTAACTTATAAGCTTCACAAATAGCTATTAGAAACTATACGTTGCTCAATCAAAATCCATGGCAACATCAAATTAATGTTGGACTAATAAAAGATGACACTCTATTTTTAGACGGCTCCTTTGCCACTTCTTTACTATACTATGACGCAACTTTTTATCCAGTATTTATCGAGTACCTCTGTAATTATGTTGCGTAGTTACAACACTTCCTTGATCTGCTTTTCGTCGCTCGCGCTTGCAGATTCTTGCTCGCCTTTTGCTACAGCTTCAATGAGTTCCAAATGAAAGACGTCGTTCCAAGTTGAACATTGCAATGAGTTCGCGCTAAAAATCGTCCAATAAAATACTGTCTCCAGTGTCGTGAACGCGGTTGAATGCCAGCTCTGCATCCTCTCTAGCAGATAATACTATCGTGACGTTTCGTCGTCGAGGAAAGATGACATGACGATCCAGGGGAAACGTCCGCGCAAGCGCCGCCGTCAATGCAAGAAAGCGGCATTAGCATGTTTTCAATTTCCTTTTTGTGAGGAGTTGTATATTAAATATCACAAGCAGTAGCATCCCTCAACCTGGAAGGAATATGAGTCGATGTTGCCCGAACATAAATGTAATTTTCTAAGCAACAAAAAGCACACAATTGGTTTTTATTTCGAGAAGAAAAGCAACCCCATGAAGTTTGAAATCAAGCCAATCATTGTGGACGTGATGATCGGGGATCTGATTTGGCATCCAAAGGGCGATATGGAGAACAACGATGAGAGAGATCATCACGAAGTCAAACGCCCTCAAACTCTTCGCAAAGGCGACCGATGCTGCCCTGACGCGCCATACAAGGTCGCCATCAAGAACGTGATTGTGTACGAGCTCTCTAAGTCTCATACCTCCGTCAGGCAGTTGTTTCGGCAGACTAATCGTGTCATTGATCAGCACAAGATGATTTGCAAGAACCCGATGCTCGTAAGCATCAGCGATTATAAAGTCGGACTGTTCGTCCGCGTCGAGGTTGGCATCAACTTGCACGTTCTCACATCCATTTTCGCTCGCAAATTGGTATGGGCATTCTCCATTGCTGCTGACACTTCTTCACACCGTGGAGCATCATTTTTCGACATTCGCGTCCGCTTCGGCATTGTAGTCACGCTTTACAACCTGCATTTAATCATCTTACTGTTTTTTGAGCGCCAATCAGCGAACAATATCACTTAACTGATCATCAAAATGCTCAACGCTCTATACGATGGCTGGCGCGACAAGCTTTTTAGTATTACAACAGAATGCGAGCCGATGATGACAAGACAAATTTTGGGCGTCGCGACGCAACTTGTGTGCTAGGCAACCTATTCCACGTAACGGATCTAGTGTGCCCCCCACCAACTCGACTTGGAAATGAAAAGGGGCATGAATAATGTAATGGACGGTCAGTTCTATGCTATTGTTCACGACTTCTCAGTGTATCTTTGCACTCAGCAGATTCTCATCACCAAAATGAGCTCAACCTGCGCTAGAGATACAAATTGCTAGATGCATGTCACTACAATGCTGTCATGGATGACTAAACATCGTGTCCTTCTGTTCCTTCATATCGACGCCAAGCACCATGAATCATATGGTGAATCATCGCGTACTCCATCGTGCCAGTTGGTGAAGAGATCAACAAATTGTTCGTAAAGCTTCAAGGAAGCCTACTTGTTCTCTAGGAGCAACGCGACATGATTTTAAACACTATCGCGTCAGTCGTATCTTTGTGGGACATCCACCGCGGCAATCACAAGCTTCCAGAAGTATACAATGAGGCATTTTTCTACAAAAATTTGGACTGGTGGATCAAATACGATTGTGTGTCCAGATTTCATCACGGAGCACGGCAGATCGTTTGCTCGAGACCAATTGAACTTGCTTAGTAACGACGACAAGATCATTGTTAGCCAAGAATTGCCCGTTACGTCGTCGATCTGGTGATTGGCATGTCGGATATCATGGCCAAAGGTGACAGCGACAATCAAGCATCGATCAAGGAGGTCCCGCCGGTGATGTCCGCAGAGATCGCGTACCTTTTTCATAGAAATTTTGTTGCGGACGTTCTCGATTCGCTGCGCATGCGTCTGCAAAATTTTGGATGGACCAAAATTGATATCGACAATGTCGAGCAAGATCATCGCGACTTTTGCAACGCATACCGAAATGAATGTGCGCTCAAGGAAAACATCGACAAGCTTAATGAGGGCTGGGCCGTTGTTGGCAACCGTTACATGCATTTACGTGAAGTTTTGGTCGGATTGGCCAGCGTTTTTCACAATTCCACGTCGGTCGAGAGTGATTTCTCTATTGCCAGTGGGAACGCGATACCACTTGCCTGGTGTTAGCCAATCTCTCCTTGGAAGAGATCTTCTAGACAAAGCAGTCGGGACTATTGCGCAGCATTTCTGCGGAGGTGTAGTGCGAATGATAAGACCTCAAATTGAACGTAAGTTCAATTTGAACTTCATGTTGATTTTGCTAGTTTTTGCGATATTGCACCTTCAGTTGGCAAAGGTGGCATCCTTTTCAGGTCCACTTTATATTTAAAAGTCCAAAAAAAGGCAAATGCCACCTATTATGAGGAATGAATTAATGGCATATTTCAAATAGATGATAAATCCAAGTGGCAATGAAATCTTCAACATATCATTCTACTCAAACTTTGGCATGGCCAACTTATGAGGGAAGTGCAAGGGAGTGTCTCTTAAACCATAATGTCAACTATGTCATTATACAAAACTCTAAACACTTCATTTCACAAACTATGCATTCATTCATCAACGGTGAGAGTTACATATAATTAGCCATGTAGAAGGTTTCATCCAAAAGCAACTGCATTCAGAAATACATGTTCTCACATCACATAATGTTGAACATTAGAGGTATCAGTGATGAACACACTTGCTATCACAATACAACAAAATGTTACTTGAAATTAGTATATAAATTAACCCGTTAACCGGTGAAATTGAATAAACACGATTGTTGACACATTCTCGAATTCACAGCTTTAATTCCGAACTAGAAATATATGTTTTATAAATTATGCAAAAAATTCTTAAAGATTTTCGTAATACATTTACCTTGAAGCAAGTGAGCCATTTCAATCTTAATAGTCTCATACACATTGATTATAAACAACTTGGAATAGATATATTACTAATAATATCGCTAATGTGTTATGGCAGTGTTCCCAAGGTTCGCGCTATCAATTTTAGCACCTTGCTTTATTATAAACACTGCTTTGTTATTAAATTGTATTTCTTTATAAGTAAAATCTACTAACTTTTGAAAGAAATTAGCAAAATTTACAGATTCTGTAGCCCCAACTTCAACGCAGTTGGCTCGGGTGAGAGACGACTGAAGTATCCAACAAGACTGCAACGGAAGATACATAATCACTAAAACTATGATATGAACCAAATAGGTATTATTCAACTAACCATTATGATTTCTTTCTATATTGTCAAGTCGGTCGAAACCAGATACGAGGTGGAATATCAGCCGTACTCAATTTCCAACGGAGTGATTAATCTTGTAGGGGACCTCTTCACCTCGCTTGGTCTCATGCTAGATGAAGTCTCTCTAGGGATGATTGCATTATTGTTTCCAATGTCACAAGAGCAAACATCAAACTGTCCCTATGATAAGGTACGTTATACATTTGTTAAAGAAATTTCGCAAAGTGCATGTATCATTTATCTTTCGGATTCAACCGGAGGTGGAATTAGAGAACGAATTTGTAGAATTGCTTGGTCTAATATTTAATCTTCCAGAGAGTTCTGGAGTCAGTCTAGTCCTGAGTACGCGCTAAGATTTTCACAGGTTTCCCTGACAACGACGTTACGTTGAAGTAGCGAGGGACGATTCAAAGTCACGAATTATTCGACGGATACAAGTTCTTGGCTGGCTGCTCCAAATTAGCAGAGGTACGTATTCTTTGTTAGTTGTACATTTCTTCCCCTCCCTTACATAGCTGCGTCACTTCACAGTTAAATGTACACACCACAAATGGCATTCATCATTCATCATTCAACATCTACACAACCCACATGTCAGTAACTTGTTGGCTTTAACGTTAGCCTCAATCAACAGACTCTGAAAAGGGTGTACGTGGTGTACCATACGCTCATCATCAGAAGGTCCGTAGACAGGGACACTCCACTCGACGAACGTAATAGTACGCCTACACAGAAGTTCAACTGCAAACAATTAGCCACTATACACTGGCAGATAACCTTTCTTCGAGAGGTAACAGTGCGAAACGAAGAGGCACTTCCGATGCAAGTACTGTCCATGGCACACGTGCAATTACAGTACATGGCACCGTCTTCCACCTAATCAGTCGAGAGGGAAAAAGCCGAAGAAACTCGTGCTCGAGATATCAGGTGTCTGCCAGCAGTCGAGTTGTCGTAAAGACTTGACCACGCCTGGGAATTCACTTGGTCCTGCGACGATGACTGCACGCGAAATGCCCCGCACACCTCATCGTTTACTAAAACTTGACATCCTTGCACGAGACGCTTTCTTCTAAGTTGTCAGATTTTCCCAACCATTATTTTACATACTACTCTCCGAGTCGAGAGGATTAGTCATCTCGACAATTTGTACCGATCTCTTAAAGAGAAACCAAGTACAAGATAGAGAACCCCAAAACAAAAAGTACGAAGAAAAGGTTCAAGGGCACAAAATGAAGAAAGTCTAGGGTAGAAACCGCTGCGAGAAAACCTCCAAGCTTCTCAACTGGAAGCTAAACGCTCAATTTTTAGGATGCTATAAATTGTTCAACCATTTGTGATATAAATCGATCATACATGTGATATGTGCTGATCCTCGGAGACATGAAGGATATTCAGGGCCTAGTGTAGAGGCAGTAGTACCGGCAAATGCAAGAAGGCACAAGTCCTGTACCCTGATATGAGGTATACCCTTGATGGGTACATAAATATTACACCAAATGGAAACATCTAAAACTACATAGTACAGAAAAGAATTTAACACTAGTAACCATCCACAGGTATGCTCATCAATACCAAGGTCCGTAATTCTTCTGTCCATCGAGAGAGCAAGGGAATTGCCTCTTAATAGCAGACTGTCAATATTGGAACATTGTAGATTGTCCACCTGTAATTAAGATACAAAACCACCACAGGGATGTCTATGACCCACTCTCCCGCCCACGCTTCTTTCTCTTCATCTTCTTCATCATGTGTTACAAAAACCACCTAACTTCTCATCTGAAAAAGCTTCTATATGAGCCAACTGTTTACTCCCTCCGGCTCACTGACAGGGTGATGCACAGCTGTTTCTCAGAGATCCGGCTACGGTCACACAGCACGGTAGTTTGCATATTTGCTCGCTCTCATGTGCAAGTATACAAAAAGGATGAGATAAACAAATACCAACCATTCACTCAAGTAACGTGTGTGGAGATAAAGGTGTTCATAAAAAAGGAAAAGAGTTGGCTTGATCTGTTTTGATGACTATCATCATGAGCACGTTCTCTGCTTAGGGCAGTCGAGGAGTCGAGGCAGTGCCAATTCTCCACCCAACCCTGTGTACACACAAGATATCATAACCAGACATATCCCCCGGCTGCCCTCCAGGTCCTTAAGGAAATACTGTCTTCTCGCACTCATGCACGTGTCCTCTTACTCGGAGATCGGAATTAGCATGAACTCCAGCCAATTATAGAACTGGTGTTTTCCCACAGGGTGTTGGAGGACCCGTCCATGCGGTGCATCATGTTGTCAAAACAAGAAATTCTACTTTCAAACTTGAAGAACAGGCTCCGTCGCAGAGGTCATGTGGTAGTCAGAGCTGCCTCAGGCTCCTCGCTGCTATTATCGACAGGTGAAAGGAGCTCTAACTCAGCCCAGAGAAGAGGTGAACATTTGGAAGATGCTGCCTCTGGGGACATGTGCAGAGCATTAGACAGCATCCATGTTACTTCTCTCATCGAAGGGCGTTTGCTGGCCCTTGGTTGAATGCACAGGCGCACGACCTCACAAATGGCCACCAGTTCGTCGTTGTTGTAAGATTTCAACGAGGGATCCACCATGTACCACATCATCTTGGCGTCGCTCAGATACTCCTTCGCCTACATATTGTGATCAGAAAATATATTATAGCTAAAAAGACTTGCTTCATTTCGGCAGATTGATATCACTACTGTCGACAAACAAAACTTTCACAAAGCTTATTACACAATTATTGCTAATCAAAACGTGCCCATATAAGTGCTTCCAAGAACAAACTTTGTATGTGCACCTTCAGTCTAAGATAAATGGTGCAATTTACAAACGAGAATTGCTTTCAAAAGACCGGAACACCCACCCAGTCGATAAGCGATCCTTGTGTATCACTATACGGGGTTCTCCCAGTAAGCGTCTCCAGTAAAAACACACCGAAACTTAAGATGTTGCTCTCGAAGTCAGGGGCATGCCTATCATTGCCCTCACAGTCATCATATCCGATAGCGTTTATGAATTTACTGAAAGACTTCCGCCTGCCAAGATTGTTGGTCCCGACAGAGAGCTTCGATATGCCGAAGTCCGCGACCTGACCAACACCAAGCCGTTCATCAACATTAGGAAGGTTCGTCACATAGACGTGCTAGACATTTCACTTATGTACTTAAGCACTTTCATTCCAAACAATGCATTAAAACTGAGGACTGACGCCACTTTCGATTCTTGAAGCAAAATGTGTCGAAAACAGTTCAATGGCAATTTGAAATGAACACACCTTGGCTGCGTAATCTTCAGTGAGATAAACAGAGTTGGCATCGAAGTTGAGATGGCTGGTGGGAGGCACAAGCTCATGATGCATGTACTGTAAGCCGTAAGCAGCCCCCATCACTATTCTCATTCGCATGGGCCAATCCAAATGCTCCGACTCCTTATCTAAAATCACCACATAGAAGTTCAGAACAATTAAGTTCTTCGGACAAGTTCCTTACAGGACTGCTTACAGGCTTCATAGACGTCAACGGCGAAAACACTTAAGAAGAAAATGGAAAGAGTGGTGGTAACTCAAACTTGACTAGCCAACATGTTCAGACAGGAGGAATCCGAACTACATCTGTCATTGATTACAATATTTACACTCTTAAACGCCTCTTTTAAGCACATATAACTACTGATCTACATGAGTCGAAAACAAATTTACTTCTCCCACAGGGAACTGTACCCTCTTGGACTACACCGTGAAATCGAGGCAAGCGTTTTATCTTCACACGCGGAGCATATAAACAACTTGATGAGCAAACATGCGTTCAGGGCCGCGGGCTGATAATTACTGTGTAGGTGTTCATAAAGAGTGCCATTCGGAGCATATTCGAAGACCAACATTCTTTCAAAAGGTTCTTCTTCTGTACAATATGCCAGCAGGTTGACAAGATTTCTATGATTCATTCGGGCTAGAGCTTCAACCTGCACATCCACACGGAAAAATAATATTTAAGGTTCGGAGAATATGCCTTCATAAGTTGGACAATAGGTACATCACTCGCTTTCAAACCCCATTGTAAAATTTGAAACTTCACTAATATCTGGTGTACCTTCCGACGGAAATATAGCTCTGTATTGGGAGTCCAGCTTGTAGGAGGTATTCGAATGCTCGTGACAGCAACCTCGGTACCATTTGTAAGAGTCCCCTTAAAGACGATGCTCTCTGCCGAGGAACCGATAATATTGCTGAAGTCTTCACAAGCAGTCTCCAACTCATCTCTACTTATTGATGGTACCCCTGTTAAAATACAAGGCATATTAAATATCACGTTACAGAATGTAATCAAGAAACCGAGTAACTCAGTCGTTGCTACAGCAGTCAATGACGAGGTCCTTGAGCAAAAAGTTTACTCTACAACTCTGATACACATGTTTGTGACACTCAGACAGTGGGTCTCAATCGGGAAAATCTAAGAGAGGAACAAGACTAACACGAACGTTCCAGTCGGGAACTCATTGTCCACAATCTTCTATTCGAGATGGGCCTGGGTTTCTGCCACTACTTCGCTCCGATGTGCCCGACGGTTGCGCTCAAGGAGGCGTGAAAGAATGGAAGGAGTTGGTGAAAAGGATGCAGTGAGTAATCAAAATGCGTAGCTGTTCATCTATTCAGAAATACCTGTAACGAAAGCTTTCTGCAGCTGACCGCTCATGTGACCGCTCATTCCAGCTTTCCATGGGCTTACTGTTGCTCTTTTCCTCTTTCTGCGAAGGCATGTGATAGCTGATACCAGAAGTAAGAGTAAGAAAAGTAGAAACGCTGCGGGTCCTATCAGGAATACCCATAACAGCGGCTCGCGACTAGAAGAGGGCGGGTCGTCCAGGACAGGTGCTGGTGGAGGCGGACCAGTTGTGGAATTCGTACTGTTCGAGGTTTTGCCACGAGGTGCTGGTGCAGAATGTGGTGGAGGAACCAGACCAGGTGGTGACGCTGGTGGCTTTTTGTTGCCATCTGCGGTACACACAAACACAAAAGTTCGAATCAAATTAGCAAACTAAATGCAAGAAACCTTAGTTTGAAATACAGATGAGAAAGCGAAGACTTGCTAAACTTTCGGCAACAATGTGTATATCCCAGGGAGCATACAAAGACCTAGGCCTCTTCTCATAGAACTGAAACTACTATCAAGGCTTGTGAACTGTTACTTCGCTTCGTTATGTCAGTGCGGCATAGACATTTTCTAGCTTGACTTAGAGCAAGAAGTTCGTGAGTAAGCCTTGGAAGTCTACTCCTGATCTGGCAGGTACACAGCGGACTCTCATATCTCACGGTTCAAAGAACCGAAGTGGGGAAACAATTCTAGAGCAACAAAAACACGGTCCTCGTCATGTGGCATCTCAAGAACGAAAGCACTGTAGCAGCCCTCGGCAGGGAAACCTACTCGCAAACCTGGTTTCTATCTTCGGGCTTCTCATTACCAAAAATATTTGAAGGAGAACCACTTAGCGATCTAGATCGCGGACACGGTATCAAGGGTACTTAGAAACGTCTGTCGAGAACCGCGACATCACAAGAAAGCCGGGAGAGAAACCAGCTACGTTCAACGCGTTGTTACGCAGCTTGGACGCCAAAAGCACTCTTCAACCAAAGACATTGCCTTGCCTTGAGTTGTCATGCGGGGAGGACTTCATACGGATTCAGCTCTATGCGTTCACGAGACTCGCGCACATTGACTTATCCTTCAAATGGTCAAGAGGTTGTTGCTGAGCGTGGCTCTTAGTAGAAGGCAATGCCCGGAGAAAACTGGGGGCGGGGGTGGAGCATCTTCAGAGTTTCCGAAACATCTACGCTGGGTATCCAAAACGTACCTTGTAAAAGTACACGCCCAGAGCAGCGGTGAACTGCGCCCGCCAAGAACACCAGCACCAAAGTCCCAGACAGTAACACCCTGTTGCATTCTCTCGTTGACCTCCTTTGACACATTCCCATGACCTTGTGTCTGGCATGCGGGATATTCACGTTTTCCTTCGTATGTTCCTCACTATGACGATTTGTCAAATCGGTGTCCAGCAACTACTGCGAGAAGCCTCATTCATAAAGCTGATGAGAATCCTGTGCTTCATACGGTGCCTAACCCACGCCAGATCGAATAACCTCTGTTCTCCAACCTGTGAAATCCTTATCCTTCTAAAGGGACCCAATCTTGGTCCTTGATCCTGCGAGATACTCCCGGCGCCGCCTAGCTCCAACCTGTGAAACATACTGTCTTGTTTCCATTACACGTGCTCCTGGGGGCTTGATCCATTGAGTCCAACTATCTGCGTCGTTGAATAAACGTGGATCCTCAAACCTGGTCCACCCTCTAGTATGTCCCGGCGAAGCCACCAAGAGAAACTCTCATCCTCCGCGCAATTCCCTGGAACCAGCTAGTTTCACCGGAACTTCAACTTCATGTGCCCGTTGAGAGCGTCGATGGCTGTCCTTCGGCAACCGAAGTCTTCGTCCCAAAACAACACACCCCGCTCCGAAGAAAAGACAGCCGGTTCAATGAAGTGGAGAGTTACATGAGTACTGCGGGGAGCTAAGATGCAGGTCGCAGGGGACGAAGAAGTCGGTTGAGCAATTAGCTGCTTGAATCAGAGGCAGCAAAATCGCCAAGGTGACAGAATCGTTTGTCACGGGCTTAACATAAGCAAGAGTTTTACGTAATACACAGTTCGGAAGCGACGACACAGCGAGACTGTTGCAGAGATAGATCTAGGGTGGCAAAAGAACGAAGCTAGCGCAGAGAGGAGAAGTGTTCCATTTACAAACTATCCCTCCCGGTCGGAGCGAGAAAGACTACCCGACCCGAACCCAAACCAGGACCAATGAGCCTGAGCCAGCTAGAGTTTCGACTCGACGGGAATTGACAGGAGAAAAATGCCTACGCGAAAAAAGCGTGGGCTAGACCGAGGGTCGGGCACGCGAAAAACCACACTCTAACTCACTCGCTCACACAGGAAGCCTGACGGGAATCTTCGACTTCTTCGTCTTCTTCCTCTTCTTCGTCCTCGTCTACTACTGTCCACTATCCTCCATCATCTGAGGAAGCAGCGACCGGTCGCGCGAGGAATCAATCTACCGAGCCCGCAATCGAAAATTTGCAATCGCGCACAGCACAGCCGAGCCACACCAAGAGAGAGACCAGCGTCCTGTGCTGCGCTTCGTTCGTGAGGAGAAAGCAGCCAGCCAGCAGCAGCTGCAGCAGCAGCAGCAGAGTGCAGAGCAGAGAGACGACCACCACCACCACCTCCACCTCGAGGCTCGAAGCGTGCGCGAGCGTGTGAAGGCATGAATGAACTGGACCTCCCCGCCGCATGCGTCGCGCGCGTGACTTGCTCGCTCCATCCCACCGGCCACAGCCGGTCGCGCCACCGGCTCCCGCTTTTTGAACCTCGGCCCTCTCCGGCCCCAACTGCCGTACTCGCCAGCTGGCGCACCGCGTTCCGCTCCTCCCTCTTATTGTTACTCCAGGTCCGCTCCCCGCAGGACGACTTACCCCATTTATTTCCGGACATCGGCCCGGATCCGCCTTCGCACCGAGGACGGTTTGTCCACTGTGTAACGGAGGCCGAGCAGGGCAAAGCTTTGGTCCAGCGGCTCTGCGCGCTCTCAACGAAGGAGTGGCTCTTGTCCAGATCATGGCATATTAAAAGCATAACCTGGGAGATCGCCCTTGTCGTCTTGCGGGTCGTGTTGGCACTCGGCCGCGCCTGCAGTAATTTATTCAAACGCGACTATGTGACTAAGCTTGTCACCTCCAATACGTTATCTAAAAGTCTTCAGGCTGCGATACACAAATTACACTCAACGGCGAGTTCTCTGCTCGGACCGCTCGTTGGAGCCGGTGACCGGCGCCATGTTCACAAACGTAGATTCACGGCCACAACGGCCGGGAGGCTGAGCCGCTGACGGGTAGTATCCAAGGCTAGTAGACCCGATCGGCCCGGGCCCACCACGGCCAGGACGGGTTAGTATACGGACCGGGTGTTAGTTTGCTGATTTCGTAGGCGCTAGACGTCAGGTTAGCGAAACTGAATACGTAAACGTACACTTGATACGACAGGATTATCCGGTTCTGAGTTGGATGTGTGTGAACCAACACAGTAAATGCGCGAAAGGCTGGATCATTTAATACGAGGGAGCCACGAGAATTGCGAGTAGTCGGATATGATAAAATACTGATGGTCGAGACGGGGCACTCGAAGCAGTATCTCTCGTTCTCGACATGTATACACATCCCTTTAGGGAATTCTTAAATATCTACAAGAGAGCGCTTTAAACAAAGCTGTCGACTATTCGGCTGCAAGGCCATGCACACAAATCACGAACCTTACCCATGACGAACCTCTTTCGAAAAGGATACACCGTTGTCCTGCCCGTCCGTGGAACTAACCACAGGAGTAGAAAGATTGTTCAGCTTTTCGAGATAGCAAGGTCCTGTCAGTCCGAAAAGCCAAATGAAGTTTATGCTACTAACTCTAGGTTTGCCTTATCTCACGGATAGTGGATCCAAAAAAAGCTACATTCTTCTTAATCGTCTTCAACTCCAATTTCGATGAGACGAGAGATATATAAGAACAAATGCAGGTTTGACTTGCGAATAAATGCACGGAGACACATGCACACAGAATCACGTAGATTCATTTGTTTCAAACTGAATAAACACATTATATATATATGTTCATAACGGATATGTTTATGTTTTCGACGTTTGGATTTGTATATTTTGAATAACCAAATAACATAAAAATTCTTTGTCACAAATTCTTATTTTAGAACAAAGTATATTACCATACATATTATTTATGTCACACGTTTTTATTTTGAAACAAAGAAATATATAACATATTACCATCAAAGAAATCACATGCATTTACATGACGTGACTCATCAAAATCTAAATTGTTCCATGGGAACCATGAAGTTTTGTTTTTTATCCAAGGGCGTACCATCATCGGAGTTCTGAAATGTGTTTTTGTACACATATGATGCAAGTTTTAGTGCAACTCTGCAATCACAAATTGCTACCATGCAAATTCCACAAATTTCTGTCATTTTTTTTACACAAATTTGTTGTTGGATGCAAATCTTGAACCGTCATCTTCGTCCGTGTCCCTCACGATCACTCGCTTCTTGTCGAACTCTCTATTCAATCGATTGGACAATATGATCGATCTAGTGAAATTTGTGTCAAATTTTATTTAGAAAATTGATAGATTTTGCTGTCTTCGCACTTGATTTATACCCATTGGATATCATATCGCACTTCGAACGAAGTCAAATTTGTCCAGGAATAAATAAAGAATTTGAAGATGTTGATGTTAGATCCAACTCCGTCAACTGTAATTCTGTTCCGTCGCGCAGCCGTGACTAACTGATTTCACTGCTCAGTTTTCTAACTTGTATTTCTAACTTGTATATGATTTTTACTCCAAACCACCAAAATATATAAAGCAAACATTGTTTTGCTCATAACACAAATCAAGCTCTTTTGTGCCAAATTACACAAACGATCTCGTGAAAATCGCTACTCATTCCACTTCCTACGCCATCTACTAATACTTGAACATGTGTGATGTGTACTATCGTTAGAGTCTCAAGGAGTAAAATAAATTAAAAGGTTACTAATAACCAATTTATGTTTTGAAGGTTTAACATCAAGAAAAAATTGCATACTATAAACATGATGAGCCAACAAAAACATGACTATGTCTATGTGGCTTCACACATAATCTTATAACTAGAGAACCACATAAAACTAAAGATTTAATGATAAATTTGTTTAACATCCGAATGTTAAATCCAAAAGATGAATTATGAAGAAAAACCCCACATGGCGATATGTTTTAATCATGAAATTACTACACATTACAAATTTCTATCCAATTCTCAATTTTATTTTTTTTCAAAACATTATGAAATACTTATATTGGAAGTGTTTATAAATGAAATAATGGATTCATCTTGCCAAATATGTTTAAATTTTGACTCCACATCTAACAATTTCTTGTCAATGTAAAATTCATTCACATGTACATGATAAAGCATATAGCAAAAGTATTTTAAAAGTGAATTAAAGTTGACTTTTGGTACGGATAATTATTCACTTATGTAATTAATTATTGCAAATTTCAGATAAAAACAAATATTCATGAGCAAAACATATTCAAAAAAATTCACTTCAATAATTTTTTTAGATATCTTCATATAAATGACAAATTTTGATAAATCATATAATCTTTTAGTTTCAAAAATCAAGAAATTTAATGTTTTTCTACTCTTCATGTAAGAATATGATTCAATAATAAAAATTATTGCAATTATTTCAGATTTTTGAATATATCATTGATTTTAAAAACTTAAAATTTTAAATTAATGTCAAATCAACTAAATATTTGATTTTCAAAATTTAAAAACCAAGAATCAAAATATTAAAAGTGATTTTTATTTCAAATTATTGAAAGTGAACTCCTTTAAATATTGGAAGTCAACAATAAAAAATGTGATTCAAATAGATAAATAAATAAATATTTTTTTAATGTAATATAAACATAAGCATATAAATGAACTAACCAAGTTGTGAAGTTTAAAACCAAGTTGAAATTTAAATTCTTGTTTAAAGTTTATGTTTTTTTGTCGATAATGCACATTGAAGATGGATTGAGATTTAAAATATGTGACAAATCTTACTTTTCATTGAACATTTCAAAGTCTCATGATAACAATCACATATATGTATATATATAATAAATCAAATTTAATTTAGAATTTTAAATAAAAAATTAATTGATATCAATTTTTGATAATTTCAATTTTTAATTGATACATGTAGCAATTATATGGGTTTGGTTCATATAGCTTATAAAATCATATTACTATAAAATTTTTGAGATACATGTAATAAAACATGTGATAATATTTTACAATTGCAATTTAGATTTCAAATAAATTAATTTAAAACATATAGCATAAGTGATATAAATTGAAGCTGAATTTTAACTATAAATATTTTAACATAACAATCATTCAAATTATTCACTCATGCTTGTTCTATTGTTCAACTATGTCAATTTAACAAATGACAATTTTCATGCATTTTTAAAATAACAAACAAACATATTTCTTCAATTCAATTATCATATAATTTAACCAAAGAAATGAAAGAAAGTCATGAAATAGTTTAACTTATATGCACAAAAGAAATTCTTCTTCTTTATATATCGTTGGTTTTCTTTTATCTAACAAAATTCAAGACAATAATTCTAAAATTAAAATTCAACAATAACTCAACATCTAAAATATGGTTTTGCAATTTGTTTGAAAGATTTAGTTTTGATGCATGGTTTCTAAAAAATACTAAAAACATGTTCATGACATAAACACACCTTCAATTTGATTAATTTAAAAAACTTTGAAAAAATAAATCTTCATATATTTATTTGAAACAAATGAAAAGAAAGCATGCATGAAATCGTTCATTATGAACAAAAAAGTCACCAGTTTTTTAATTTATTTTGTAGTTAAAGCAAAAAGTAAAAACTTTAATATTTGAATATTTTCTGTTTTCTAAATGTTTCAAATCTGATTGTTATGATAAATTTACTATTTTTTCAATTTTAACAATCATAATGTAACTTGCAAAGAATAAACTGATACATCACAATATCAAATATATTAGAAAATATTATAGAAGATATGAAGGATGTAAATAATATCAACATTGTCATTGATTTTCATTTTTCTATTTCTTTTATAACAAAAAATAATCCAAAATGTTTTTATGAATTTTTTTTTAACAAGATTTGTGTTCCATATTGATAAAGAGAATGAAATATATGTATTATGATGTTTATGTGAGGGAAAAACTATTTAGATTATTAGTTTTTAAAGGCATTTTTTTACTTAAAAGTACACATCATGTTTTAGGATTTATGAGAATATTTATTTACTTTTAAAGTATTTTTAATGGAACATTTATACCATTTTTCAATCTTAAAATTATATACAACCAAAAAAAAACATTGATATTACATTCAATTATGAATTAAATTTTCAATTAGTTTTTTCCAAAAAAATGTTGAAACAATTTAACTTCCAAAATTGTTATTTGTTATAACAAAATGATGTGAGTATTTGACATAAACCAATAAAATCAAAACTCATGATAACATAATGCTTTTAAAGCATGATACAGAAGATAAACTTTGTAACCATTGATATATTCTAATTAATTATGAATTTCTTAGTAGATAAAATTTGTAAAAAATGCTATATACTTGTTTAATAACCATATTTTTTTTCAGTAAATAATAAAATAAAATTTGTTGAATCATCTTTTAAAATCTTTATTGGATGATTGATTGTGCATGCAATGAATGAAAAGAGTACCATTCATATTTGTTAGGTTAATTCTATCTTGGATTAACTCCAATTAGTAATTACCATGGTCAGTGAAGTTGATAGTGGTTAGCCTAACTTAGATGTGCAACTTATCTCTTATTGTATGGAAGAGAGTAGAGTCATTAAGTAACTACAGTTCAACGTTGCACTTTGAGAGTGCGCAGTAAGGATGAGAGCTTGACCATGTAGTCGGTGTATACACCTGGACTTTAATGAAGTATTTGCTCTTACTCATGGGAGTAGCATATGGAATGTGAACCACGTTATCTCGATGTTGCGACTGTCGTGCGTGTTGATAGATCTTGATGGTTGGGAATTTTAATATTATACACCTACAAATATCTTCATATATACTCTAGATATCTAAATAGAATATCATAACATTGTAAAAAAACTTAAAATTACAAAATTGATCTAACAAAATGTCACATTGATGATTTTAACACATAATCTATAATGTTTCAATTGGTCACAAAATACATTATTCAGATGTCTATACTCACAAGCTTGATATCGAACTAAGCAGACTTAAAAACATAAAATGACATATGATAGTTTAAGGTACATAAAAAACATATGTCTATTTGTGCGAAAACTACATGATGTTACATCATCCATGGATATACAAAGTTTTTTGTATATCATTCAATATCATGCATGCTAGTTTAGATAAAAAAATAAACATTGTATTTTACTTACGTATTTCCATATTTCTCAGTACAGGCGGAAGAAAAGTCACATAGCTCGTAATGAAAATCTTATTTGATAGCTATGATTAAGAATCTTTGTTTATGATGTAATGTATGAAAATTGAACGTTGAATTATGAGAAGGTAATTTTGCTTTTTAAAATTAATCGAATGATATTTGTTGATGTTTGAAGCTTGAGATTGCAGATTTCTGAAATTTATCACATTATTTTGTTCTCATAGGAACTTACACTTTGGTGAGACAATTAGGATTGTAGATGATATATACATGTGGAGAGAGAGAGTCTATGAAAAAATTGGTGGTACAATGATGAAAGTTACATCTAGTTCCGAGAGTAGAATGTAACTTCTAGTTAGTCCCATCTACGCATAGCCAGTATAAATGACATATTAGAAGGCTGATTGAAGAGGGTGTGCAATAAAAGAATGATAGTAGGAATACAGAATGAGACTGCTTGGCAACGAATCATAAATGCAAAGCTCGCAGTCGGGTCGTGTACTTTACAGCCGAGACCACGGCGCAACGGTTGTGGGGGTAAATATTTTTCTCAAGCCCACTGCGTCGAGCTTCGCCCACGGGCCGATTGGGAAAACAAGGACCAGCACGGCGTGTGCCTGCGTTCTCCACCGGTCGCGCAAAGGAACTGGCGGTACTGCCAGGGCCTTCGTCATCGTACTCGTCTTCCGTCCGGTTCGCGGATGGAAGGGATCGTGCAGCCGAGAGTGGCTCCGCGGGATACATCCGACGGCTGGCGTTGAGCGGAAGGAAGCTCTAGACGTCGAGTCCTCGGTGGAGAGTGAAGGCAGGAAGGTGTTTGCGGGCCGGGGGTGTTTAGGAATGTTGTCTGCTCGTACCGAGGTTTAGCCGACTTTTCCTCGTGCCTCAACGTCTGCCGAGCATGGTCGATCAGTCTCTGGCCTCTCTTCCATCGTGCGAATTGGTCCCGCCGAGAGGTAGAAATTCAGCTCGCGGATTGATCCTGCCTGCGTGTTCTGCAGGAATCTTTTGCTCTTCTTTTAGTAGAAAGTAATAGCCTCGGATTGTAATATGATCGATCAATCGAGTTAGATTTGATGGTGTCGATGAATACACGAAATTGTAGAAAGCCGGAATTGTTTTTTTCTGACTTGGTGTCACAATTTTACTCGCATTCTGCGGAACTAGCAAAACTGCACCTTTTTTTCATTGATCCCGTCTACATGAACGAGCTTCCCTTTGCCGTACATACAGGAACCTAAATGATGACATTGTCAGTTTACGATGTCAGAGATTGTGGGAAGGCTGCCAGCAGAACCGAGTTGTCGTAAGCTCTGGAATTCCCGGGGTTGCTGTTTGGAGCTTAGATCCAATCAAAGCTTTACTCTGTGCAAGGAGATTATGTCAAGCGTTCCCCACTAATTCATTTCTTTAACAATCACTTCCATCGAACAAACTCTGAGCACGGCTACAAAACATGTCTTGCCGCCATCGAAAGAGCTTTAGGGTAGAGACACCTGCTAAAAATTTTCGGAGTCAATTTTTGTTTTTCCATACAAGGAAGTACTCATTCGTTTCCACCACGGAAACTGAAGCACATCCCGGCCGCCCTCAGCGTAGAAGAAGCTCTCTGTAAAATCTGTAGCACTGTACGGCGTGCTTTCAGTGGCGGAAAATTTCGTGTATAATTCTTCTCGTTAACATGAATTCATTCACTCTGTGCTTCGTAGGTTGGCTACATTAAAAGTCTTGTCGAAGTGTATGCGGGAAGGATGAATGAGGTGTGAGGTTCTTGAAGACGATGAGGATGAGGATCGGAAGTAGTACACCTCAAACGATCGGAGTTACTACGCCGCTATCATCGAGGTCCCAGCGAGTGGTGGGCCAATCTGGAACACTTATTTTGCATTTGTGAGTAGGCTCTTTATCTCTTAAAGTTGATTCCATGGTCAGGTTTACACGCCAGTGGACTATTCCATCGTGGAATTCTAAGTCTTGTCACGCAGTTGTGCCATTACGAAGGTTTTGTAGTCCACCGTCCATGGCAGCCATAATTGTGGCCAAGTGTCATGTCAGTCAGCTGTTATGATTAAGGCATCCGAGGTCCAGTTCTCTGTCTCGTCAGCACCTTACGGCGAGCATGATGTGCAATCAACTTGTGCGTACCATTTGGTGTCCCGTAAGCAAGTTGGTTTCCGGAGGACTTACATGGGATCCATTCATTCATTCATTCATCCATTCATTCTCTGAGCCTGTCTTCCTTATGAATGCTCTTCTTTAGGTCGAGCAAGTAGCTGTCAGTCGTCGTCGAGTGCGGAGTTGATTTTTTTCTTCATTACCAGGCCTGTGATTGTGGTTCGGTCCGGTTGAGCTGTTGTGTGTACTGTGTCTAGGATACCCTGAACCTGAGCAGCCATCGCTGCAAGCAAGATTCTCTTCGCACGATGGAGCGCGATGGGTTCAGATCGCCAGAGGAGGGCATGGTGGAGTCTTTCAGATTGGAGAGCGAATCATCGCAGCTGCATACCGATCATTACCTGGCGTGGGAGGGGAATCTGCTGCAGCTCATCGAAACTTCTCGGACGAAGGATGGTCGAGCGGTGCTTGCTGATCTGAAAATCATTCCTGTACTTCTGGCCTTGTTGAAACGATTTCATACGAGCCTTTTAGTGGGTCAATCTTCGAACAGCCCTCCTCACGAGCCATCGAAATCCTCGACTACCCTGTTGCTGTTCTTGAAACTCCTACGAAATCTGTGCGCTGGGGACTCGTCAAACCAGGATGCATTTCTTGTCGAAGAAGGACCCCTTGTTCTTGTTCCGATTGCCACAGCACTCCTCTCAGTGTGCAGGCCCAGCCGGGATTCGAGAATTTCCGACGATCTTTCGAAAGTTCAAATTTCCAGTTTGTCAAGCATTTCGAAAGAGATCACAGGAACTGGTAGTCCCCAGCAAGGAGACATTTACTCCCGAATGAGGGCAGATTTGGATGTCCTCGGTGGAAATTCTTCTGAAGTGCGGTCGTCAGGTCGTGAGAGAGTTCTTTACGCGGGCGATATTTCTGCGTCTGCTTGCTTGGATTCCGTCCGTATGCTATTACAACTGTTGGGAAACTTCTCCCGCGGTGGAGATGCGTGTGAAGAGGCCGTATGGCAAGAGTTTTATCCCAATTTGTTTTCTGAACTGGCATCACTGCAGTCGAATCAGACTTCCGACGTCTTGTGTATGGTGTTGTACACGTGCTGCAAGAACAGCAAGCAGAGATGTTGGCAACTATGCCAAGGTCAGGGTGCCGTTCTGATGAGTCTTCTCATCGTTGCAGCGACGGAGAACAACCCAGGTGACAATCATTCCTGCGTGATTTTCAGTCTTGTGAGAGCCATGTGGAAACCATATCTGATTTCTGAGGTATGAAGTTTTCTGAATGCATTATGAATGACGAAGTCATCTCGAATCCTAGCGAAGTTCCGAAAATGTGTCGGTGATTTCAGGGAGATGTGTTAAGAATCTGTAGCTGTGTACAATGAAGTTAATTCGGATTGCAGGGTATTGAGTTCTGTCTGGTTCTGGTATATATCATCACATGATCTCTGTCGAGGGTTATTCGTTCCTCCTTTTCTCCCTCCTTGTCCTCTCTCCCGCTTCCATAATCCTTTCTCGTGGTGTGTCGTGGGGACTATGGTCTTGAAGCTGTGACAGACAAGTACTTACGAGTGCAGTGTATTATCTTACAGAGGCCCAAGATACAGCCCAAATAAATTGGTTCGAGCTACTCGTTCGACATATTTGCCTCGAGGAGTCGCTCTTTCCATTGTTGTTCACAAACCTTGGGATCCTTCCTATGAGACGAGAATTGGAGTTTTCTAAAATTCATAGCGAAGAGTGCTTGTGCGCATGTCAACTCTGGCTCAAGACATGCACCTTCACATCAGTGCAGGCCAGCCTCTTGTACGCAGTTCTGGATTGTCTCACCGTCGATGTAGAAGACGCTTCTACTCTGACGGAGGATGAAAAAGTTGGCCGATCCGTCGATTTAAATTCTTACTTTTCAAAGCATGTCATGCTTTTCTCTGTGAGAATTCTCGAAAGGGCCGCACTCTGCGTTGTGGAAGAGTCAGACGAGGACTCGGTATCATCTGTGCGTCCTCTGCACTCAGGATCTCCCTCGGTTCAAATCATGGGATGTTTGTTGCACTTCTGGAGAATACTTTGTACTTGTGAGTCTAGAAGCGAACAACGGCTTCTCTTATCGCAAGTGCTCGTCCAACACGGCCTGCTTGACCTTTTGCTGAAATTGCTGGAAGCTCTCGGCCCCCCGGAAGCTCATGGCAAGAAATCAGTGGCTCGCAACCACGAAAGGGATGTCACGTCGTCTGGACCTGGAGCTGTTCCACGTACAATGTGTTATCAAGGTTACAGGCGGGACATTGTTGCAGTGATTGCAAATGCCTCTCATCAGAACAGGTTAGTCCAAGATCACGTCAGAGAAACGGGCAAACTCCTGTTGGTGCTTCAGCAGAGTACGGTGGAGATGGACAATCCCTTCTTGAGAGAATGGGGTTTGTGGGCAATGCGCAATCTGCTCGAAGGCAACACTTTGAATCAGAAAGAGATTTCTTCCTTGGAGTTACAAGAAGCAGTGAATCTTCCAGAACTTCACAACATGGGGCTGCGCGTCGAGATCGATCCCAAGACAAGACAACCCAGGCTTGTGAACACCGGTTCTCGATAGTAATCTGTATCCTGAGAATGAGTTCTTATTCAGTCATGGTTGAAGACGAAACAGGTACAGGTTCCACTCCATACACTCAGTGTTGGCTTATTTCTTTCATCTGTCATTCTTTAATTTGCTGTTTCTGGGGTCGATGCGAGCAAAGATATTCTCATACAGGATATACAGGAAAATGCGCAGAAGATTTTGTTTGCTATTCCGCATAAGTTTTCCACGAAATTGGGTCTAGTTGGTACAGCCATGGATTATCTTCGTTGAAAATCAACGTGGACGACTATGGCATACATGAATGAATGAATGAATGCATCCCGAGGGATTCTCTCTCTTGAAGCTACTTAGTACTACTCTGCTGCAGGTACGTACTATTACGGACACTGGACACGAGTGCGAATGAAGAGGTTGTCCTGTGATTCAAGGCGCTATTTGAGATCAACCGAGATTCACTGAAGCACAGGCTCATGTGCTCTTCAAAATCCAGGTGTACTAGGAGAGGTTCAGGACGTCGGTACGCATCTGGACGGGGATCTTCTGACTGCCAGCAAGTGGAGAGGACGATACTAGGTTTAGGGGATCTGGTTTCGGAGATGTCCAGGATGGAGCCTGTCTGTCGGATAGATCCGTAGGTTTCTGTCTGATGTGTGCGGGTACGTTTCACCTCTCGGCACTTTAACAGGTCACGAGGAGGAGGCTGCAGTTATTATCGAACTGAAAGATCCGAGTGTGTAATTGGCATAACTCTTCTGCTGAGAAGTGCATAGGACGGGTCCAGTACTGGGTATCAGAAAATGGTGGAAGTAGTTCATAGGCAAGGTCAGGTAATTGTGGTAGGAGATCCTGGTTTCTGCACAGGACATTTTTTTACAGCTTCGAGGTCATAGATTGCAATAATGTCCTGTAGAAATTAAAATGCTATGGAATGCTTTTAACCTTTAAAGGAGTAAAGTAAACCAGTGCCTTATTTTTCAAGTTCTTGCGTGGACATCATTCATACTCACTCCTGCTGTAGTCAGAGTCGCCTGTCCGGGAGTAAAAATCGCATCCAAACAACAGCCTTCGCTGGAAGTCACCGCTCCGTATTGTGGCGCTGCCTAGTCTATTGAAGGCCTCAGGTCGAGTTCATCACGTTCATGTCTTCATCTGCATTTGGTGTCAGGCTTGGGTCTAATCGGCTTCAGATTTGCATGAGCAGCAACAGATTTTGGTGGAATTTCAGCTACCACGTTCTGTATCGAGTATAAATGCCCACAGGACAACGCTGATCCGAGGACAACGCTGCGAAGCAGTAATTAATTAATTACCCCTCGAAACTGACATAATCTCGCGAACAGGCCTTTGCCTGTCCAACCCCGTCTCCCCGCATGTGCGACTGGGAGATTACGCATGCCACCAAGAGAAACATGCCAGAGATTTGAACTCGGGAAAATCAGCGTCATCCAGTGGTCAGGCTCTGGAAAATTCACCGAGCATTAGTAGGGGTTATCTTCTCCCGAGGGATTGCGAAAAGACATCACCTAGATTTAGCTCCGTGGTTCTCCACTTCATCTTTATCTCTCTGCCTACTCCAAAGGCCATACGATATTGCGAAACCCAGGACTAAGATGACAATAACGACGAGTGAAGATCTGGTAAGTAGGGGCTGCAGGTAAGGGTACACAGAGCTCCGAACTCTGAGCACACAACGTCGGGAAGAAGAAATTGGTTCTGTACCGTTGGCAACGCCGGCGACGGGCGAGCGTAAGAGTCGACGAGGGAACACAACCATTCCCAACTTCTCAAAGACACGATGCACATGGTGGGACGAGAACCTCTGGAGTCTATGAAGGTAGCGCCGGAACGAACTCGTCGGGTTCGTGCTGCCGGGGACAATGGCGGGCGGAGGTATCTCTGGAACAGATATCGTGGAACCCCCTGATTCAGAGGGCATGACTCTGCGATCTTGTCACCCACTTTCTTACTGGCCTCGACCTCGTATACCATTGCTCCACCGGCAGTCATTCAAGAATTGGATCCCCGGCTTCTAACCCGAGCTCACGAAATCATGCACGAACCCGACGATTGACGTCACTCACTCTGCCCGCCCAGAAACCTAATTCTCTACGAGATAAGTGGAGATACACCGGGCCTCCTCAGCAGCTACATCTCGTGCTGGATCAAAATTCACAGAAATGCGTACAAATGACAAGCCGTCATAATCACGCTCACAAACCATCTCCCTGCCCTCTCCCTCTCCCTCTCTCTCTCCCTCTGCGTGCGTGCTGGCGTGCCCCGTGACCGCAGCGATCGTACAGTATAAATGTCGCTCACTGGCTTCGCATTGCCAGATTCTTGAACCTACTCTTCGTCCTCGTCCTCGTCCTCGGCGAGAAGCCGCCCGCGGCTGAGAGCGATGGACATGTTGACATGGACAGCGATGCCGGGTCCGCTCAATCGGTCGCTCGCTCGCGCTCTCTGTCAGGCTCGACCATTGCCCACCACCACAGCGTCGAAAAGCCTTCCCTTCGTGGGCCGCGTGTACCGGCGCATTGCAAAACGTCCCGGGCTCGCTCGCTTCGAGTCTGACGGTACCACCTGGCGACTTGGTCGGAGCCCTACAGCCCCACCAGAGCTCGAGAGCGCGGGCATGGCGCCCACTTAAATGACGGGCGCCATCTTTCCACCGAAGCTCGGCACATGATGACCCTCGCCCGGGGGACACACGATCTGACATGCGCCGAGTGCCAGGTAGGCCAAGTTGCACCATACTACGTCGTGCAGTCGAGCGTGGTACATCGCCCACTACCTTCCCTATCTGTCTGCCCCCGCGGTCCGGTCCTACGTTATGGGCGGAAGGTTTCCCCGGCGAGTTTCCAGCGCCAGACCGGATCATCTGATTGTTTCCGATTCATTGGCCCGCAAGTATGAGCCGACCGGTGCAAAATCCGCTTTGCATTTTGCTCGATCAATTGGGCCGACTGTGAGCTGCACTCGGTTCCGCGGGGTTTCCTTCTACGGTGTCCATGTGAATGGGGGACTGCGTACACCACCAGCGTCGTCTTGGCACACGCACGCTGACTGACTGACTGACTGACTGACGATGCTCCCACATGTGAGTTACTGTACCGATGCAGTGCCAGGGTTCAATTTCGAACGCAGTCGGTGAGTAGTGCTGTGTTCGTAACATTGAGCAACTGTGAATATCGCCAGCTCCAACAAGTTCGTCTTGGAACACAATCACTGACCGACGATGCTCTCACTTATGAGTTCCCGAGGCCGTGCTAGGAATTGACGTGGAGAGGGCAGTCTGTGGGTTCTACTGCGTCCGTCTGGATGGACGTCTGCGTGAACCGCCCAGCCCCACCGACGTCGTCTCAGAACACGGTGACTGAGGGACCGTCCTCCTCCCACTAACGAGAAACCGAGGCAGTGCCCGGCTTTGATGTGGAACGCAGTCCAGATCTGAGGCCTGCTCCGAGAATATGATACGGCAGTGGCTGCACCAGCATTCGTGAGAGGTGTGCATGAAATCTTACACTCCTATATCGGGATTTTGAAACCTTGACGTGAATCATTTCATGCATTCATTTAAAGAAACACTTCCAGGCCACAGGCTCAAACTCCACGACCTCTTTCGCTACACATTCCACACACATCGACCCAACCTCCGCTGCACTCAGATTCGTACTTCACTAATTTTGTTGATAATTGAAACACAATCATTACCGGATCTCGTCTATCCTGTTCAGGATTGTGAGCTCACTTTTCTCACTCGTACTTTTGTTCGTTGGCTTGTTGGTTAGTATTTCCTCTCAGTGCAAAGAGTCGATCTACACAGAGCCTGAAATTTTCAATGACGAAGAGTCAATCTCAATAGCATCATGAGGAGTTAATGCGCACAACACATATCATCAGGAGGGGACTAAAAAGCTGAGGCCCTTGAATACCCCTGTGGTATGAGCGGTTCTCTCACATCATAACTTGGTGACATACACTGAATACATCATAAAAGAACTGTTAGCTTCAGAGTTTGGCATGCTGACGAAAAGATCCGAAGAGGGGTAAACATTTGTTTTCCTTCCTCGCTATCGCAGCCTTGCGACCTAAGCGATCGGCCGCATTCATTGAACTCTCCGTCAGGTAGCTCTCCACCTTTCACATTACATTTCATTTTCATGAAAATGAAGGGGTTTCAAATTTGCTCATCATGTCTGTCGGTTCTAGAGATAAGAACCATACTGGGAATAGAGAAATGTGAAGTTCTTTGACCACCGGCCTCGGCCTACCCCTCCAGACAACCGTAAGGCGCTTCGGCGTTTAAGACCTGCAGTACATGTGCTGGATGGAACTCGAGAGCTCCATAAGCGCTCCTCAGATCCAAGAGAATACAGCATTGAGCTGCGTCATTCATGCTCTTGCGTCTGCTGGCTCCTTCCATGAGAGAGTTCCAGTGGAGTAGTATTTCTCGACCATCGCCTAATCCAAATGCCTCTTGATTGTCCAACCCATCACAGGAGTGGGTTTCAAAAAGGACAGGGCAAAAGATATCAGCAGTAACATTTTATCTCATCTTCCCGTGGGTTCAGAACTTCAATCAATCCAGGATTTGAACATGAGTCCTCCACTACAGGAACAGTCATCTATGTTGTTCTTTCTTAGGCTGCCCGACAGCTGCCGATGCAGCTGCCGCTACTGCAGCTGCTGCAGCACCCATCTTTACTCCACCGGCGGCCTTGCACATTGCTGCAGCTTTCGCAACCCCAGCCAGGGCGGCTGCTGCTGCAGCCCGCAGCACAACAGTTGGTTTGTAAGCCATGAGCTCGAAGTGTTTCCAACCCTGCCTGGGAGATGATTCTTCGAAACCGTTTGTGCCACTAAAAGTTGCTCCCGACTCTGCGTCAAAAAACACAAACTATCAATACTCAAGAAATAATACTGATTTTCGTACATCTCTCGCTCGTCCAGTATCCAGCCGCTAGTTCCGCGAGCAATCTCAAGAAGCTCAACAGTCGTTGGGCCAGCACTGCTGCAGTGAAGGGGAAGGCAGAAAGAACAGCAGGAAAGCTCACAAATGCAGAACAAACGCCGAATATTTCAGATATCGCCCTTTTCGTAAACTCCTCGTAGGCTTGATGCACGAAGGCCCATACAAAACTTCATCGATCCCGGATGATAACCCAGCTTGGAAACCAGCAAGATATACAGGGTGCGGCACTACATCAGACTCCAGAGTGTGCGAAGACCTCAGGTAGGAAAGAAACAGCTCTCGCACCCCTTCGTCACCGAAGGCCGTAGAAATATCGATAAAACGAGAGATTTCAGATCCTGTTTTCGGAGAATGGCTCAAGAGTAAAGACTGTCTGAAGAATTTGATGTCTCATCCCGTTCCTATCATACGTGAAGGCTTCGAGTCATGACCTCCAGTAATCACACAACCAAAAACGCTATGAATTTAACAGACCTGAGAGTGCAAGGCCATGTGCTTCGCGCATGGCAGCAGTTGAACAAAATCAGACAGTCTGACATTCCAATATTTCTCCCTTGTCGTAACTCTCTATAACAGAAAGCCCGGAAGAAAGTTTGACCCTAAAATATTCTACTGGGGGTGCACTGCTGGACAGAAAGAAGCAAAATGGATTTGCCCACATCATTCACACCCTAGGATGTAACTCGAGGCCATAAACTTTCAGGAACAAGGTCGTTCCTTCTTTCAATCCTATGTAATCAACGCACGGTCGACCAATCACAATTGAACTGATAGGCTGATTCGAGATGAGTGCATCATTCACGGCGAGTTCTTCCTGCATACTTTTTATTTATCCCTTTAAAGTTACACAATTGAACACTTGAATATATACTACTTTTGCCCGAAAAATATAGTTCTCTCGTTACCCCGCACCTATTTTTCAGGATACCTGGACCTCAAGAAGGTCCAAACGATTCAGTGAAAAGGCCACTCGAAACGAAAACATCGAATCATCCTCGACATCCCCAAAAGCGGAGTCTAATCTCCTCCAAACAAACCCGATCGCCGCCCACTTTATTGCATTCCGGATGTTCAACCATTACAAGGTGACTCTGAATCTCACAAAAACGCAACACACATTACTGCCGTTCCGCACGAAAGCCCGATCCCAGCGATCATCCTATGTGAATATTTTCAGATGGGTAACGTGAGCCCTTGGAGATTCGCCATTCACCACAATCATTCGAGCCTAGGGTAAAAAAGCGATACTCAGCATAATTGTGGCTAATTGAACTCCACGAAGGCCCCGCCCGACGCAGACGAGGCCCACTGTCTACGTTTCCTTTCGAATCGACAACGAACCCTTGTTCTTGCGACATTCACCTGGCCCGCATTGCGTGCTCTTCCCTACGCCAACACCTGGGGCGACAAGAAGCATCCAAAAACGCGCCAGAGCACGAACACGGTAACGACTAAACGACGTACCTCTCAGATTTCACAATCGCAGATTCGTGAACGCGATGCACCCACCACCACCTTACAACACCCTTCAAACGCCCTGTAGCAGAGGCAGCAGCACCAGCACCAGCAGCGGCATCAGCGTGAGCAGATCGGATCCCCGGGGCTGCGATCAAGAGCCTCGACGGAGCTGTGAGAATTTCTCTCGCACCCGATCTATCCAGATTTGTTGTGCAACCCTCTGTAAACACCAACCCGCTTCGGGTAAATCACGCATCATGGCTCACTCACCTGCGAATCTGCCGACGGAACCAGTGGCCCACACCGAAACCAAATCATCCTGCACGTTCAATCAGGCGGCCATGCCCGAAACATGACCCCATGATCTCCCCTGCCCGACTGAGCCTGCCATCATTTCAGTTCCCCCTTTCACACTGCTCTTCTTTTTCTCCTCCCTTCCCCCCCTCCGTCGACGGCATCCCTCCAAGGCTTACTCTCCTTCCACGTTCTGGTCTCATTTTTCGTCTTGGAAAAGGGCTTGCATTCAATCTTGTGACCCCGCGGGCATTTCCATTTCCATTTCATTCATCAGACCCTTCGGTTTTCCCCTTCTTCCCTTTTACTTGGATGTGCATAGATTAACGGTTCTGGTGGCGGTCGAGGAGTAAGGCGTTCCCTCTGATGCGCAGATTTTAAAGTGGTGATAATAGATATGGGAGATGCAATGGCAACACAAATTAGCAAAAGTAGGTTTCAGAGTTTTTTCCTTTTTACCGGCTTGCTCTCACACTGCATCCGAAGCAATAGAGTGCATGATGAATGAATGAAGAGAAGGTCTAAAATAGTGTGCAAACATGCTCACGCTAGGATGGTATAAAAGCTTCCTTATCTGATGGATGAAAGAGCTTCTTAGAGTTTTTAAATCCTAATTGGTTTTCCAACTTCCAACATTCTCTGTACCCATATGCATTTTGGAGAATATACTTACAGTGCATCCTAAGCCTGAAACTGGTCTAAATCAGGACTAAAAGTCCACTTAATCTATTCAAATGTGGACTTGTTTCCAAGAAACTGACTATATGACACTCTATGGTGTCAATCACAATACATGTTTTCTTCAGCCCTCAAACTCCTACAAGTTTTTTGCTAGTGCAAAAATACACCGGGACAGAAACTCCACATAGCAAAATAATTCTGTCAAATGCTTCTCGATGTTGTACTTGTATACCATTAAATTGCAGTATATTTAGAATGTCATCGTCCATAATTCGCCCACATTATAGCGGACCGTGTTGTTCATCCTAACTATCCGGCAACAGAATAACAGTTCACCACTGTTCATGTCTCATCTACAAAATTAGCAGCAAGAACATATTTAGACTCCATGGTATTTGATTTTAGACGTGAACATCTATCTAACCTCCATACATCACAAGTTCACATTACACATGTTCATACATATGATCATGTGTTATGCGTTGTCCTCATCCTCATCTTTATATTAATGTCTGCAATTCACTAGAATAAAATCTTTTTGTAATTTGTATAAAACTTTGACATGAGAGAATTAATACTGAATTGTGCAAATGATTTTCATATCTTGCTGATCCAAGTGAATAGCTGAAAGAAAATCTAACCTGAAGATTCGCACTACATGGACAGCACTCATGAATGACACCGAGGTAAAGAGCTCAGAAAACTTATTGAATTGACAATAACTGAAAATATAGCATAATATATACGAGAATAACTGATATGTATATAAACCTTATATCGTAGAATTTATTCTTTTGACAGGTATTCTTCAGAGGAAATCTGAGTAAAATAAACCTGATGCCCGTATGTCTCTAGATTAATGTTCAAATTGGTATATAACAATGCATTTAAAATTATGTTTGATTGTGTCAAATTTATCCTATTTGCTTGATTGATTACCAGCAGACTTTGCACATATTTTTCAATTTCGATATTTTCTTGCTAATTATACAAGGTACACTATTAATCGATAGTACTGAAAAAAATCTAAACATTGCATGTTCAGAGGCATTTGTTTAAACAAAACTTTGCACTTTCCTAAAAGAAATTGAAGTAAATTTATTAGAGAGGACGTGATAATTTTTTTCATTCTGATTCTGTTACTCTACATTCCTCTATATTTCCAATTTTAGATGAAAAAAAATAAATTTATAAAAAAATGAGTAACATGAAAAATATACTACGAATTTTAGACCTCGTTGATAAATTAAAACCTTGTTGAAATAATTCAAAATTCTTTAACCTATAATATGTAAAAGAATAATTATTCCTAATAATAAATCACTTATTTAAAAAATAAAAAGTTAGGACATTCCAGATTTTTAAGTTAATTTTGAAAGCTAATATATTATGATTTTTTATAATTTTTAACTCAAGTTTTATTATTTTTTTTATAATAAAATGTGATTTAAAAAATAATTTCTAGGAAAGTTACTCTAGAAAGCAAAGAATAAATTTTGATTACAATTTTGTAATATTAAATTGAAGCCAATGTACTTGAATTGGTGTGCAAAGTATAATCAGCACACCAATTCGCTGTTTTACAGTACGCTCTTAAGTCAAGCAAGACTATGATAATTTTTTTATGCCTGAAGTGAACATTGTAATAATTGAAAATGAATAATCTGTATATGATGAATCTTTGATACAGGAAATTTTGATTTTCAGTTCGGTATGCATGCTTTTGTAACTTTTATGTTGCCAAATTCATAAATTACTATTTTCTAAAAATGGTAACAACTTCTTTATTTTCTGAGTTTTAATCTACTTAAACATTATGCAGCTCAACTATGCAAAACTGTACGTGTCTCATAAAACTGATTATAATGAAACATCTTAAAATTGAAGTCTTACAATTTTTTGATATAACAGAAATTTCTTAGCATATGCTATAAATTCAAAACATCGATTATTAGATATTTTTGAGAGAAAAGTTGAAAACTCTAAAATTTGATGAGGATCTGATTTTTTCTTGTATTTGAGTCTTACTGATTCTTAGGCTTTATGAACAAATGTCATATCGATAGACTTTCTAAGAACTAAATTCTTATATAACTATACCACTGTAGTATATAAAAATTGAGTTTTTCCCACTCGCTTTTCAATAAGCAAAGGGTGTACCATAGGTGAAGTTGAACATGTTTTAGGTTGGTGATGATTGAAAACACGTTCAAAATCTTTAAAAAACGAGTGATTTTATGGTTTTACTACTGAAATTTTAAGCGAGTTTTATCTTTTGATTCCTCAGATATTATTATGCGTAAGGCATTCGAAGTTTGACGTGTTGTGAGGAATGAGGAAGTCGTTTTTCAATGAAATAATGTAATGACCGAAAAGCACGTTACTGGAACCGTAAGACAGAGGAATGAAGTAGTAAGTCAAGTCTTCAAATGAACAATCCACAGTGCAGCATACAAATACGATATACAGCGTGACGAACAAGAAGAATTGTGTACTGTAAACCTAGAGTAGTGAGATTCTTGCTCGAGAGATACATCTAGAGAAGATAGAAGCACCAACCGCACCAACTACATCACCTCTACTGAAACTGAAATGACCCGTGGCTGGATTTTGGCGTAGTTAGTCCATCCGGTCAGTATTGACTCCGTCGCTGGAAAATCCAGTATTCCGAATGGTTCCTTCAAGTTTCCTTCATCAGTTTTACCTATTATGTCTACATTGCGGGCCACTGCCTTTGTTTGAAAAAGTATTTCTATGACGCCTTCAAATAAAAGCAAGGAATAGAGTAGACTTATGTAAGAAGATCTTACAAAAAGTCTTGTTATCTCAATATTACAATATCAGTGATGGTGAATTTGGGTCATCACTCACATGTTGTCGAAGACAGGTGAGTCTTGAGAGCTAGCTGCAGTGTGAGAATCAAAGAGAGGGTAATGGTGACGAACGTAGTGGAGAGATAAACTGGAGGGAATCGACCAGGTTAATGTTGCTGGAACCCATTCTCACGACAAAGTGTGTTGGATTAGAAGGGGAGGATGGATTGTAGATACGATATTTAAGCCCTGCGGTCCCTGAGGATATGGCAAACGTAATGTGATCTGGCACCCATTTATTGTAAACTCCGTGAAATCTGGGTTGTCGGTTTTAAAGGCAGTAGTAGTAGGGCTACCAAAAAGTACAAAGAGGTAGTTTTCATCTCCATCAGTAAATTTGTCATAAATATCGTTTTGTTGAATAGACAAGTTTTGTCGGTGTTTATAGGGTCTTAGGAGTTTTAGATCATTTTTCTAATATTGGTTCCCACTTCTCAGTTATATTATTATACGAAGCACCCAGACAGCGGACTGATCGGAACCGAAGGAGTGAATTGACAGTTTGTTCTAGTGTGTGCGCGAAGGGCCTCATGACCCTCTCCATCTACTGCACCGTAGTGTGCCTTATCAGAACTACCGTAGAACTGTTATTGCTTCGTTATTGTTTCAACGTGATATACGGGCGAGGTACTCCACCGAACTCCGAGAGAGTCAAACTGGGACATGACTACATATATATCTGGTTTAAAAGATCTGCACATCAATGGCCCCCACTCCTTAGGTGTTTAACGTTTTTTTTCCTTTGAATCGGATTGTTAGATCGGTTAGAAGTATTAAAATGGTTGCGCACCTCAACGTCCTTTTGAAATGTTTGTCGAAAAGATATTTCCAATGGAAATATTCAAAACGTCTACCTTCCATTGGCATTCTTCAAAGTCAACATTTAATATGCAAAGCTGTGTATTCTGAGTGTAGCACATATACGGCTTCTTCGTACCACGTCTATGGCTGATCCCGATATGGACGTCGGAACATCCAAGGTGGAAAAGGGAGAGGCAGATGAAGTTCATATCTCTCTACTACAACTTCTTGCACCCTATACGGAGGTGAGGTCACTCGCTGACGTAAATGGACCATCGGATTTTTGGTCAAAAGGACGACGGGACGAACGAACGAGAGTCTAAAGAACATGACGAAGTGGACTGGAAAGAGCCGAGAGATGAGTGCACTGCCCAGGGAGGAACGGACAGACGGACAGATTGACGGACGGCCGGAAATGAGCGCGGATCGGATAACAACCGCAGAGGTTGGTTCAATGGATAGCGCTCTGTCAGAGTTAGCGAGCGCGGATACGGCGAGATCTGGTGCATTGGATGGTCGGAGGGTGGAGATCGAGCCCGTCCGATATCTGTACTGGCGGATCAGCGAGCGGAAGAAGCGCCTAGCACAACTCGAACGGGGTTTATTTTTAGCCGGATCGCATGACAGGTTCCCACTAGCGGAGCGAACAGAGTTTCCGGTTCACGTTCAGGAGAGATCGGCTCGTATCCGGGAGCCGATGCCGAGGCGGACGGTCGTCAGCAGCTCCTGCGAACGATTCGGGAGGTTGCGAGCGGGGCTGGTGTCGGTTGCGTCAGTGACGCGCCAATCTGGGCCACAGCAGCCACGTCGCTCGCCAATGGGCTGGTCACGAAATGAAGCGTATGAGCTCGGATAGCGAGAATCTGGACCTTCGAATTAAGGATGAATTTGTATATCCGAATTTCGAATGACAAGTAAGCCTGAAAACGGACAAGGACTGGTAGTCCGGCGGATAGAAGCCCTTCGAGCCCACCAATTGCCGACGAATTCGCCCTCCACATGACACCCTTGAGCGCAATAAATAATTCGGCCATACTGCGCGAGATAAGCATATTCTAAAATATTTGTGGGCTTTGTTGGAGTATGCTGTTTTTTTTTCGCCGGGGAATAGTGCACTATAGGGCTTTATCGGTACAGATCGAAGGGGGAAAAAAAGGTTTGCGATTCCCAAGCGAGGTTTGGAGACAAAGATTAAGTGTTGCAGATTCCGCAGGGAGACGACAGGTTGCACACTTATTGAGGTACCGGTACTAAACAGAAAGGCCGGGGTTCGTTTAACACGAGCACGATTTTCTGGCGGAGCCATAACAGAACCCAAATTGCTCCCTGCGTCATGAGAAACAAGCCGAACTCTGTAAGTCAAACGGGTGTTCGATCGGTCGACTCCGCCGTTGATTCCAACCTTTTTTGGAGAAACGAGGTGGAGGAGCGTGCCTGCCAAAAGCTCTTTCCTCATTCACGATAACTTTTGGACATGGCCTCGAAATTTTACATGTGAACATCGCTCTCTCCGAAGACGGAGAGCTTGAGGACGTGACTCTGTTTCCCACGAGCATATCAGCATCATGTGAGCATCTTCCCCGTGCCGTTTTCCATACATCGGACGTTGTTGTGGATTTTGGGGGTAATCCCGTGGGCTTTGTTCCAGGGCAAAGCATAGAGCATATTTCTAGGCTTCCGGTTGTTCTTCCACTATGACTCGAGCCAGCTGATGTTTTGGAGCGGCCATAATCTGGTGCCTTCCGAGTGGGATCCCTACCGGAAATTGAGCCAGAAAATTTAATAATAATTTGGTGTATTCAGTATTTGACTAGCAACCAAAATATCATAAAATCACTAAGATTGTGATCAATTTTATAATAAAAGAAAATAGTAAATTTATGATCAAATGAGGCTTTCTAATGTGAGAGCATAGCTTCCTCAAGAAGACGGTTTTGTTCAAAACTTTTTTCCTTGATACTTTGATCACTTACAAGAAGAATGAACGGTTTTGTAGACCAGTGATGATGTCACTGAATGTCCGTGGAAACGGCGTGCTGGTGGAAAATGTCGTTGGCATGTTTCGAGGTGATGTATCACGGAAGACACACTGCGCACAGAAATCTACACATGAAAGACGGTGCAAATGCGACACATATTCAATTGCACCGGAGAGATCCGATCGAAAGGTCGCAACACTCTGCGATACATAATCTCATTAGGTCGTATAAATATAGATTTCCAAGTCGTCTCCAGGATGATAAGGCTCTTTATATTTCTCATGTCCACCGTCTCGCTCGGAGGCCGTAGAACCGCCATCGCCGTGCCACACGCGAGGGCTAGAATGCGTCTCGCAACACAACATTATTCGATCTGTGGCCAATGGGCAGAGATTTATCCTGCGAGATCTAAAGTGATGGCGGAAAGTCAGGTCGATGACTTTGCAGCTGCACTCACGTAAGAGGAGCTGCTGCTGGTGCCGCTGCGGAGTAAGCTGCTGGGAATCGAGACGATTTATGCCCGGGCAGTTGGCGTGGATTCTAATACCAGAGCCGGAGAAGAAGTCCGAAGAAAAAATCGGGAAAGAGGGCTATAATAGCAGAAACCGGGTAGGCAGATGTAGGAGGACGTAATAAAGCAGGTGCAGTACCGACGTCTTCGCGGTACAAAACAACAGTATTAGCACAAGAGCTCATGATTGCGTGGAGGATGAAGGAGAAACAACAAAATCTGACAAAAGCTCAAAACCACAAGACACAAAATTCACTACATTCCAAAGTTACAGGACCATGTTGGGGCATGGTTGTATGCCCGAGAATATGCCGCAGCAAGTTGAGCCCCGACGAAGAACTGCACTGCTGCTTTCTCTTCCTCCCTCCCTCCCTCCTCTTCGCCTCCCCCCGCCCGCCCCCCCTCGCACTTGCGCGAAATACGTGCGAGAATGCCTGCTGGCTCCTTGCCCTACTTCAAAGGGTGGGGCAAGGCCCCACTATTTGACTCGACTATGTTTGTTTGCTTCTTGAGCCTTGTGCATGTCACATGCACGTTACGGGCTAAAGGCCCCCATCCCCCCCGCGACCCATGTCACATATTTGCTCTCTCTATCTCTCTGTTCCACCCCCCCCCCCCCCCCCCCCCCCCCCCCCCAATTCACTTCCCTTGGGACGAACTCCGTCGGTCGTGTCTTCATAGCCTGCATGCCATCCATCCTTCCGCCACTCCATCCATCCATCCATCCAGCTTCCGATTCTCTCCTCTCTCTCTCCACCCCCCTCGCCGTAGACTAAACTTGACCGGCTTGACTTTCATGACCTGCTGCTGCTGCGGCAGCTTGCTTGCTGGCTTTTAGGCGCTGACACGGTTGGCTGGACCTCGCAAGGCCAACTTGGGGCGGAGTTGATTGACTGACGGGCTGTTGTGTGTTGGCCCTCACCGCGCTGATTCGCCCGCAGTGCGGTGATGTAGAGAGCACCGCGATCCGAAGATCCATTCTTCTACCCCGTAGTAGCTCGTACCGGCCTCCGGCCCTCGTATCATACCGCGTTCACAAGCGCTCGTCGGGAGTACTGTCGGAGATCTGACACGCAAATTAATGTTCCCGCTGGGGAGGATCGGGCGGAATATTCTCTCTGTACTCTCCAGGCCCTTCCAGTGCCGTAAGTGATACTGTCCCCGAGCCACTGTGCGTCGCCTGGTCAGGTAACCCATCCACGCTTATAATAGAAAATCTTTTGCCCCCCGTCGCGGCAAGAATTTTATCATTCTCCCCCGCCCTCCCACCACCCCCGGTACACGTGTAAGCCCGAGGCTATGTGGCTCACCAAAACCCAGATCCGCACTTTCCCGGCCCACGTTACCGATCGGATCTCTCGGCGGGAGTACCACGGCGATCCGGCATCGAACGAACTAACCCTAGGCCGGGGTTTGCCACACCTCCGTCCGGGACTGGTCTTATAGAAGAGCGAACGACATCAAATGGGTCACGAACGATTCCAGGGCCTCGGACGAACGAAATAATGATGCGAGTCGTCGTCGTCGTCGCCGTCGCCCGATTGGACATTTTCCTCTCTTCCCCAGAGGGAGCCTCGGATTGGTTCATGGGAGTTTGGGTGCCGGGGGTTGGGGGGTTGGGAGGGGGGGGGCGGGCAAGTTTCCTTCGAGGCACCGGAATAGGCGCGGCCACAGGCTCCAGATCTTTATGGTCAACCTCGAGAGAGGCCGGGGAGCTGTATCAGCGGGCGGGCGCAAACGGCCGAGACGGGACTGGGTCAACTGGGCGAGCATATTCAGAAGAGCTCATTCCCCGCGAGCGAACGGATGGACGCCACTTCCAACCCATGGCGCAAAAGTGCACTCCTGACTGTAGCGTGGTTGGGTTCAACCCAGTCCACCGAAGGCCGACACAGTCAATGGGACTCAGCGGCACCGGGATTATTGCTCCTCGTCGTGTCGAGGCAGAGGAGACTCGAGTTAAGGGAGAGAGAGACGCGAGTAAAAGTTGTCCGGGAGAAATCGGGAGGACGATCGATATTTGGACGGCTGAGATAGGAGGGTTGCGGACATCCGGATCGGTAAGAAAGTACTCTGAGCGAATTGATGTGGCTAAATTTGGCAGTCTGACGAATCGGATAGGTCCGAGTTGTCGGCACGGCTAAAGCCGAGCGTATTGAAATGGTCCAAATCGGGGCCTCGCGTAATGTTTCGGAAATCAATAAAATTAATTCTTACGACTTCCGGGGTTTGGAAAGAAAAGGGGGGAGGGGGAGCGAGAGGGCTTCTTCTCAAGATAAGAAACCTCCGGGCATCCCGCCGGTCGGCGCTGCGTTCCCGCGTGCGACCATTCTTTCACAGGCATGATCACTCATGACCTGTTATCGGCGATTCCTCCAGTCGACCGGCGGGGATTCCACGAGACGGACGAGAGTTCTGCGACGAGTTGCCGGTGGGAAACCGTGGGCGCTGGAGAGTCGCTTGCTGAGAGTACCGGGCGGGCACACACGCCGTCCGATGGCGACGCGGGCCGAGCCGTCGGATGGCGAACGGAGTAAGTCCTTGCCGTTTATCTCCCGGGGGGGAGTTCGCCCCTCACCGCGCTTAAATTAGCCGTGCGGTGTACAGCGGCTCGGCCACCTCGGCCTCGCCACGTGGCAGAGGCCCTGGGCGCGCCGGTTCCCTCTTTCGGAGGTTTAATAATTCATTTATTCGCTCTCGCGTCGGAGGAAGAAGCTCGGGTGCGACCGCGAAGCGGTACGGAGTGCGTCTAAGCCGAGAAGCGTCTGCGGTAACACAAGCCCAAGGAAATGACGGGGTTATTCCCCGCGCTGCCGCCCGCCCGCTTCGCTTCGTACGTGGTAGGTAGTTGTAGCGGGAGTTTTAGCACCGCTCGTCCGCACGCCGCTCCCCGAATTCGAAATCGCTCCGCGCGTCTTCTAGCGTCGGCGCTACATTTGGAAGGGGCGTGAGTCCTCGTCAGAACCCCCCACAACTCGGGGTCTCGCCTCCGGACCTCGCCGAACCGAACCACTCCGAACCTGGCCTTCCCCAACCCAAAGCGAGCCGAGCCGAGCCGCTGAAGTCCTGTAGAGGGCAGGCAGGCGGGAGAGGCGGGCGCCTGCTTGCACCCGGCCCGGCCTGTGTCGTCTGCGCCGGACTGTCGCGCCTCGCGTCTGGGCGTAGAAGCACGCAACGCTAGAAGCTCGCTGCCTTTCGTTTGCTCCGCTTTCCGAGTGGTGCGAGGGAGTTCGCCCGAGGGTGGGGGTCTGTGTGTCGATCGAGAGGAGCGAGAGGGAGCGAGAGGGAGGGAGGGGGAGGGGGAGAGCGAGCGAGGAGGAGGAAGAGAAGAGCGAGTGGCGAGCGAGAGAGTATTCGTATCGCCTCGTCTGGACGACGAGAGCTTGTTGCTGCGCCTGCGAAGGCCTGCCTGCTGTCGAGAGCCAGCCCCCGCCAGCCCGCCCGCCCGCAAGCCCGCCCGAGAGGTTGTGGCGTCGTTGCATCGAGAGAGAGGTCCAGACGAGTCAGTCAGTCAGTCGAGTCGAGTCGAGTCGAGACGAGACGAGACGAGAGAGGGCAAGCACGGAGGAGGAGGAGGAGGAGCAGCAGCAGGACCCGTATTCCTTTCTGCGGTGGTTTTGAGTCAAGGTTTTGGTTTGGTTTGGTTTGGCTTTGGTACGGTGCTGGTCGAGAGCAGCAGCAGCAGGAGGAGGAGGAGGAGGAGGAGAAGGCGGTGGAAGGAGGAGGAGGAAGAAGGCAGAGAAGAGAGGAGAGGAGGGGGGGCAGACGGTCGAGAGCAGCGAGCGAGCGAAGAGGGGAGGGGAGGGAACGAGAGAGGAGGCGAGGGAGGGGGCCAGAGCCACAGGGCGACGTTTGTTTGTCGTTGATAGGGTTCGTTGCTCTATCCATCCATCCGGCTCCGAGGGAAGGCAAGGCAAGGCAAGGGAGGGAGGGAGAGAGGGGAGAGAGAGAGAGAGAGCGCGAGGGAGTGAGTGAGAGAGAGGGAGGGAGGGAGGGAGAGAGAGAGAGAGTGGCAGGGGAGGGAAGGGAGGGGGGAGGGGGCAGTGCATAGCCCTCGTTCGTTGGTTGCCGTCGTATCGACAGCGACGCCGTGCTTTGCGTTGGTCTCGAGGGACGACTACATCTCGGACACTCGAGCTTTCCTCCCAGGACTAGAGGGTGGAGGAAGGAGGGAGGGAGAGAGGAGACCGAGGAAAGGGTCTAGAACCGACGAGGTTGTGGATAGTTGTGGTGGTGTAGAGGGCGGATTGACTCCTGTTCTCGACGGAATCAATCACGGGGCCGACCGTCGCGTGCCAAGAGCCTCTCCAGCATCCTGGTTCGCAGATTCACTCATCCTCCGACATCGTGCTTGCCTGTATGGGAAGACTCTGGCCGACTTAGATAGTCAGTGGGAAATAGAGGCGCATAGGTCAGATAGGGGTCCCAAGTGATCCAAAGAGGCTACATTTGTTGCATACCTCTAGGAATCACGTGAAATCTGGCTCTCGTCTTCTCTTCGTTAGGTCACCCTCGCTCTGGCATCTCCGAGGGAAGTTAGCATGGCACCGAGCATGATCTTGAAAGCTGCTCTGTGCAGAGGAGAGCGAATGGGGGGTCTGGGCCGCGGGCAATGAGAGAGCATGGGAGAGTGGAGGAAAGGAGAAGGGAGAAAAGCTGATGGGAGAGAGGGGAGACGGGGTTGGATGCCATGCATGTCATGCGCCGTTTGAAGAGCTTTACGACGGGCCGCTCGTCAGTCTCTGACAATGTATGCACTTTCTCATCTCTTCCCGTCCAGCCCCTCAGGCTTTCTGTTTTCTCCATGGCGAATGTTGTTCTTATCTCCTGAACCCTGTCTCCGACTCGCGCTTCTCCACCGGCGACCCTCCGACACCTCGCAGTCGTAACGCATCTGCCCCCGTCCCGAGCAGATCTTGATTGAACGAGCGAACGAAACATCTTGCATTGCCTCTAACTCTGCTTCTGCCTCGCTGCCGGCGCGGCCATCAGTTCTGAGATGTTCGTAGCCAACTTCTTGACCGCGATGTTGCCTCGCCCGAGCTCTTCTCTTCTCTTGTCTTGAAATTGTGTGTCGACGAGGCTCTCGCTGCCTTCTCTCAGTAGTTCGTCTCCTGCCATCTACATGTCCGCATCGTGCGGTTTGGTGCTCGCACCGCGCCGGCTCTGACCAAGTTTAGAATGAGGTCGAAGCTGCCAAAGATTCGGGGCACATCTTTGGAAATGATTTCTACTCGTTCGGTCTAGATTGTTCATCGTGGTTCCGTAGCTACTCTAGGAACTGTGGATTAGAGACGCGATGAGGCGTGGAGAACTGGCTGAACGTGCTACGAGGAGCGGTAGGTATGTGAAGGCATGACGACGTCCAAGCCCGTCTCGTCAGCTGAGACGCCCCGGCCGACTGGCTTCCGTCTTCTCTCGAATCTACTGCCTGTTGTCTCTCTTGTAACTAACTCACAGTAGTGCCGCAATGTCAGACATTTTCGCCAGCTTGTTAAGCGTCTAAAGAGTTTAACCTCCGCTACCTGATGCAGAACAGCACCTGTCTCTCGCTTCCAGCATTTACGAGTCAAAGCTATGGACTCATCGCTTGCAGGCGTGACCAAAGAGCAGTCCCTGCCGCTCCCAGATTGGACGGGTTAATTTGAGTCCTCCTTGACTATTTCTCCGGTATTCTTCTAGATGGTAGCTATTCCCCTCTTCTTCGTTACATGATGTTTGTGCCTCACTGTCTAGCAATGCACTCGGAGGCTCGTGTCGCATGGAACTCTCCTTCAGTCACAAAAGTTTTCATATGCTCTCCCGCGTTCTTCATTGTACTGCATTGTTGCTGAGTACGTCGTCCTATTTTGTTGCCCTCCGTGAAGGCCTCTCTGCGTCCACACTTAAGTGATTGCAACAGGCCCCCTGAGAGTGTAGAGCCTCGAGTCCTCTGTCGCCAGCTCAGTTAGTCTTCAGTGCACTCCGTAGTTCTACGGAGTGCAATCGTTTTTCAACGTTGTTCACATTGATGGCAACCAGAGCAGTACAACACACGAAGTATATGTTTACAGGCTGTCGTTGCAAACAATAGGATAATCCCCACCTTCCCTCCCACTGCGTACGGCTTCCTGATTAGGTCTGTAGGAGACTCCTACTTTCCCTCTTCCTCAAAAGTTTAGACGTGGGGTGCAGCAGCAATGTGCATACATACACATGTTGGTGGCAAGGATTGGCTGGTCTGGTCGTTGTGACTCAAGAGGCCGTCCGCCCGGCCGACCGTGTTTCGCCTGCACTAGCTTTTCAAGTTATAACCTAGTTGAGTGCAAAAATTTGCACGATCTCGTAGCAGCGTTGGAGCGACAAGTAATGATCCATCCCGACTGTGAGCACTGTCAAATGCGGCCTCCAGCTCTGGCCCAGCCATCTCAAACGTAACTGGGTATCGTTTGACACTCTCCCTCATCTTTCGGGACATCGTGGACGTGGATGGCGCTGCTTCGCGTTGCGCCTCTTCGATTCACTCTCTGTTCCGGGTAGTGGATGACGTCGAAAACACTACCCAACTGTTCGGATAGCTCTTGTTCTGAATTCGAACTTGCCGCTTGCCCACACTCACGTCCCTTATTGTTCTTTCGTGCCTGTTGCTTCGGAAGACCTGTTTGCCTTCTGTCGGTCGCCCCCACGATGTGAAGGTTATCGGGACCACCTCATATGAGGGCTTCTGATCTCTGGATAGCTCTTCCCTAGCTTGAGAGAGGTTCCACTGTGTGCCTCCGGTGGAATGTATGTCTTGTCTGGCAGCAGTAAAATGGTAGTTGCGAATCAACACCTGGATTACTCGCTAGCGAATATCTCACAGAGGCTTAACATCGGTAGTAATTCCTGTCGAAGAGTGCGGAATCTTGAGTTGATGTTATCGCCACTCGGAACGGACTTAGACCTCTTGCGTTTCTGTCACGAATGATGCAAAGTGCGTGCCGCTAGCGTTTCGTGTTCAATATGTTCCTGAGCTCGCTCTCTGCTGTTGTAGATTGGAGACACCGGCACGAAGCGTGTTAAGTTAGAGCAAGAAGGATTGGTGGGAACTATTTTGGATTCTCCAGCGATCGGAACATTTAGGGGTGCAGAGCAGCATATGGCCTCGGCAAGCGTGGGGCCTGTCGGTGCTGGAAGTACAAGCATGCTGGGGGTAGCCCCTACTAAGGCTGGAAGTAGTGGAGTCGAATCGCTTCCTAAGGAAATGCATGATATGAAGATTCGGGATGACAAGGTTGACCACAGTGATGACAAGGTATGTCTTGTCGAGTTCATTCAACTTGTCGCAGCTGTGGTCCGGGATTTTTGAGAGATCGCCGGTTTAAATCTTTGTGCATCCCGGTGTGAGCAGGAGATTGAGGCGACTGTGGTAGATGGAAATGGTACCGAGACTGGTCACGTAATCGCCACGACCATAGGTGGCCGCAACGGCCAGCCCAAGCAGGTATGTGAACTCGATTTTCTTCCACTGTGGTATCTTATTGGTGTGAAGTAACCGTAGGCAAGCTGAGCTACTTGTGTCCGTTTCATACATATTCCATCGCGGGGAGGAGAAAGTCCCCTATCGACTCATCGACTCATTTAAGAATACTGCTGGGTCTAAGTGGACGCTGCATTTCGTTTCGTGTTCTTGGTGCTTCACTAAATTCCAACGTCAAATTTTAATACTAGTGGGCAGTCAAATCTAGGCCTCGGTCGCAAGACCGTAGCTTTTCGTGTTTTCGATTATCTGCCGGATGTTTGATTGTTGGTATTCATCTGATGCAGACCATAAGCTATTCCGCGGAGCGGGTGGTGGGCACAGGGTCATTTGGAATTGTGTTCCAGGTATGGTTTCACGTGCGTGGTGGTTCGACGTTAGAATGGATTCTGTGCAAAATTACGCCTTAAAATTAAATGCTACTGAACGAATACGGTTTGTTTGCTTCGCCAAAACAGTCGTCGGGAGAAAGTGGTAATCAAGTGAACGTCTTTCATGGCTCTGCAGGCGAAATGTATAGAGACAGGTGAAACGGTGGCAATCAAGAAGGTGTTGCAGGACAAGCGGTACAAGAATCGAGAATTACAGATAATGCGCCTTCTCGATCACCCTAACATTGTGGCATTAAAGCATTGCTTTTTTTCCACTACAGACAAGGATGAACTGTATCTCAATCTGGTGCTCGAGTATGTTCCAGAGACAGTTTACCGTATTGCCAAACATTACAATCGGATGAATCAGCGGATGCCTTTGGTTTATGTCAAACTCTACACTTACCAGGTAGAGATCTCGCTGCGTAGTACATTATCTCCGTTCTCTCGTTTCCACAAATTGAATATAAGAACGAACTGAAAGAGTTACAATGATGTCGAATAGTGTTCTTTCTTTTTATGCTGTCCTAACTGCTTTTGCTGACTTTAATCTTGTTTGCCACCGCTTTTTTTTGTTTCATGAAGATCTGCCGCTCGCTTGCCTACATCCACAGTGGCATTGGTGTATGCCATCGCGATATCAAACCTCAAAATCTTTTGGTATGATACTGTTTCTACACCCTGCTCCTCCAAAAGTCACCTGTTATTCAGTACTTAGATTCCTTAGGCTGTGTATCTATATACTGAGAGGAGATGCTCTTTGCCGTGCAGGTCAATCCCCACACCCATCAGCTAAAGCTCTGCGACTTTGGGAGTGCTAAAGTGTTGGTAAGGTTTCCCTAAGGTTACTTCTGAGTGATTTTATTCTCGCTCGTGTATGAATTTGGTTAAGGCATGTGTCTTGTCATCTTTTGAAAATTCTTGGTTTCCTGGGTTCGATGCGAGGTTCTAATATTCTTTCACATTTCCCCTTTGCAGGTGAAAGGGGAACCCAATATTTCGTATATATGTTCTCGATACTATCGAGCCCCTGAGCTCATTTTCGGCGCCACAGAGTACACAACAGCCATTGACATATGGTCAATGGGTTGCGTAATGGCCGAGCTGCTGTTGGGGCAGGTGTGATAACTGTGGTCAAATTTGTGTTGTCTGTGTGGTGCTTTTTTAGTGGAAACTGCAGTGTGATTTAGTCTATCTAAGAAAGTTTGCTACAAGAACAATCTGTGACGTCTTAAAGAATAGCTGATCTGTCGAACAGCAGGCGAGTATATGAAGAGTCACTGAGCATATTTTTGTGGTCGTGTTGTCTGTTTATCGTATACAGCCTCTCTTTCCAGGAGAAAGCGGTGTTGATCAACTTGTGGAGATTATCAAGGTTGGTCGCGATGTTTCGCTTTCTTCTTCAACTTTCAGTTGCCATCAGGGTCTGCATTCATCTCGTCAATGTAGTGTAACTTATGTCAGCATGTTACTAATATTTTTGCTCTATGCAGGTCCTTGGAACACCCACTCGTGAGGAGATCAAGTGTATGAATCCGAATTATACCGAATTTAAGTTTCCTCAAATCAAGGCCCACCCCTGGCACAAGGTAGGGATAAAGCGGTGTCGTCCTTCTCCCCTTGTTCTAGTGATTCACACATTTATGTCATGTTGATGTTATCACGTCGAGTCCATGAGTAGTGGACCAGTGCTTTGCGCGACATCATTAGCTTGGTCTGCTCGATCAAAAGTTTGTTTACTTATATTGGGACCTAAAACAATTGACTGGTTTGATACGAAGTTCTGTCCATTACCCTAAGCTTGGATCTTTTACAGGTGTTTCACAAGAGAATGCCACCGGAGGCTGTGGATCTAGTATCGAGGCTGTTGCAATATTCGCCAAATTTACGATGCACCGCTGTGAGACCCTTGACACAATTCTTGGTTCCAAGTGTACTGGCGAGCATGATAGAGTACCAAAGCTAGAGATATCAAAGCAATCAATTGGTCTGCACTCGTGTATTGACCGAGTAGTAAAGAATGATGAGAGCATTTTGTTCTAGTGCTGCCTCTACGCTCTGTCAATTCTTATATTTGCCATCTTTGATTTCAGTTGGAGGCATGCGTGCACCCGTTCTTTGACGAACTCAGAGATCCGAACTGTCGCCTACCGAACGGCCGGCCTTTACCCCCTCTGTTTAATTTCAAACCACAAGGTATGGCTGCGTCGGATAGTGTTGGCTTGGTTTTCACTGAAGGCTTTGTTTCTATTATCAACCGATGCTAGTGGACTCCATGTGTGTATTCTACTTGATAGCACACTTGTGGAGCACATGTTTATCATGTTTGACATCTTGTCTTTCTGGCTGCAGAGTTGAAAGGTGCCACACATGATATCTTGCAACGCTTGATACCCGAACACGCGAGGAAGCAGAATCCTATGTTGGCAGTGTAGAAGAGTTGTATTGGTCGATCTTGTCTCTTTGAACTGTTGGTAGCATTTGCTTAAGCGGTGACTTTCATTTTCTCTCATTGGAACGGTCGAGTTCTTGTTGGAGATATCCCAGCTATTACTGCAAATGGGCTGGTTTAGGGTGCCCAGCCATTGTATACTTCCAATCCAGTGCCTCTCTAAGCAGATATTTTCGTAATCTTGTGGAAGCTTGAGAAGTGGGTGCTAAATGTGGGCTCCAAGAACTGGCAATGTGCAAGGATATCTTGAGAGAGCACAGAAGTGCCCGTTCTTGAAAACGGCTGGCACTGGAAGTTGCCTCAGACTGCTGGAGAGGGTTTTACACGCTTTCGCGGCTGCTACATAAAGATTGGTCTGGCTGCTGAAAGTTTTCCGCAGAGAGATGGGTCATGGAAAGGGTTTGTTCTCTGGGCCAGCCATATTCATAATTTTCTTGCCTAGGGTGAAACCGGGCATGAGGGTAAGATACTTCAGGTGCGTCGGTTTTCTCAACGGTAGCGTAATATTGATGCAACTTACTATGAACGCTTAATTTTTAAACCTAGAGGTCCAAATTTGTTTCTTTGTCGTGTGTTTGGGCACTCCCACTGCTCAAGTTGTATGCTTTTCACCTCCAACTGGCAGGCTAGGCCGTGCTCCATGTGGCGGTTGTCCTTGTTTTTGGTAGCCTAGCTTCCTCTGTACTACTTTGTGGCTGAGTCTGGTTTTCTGCCAGTCTGACTATTTGTAAAATCTCAAGCCATTCCATGCAACTGTAACCTTAAATGTTAAGTTTCATGTGAGGTTAAGCTTTGAAGCAACCTTACTTATAAAGTCTCATGAATTTTTGATGACTTTAGCAACTGCGCCCACAAAGTTGGTTTTCCCTATCTTAGTGCCGCAGCATGAGCTTAGATTTACTCTCAGTAATGAAGAAGAGGGGTGTTGAGTAGTTGTTCCTTTCATATGGAGCTCATGTCTATCTTGAAAATATGGCTGCAGTTCGAGCCCTCACTAATCTATGATCCGATTCTACTCATATTCCTGTGTACAGATCTTGAATGGTTTGTTTTCATATGTGTTGACATCGCACTCTAGTTTGCATAACTGATGACACGCCTCTCTTTTTTGAACCCTCTTCAACCCGTGAAGCACGAAATCTTCTGCCCACAGACCGGCTCCTTTCCTTATCCGACTTTCCACGGTCTGAAGGCTGTATTTCGCTGTCTATTTGATCATGGACAGGATCTCAAACCCATTTTCTCCAGTGTTTCTCAGATCTTTGACACGCCGTTTTAACTGCGTTAGCACGAATTGGTCTATTTTTCTTTTGAATGTATGGATTATGCTGCGCGATAAGTTTTGGTTCAACAACTGATAACCGTATAGAGTGCCTATTGTCGAGAATTCTTTTAGGAAATAGAGTGAAAGTTGATAGGCTTGTCAATATATACTCAAGTCTTCAGATTTGGATATGGGTTGGTTTCTGTGGAATTCTCGTTACATTGTCTGAATAGTGCTCTGCATCACTTTCCATGAAATTTTACGTTTGTGTGCATGAGTACTTTGCAAGAACGAACATATTGTGAATCCATTCAAAACTGTCATCCACTTTATTGTGAACAGATGTCATGTCCTCACTGAGCCCTTCGCCTCTCTTTGATAAATATTTGTGGCTCTTCACAGAGCGTGATGTATACATAGAGGAGATAGGCGGTTGGCCGTATGATACTTACATGCGGGGTTGCCTCCTGGGCTGACAGGCGCTAGGCGCCCCAGTCCAGATGTGAAACTGGAAGGAGATAAGTGAGTAAAAAGAATGGAAGAATCTCGTCTTAACTGTGAGGATGAAAGTCGCACCTGAAGACGAAATGCAACAGTTTGCATGATGATGCAGATCAGCACAGATATAGCATTTGGTTCAAGCGGAAGTCACTACAACCCAAGATTAGATGACGCCTGAGATTCAAAGATTTGGTATCTTCCCAGCAAGTTGATATGGGGTTTCAATGTTCACATCTTCGAGTCGTAATGATTCATCGAGTTTGTGGAAGTTAAGCACGGCAAAGATAGGTTTGTGTAGTAACCAGGAATAAATTTGTAAGTGGGAAAAACCGAAGGGAAGCCCTGGGATGAACCCAAAGGGAGCGAACGGTACAAGTCGATGTGAGAAAGATCTCAACTGCATAATTTGTCGAAGAATAGAACGCAAACTGGTTGCAGCACACTAGGCTATCGTTGTAGAAAACTAAAATAAACCTGTACTTAAGTAAGTAGCGGAGGGCAAAAATTGCCAACTGCTATTTGCATCGAAAATTAGTGAGCCTGTAACTGTGCACTAATACTAGATACTCATTATTTTATCATTTGTAGTCTACAAAACGTAACTGATTATTTGAAGTCCAGCTGATCATGCTTCATGATATCCTCAAAACATGGAATAAACGAGTATGCGAGTTAAAATCTTAAAAAACTTGTTGAATTGTGCCATTCAACATGATAGGTGCAACCGTGAAATAAATATAACCAGGAACATGATATGTGCAAATTGAAGATAAATATCCACTACATCTGATGGTAGGAGAACACTAAACAACTCTGTTGACAAAATCAAGTTCTTAGTCAAGTCATTAGCTTTAAAGAGGTATCTCTATAGTCAGCAAGACTAACATTCTGTATTGCCATGATAGTTTCTGTACTACAATTATGATATTCTAGAACATACCACAAGCCAAATATCGGAGCTATCTATTCTTACGAATGTAGCTAACTCTGAAAAGATAGATGCAAATATGTATCTCATCATATAAAAAGACTAGAGTTTAGAAACCCGTTGAAGATGCTTGCTTTCTAGATTTATAACCAACAAGTGTTTCAATTTCTCATTGCTACACAAGAACACTATCTAGTCATATGTCTTCCAAGTGAGCTGATATAACGTTGATTGTTCATTTTATTATAGGCCTGTTGTGTTAGATAATTCAAATAAAAAAATTATGTCTTTCAACATCTGAGATATATCCTTCGTGCTAATACTTTTGTAACCTAAATCCTAGATTTTCGTTTCGTGATCTCCTTCCACAGCTGGATGGAGTCTTTCCATACTGTTATGTTTCTACCTGTTCCCTTGTCCAAGACAACTTTTCTTAGTACTCTCTTCTCTGTCTAAGCAATTCCCTTTTCTAGACCATCATACTAGTGAAAATTTCTTGAGATGATACAATTATAACATATTTAGTCATATTCAAGTTATTTAAACACTCGTTTTATTATATTACCAAATTTATGAATCAAAGATGTTTTTGGGGAAAGCTGACTTCAATGGATTTTATGGACTCAATTTTGTGGACTGTCCATGATTTCGAGACATCTTGAGGCTAACTTTGGATGTGGCGGGAGAGTATAACTTCAAAAGCGCACTACTTGCTTCTTCTTGCAATGCTCCACACTTGCCAAGTGCCATTTTGTTGCAGACTGTCTCCTAATATAAGGACCATCCAAGTTTAAGACTTATCGAAGGTGGTCAAGATTATGATGAGCTCCAACCAGACGCACTTTCACAGCCTCGGAGCAGTTGTGGCGCTTAAATAGTGCTGCATAAGCCAAGCAACCACTTGATGGACATCTGAACTGAACATCAACGATTTGTTGCAGCTGCTGCAAATCTTGGACTTGGAGATTGTGAGTTCTCACTTGACTTTTAACCTAGATATGTAGATAAATTTGACAGTATCAAAGTTCAAAATTTCTCTCTATCAAGAAAAAAGTTATTGATACTGCTAAAGATTTTACTGCACTGCTTTCAGTAGAGAAATTGAAACATGCTTGTAAATAGTTTAAAAATATGCTAAAGAATGTATTATTCTATTATGATTAGCCTTCGTGTACTCTATTATTCATATGCTAGAATTGGAATTTATATAATTCTATATAACTCCGACTTTCGAATGATAAAAATTTATAATTTATGTACACTTAATATTCAAAAACCTTGTGTATTGACTCTTTACTCATGCTTCATATGAGCCCAACTTCTAGTATTACGTTGCTTTTAAAATACGCAAGTACCACATTGACAATAGTAATAAAATCTAGCCTAAATTTAAAGATTATGAGAGAACTATACAGCATTCACCAGTGAAATATGAAGATGGATGTAACCAACCAGAACGAAATGTGGATATGACGTAAGAAATGATGAGCCTATGCTCATCATTATCACTGGATATTCAAACCAATTATTAACAACCTACATTCATACAAAATCTTGCTCCAACCATTCATTGCAATATATAAGGAATGTCCAGATACACTGAAAAGGATAATTTAGTAATATTGTATGTTGAAAAATAACAATTGCTAGAGTTCATATTGAAGAAGTGTAATGTAGTTTACGAGATTCTCACTATTATTTCTTACAACGATTTGTTCCGAGCATATGACAGTGAAAGATATCTATTGATCTGATCAAGCCACGTGGTGATGAAAGGGTGCTCTCTTCTGTCGATGAGTATACTATCGTTTACGTGAACGTGTATGATTCAGCCTTTCTGAAGTGAAGTTTTTTTAGTAACATTGCCTGTCATGTTCTGTGTCCATCAGTTTTCGCCTCTCCCTCATTTCCTCCCATTTTCACGTGTTTGTTATAGCAAACATCACAGATCAAGATTTATAAGAGGTCCACATTTTCCTCAAACAACAGGGATCCCATCCCATTCACATGTAATGCGTTGAACCACGTTGAGAAAAGCACCACACATTGAGATGGACTACTTACAGCTCGGTCGCTCTCCGTCACTCATTTCCCTCTTGTGCATTGCACACAAGCAAGAGTCTAATGTCAGACTATTTCGTGTTTAACCACATAAGAATAGGTAGTGCTTTATAGTTTTAACTATGACTCATGCTGAAGATCTGTCTGTGACTTGGTGTGTGGGTTTGGATCAAACGTCTTGTGTTTGCAAACATAGAGAGGAAAAAGGACATGAAGGCGAGGTCAGTGATTCCAAGACTGTAACGATGGATCTCTCGTGCTTATACCTGCAACCCGAAGGACGTCTGATAATACTTTATAACGCTTTCGCTTTGTCATCACGCACGGTAGACCTGACAGGGAGATTCCATGGATCAGTTTAGGCCTGTATTGACTTCAACATCTGTCTCCTTTGGGATCATTGAGACTTTTCTTGCAGACCTGGAGGTCGGGTTAATAATATGTACGGTAAGGAAGTATCCCTTTAGTGTGAAAAGTAGAGTGTCCTTTCCGTATCTGATGATGCCTCTTTAGTGCAGCGCGTCTTTGTGAATGGGGTGAAGTACAGCGAGATGCATAAAATTGTTCATAAAAACTGCGAGAAAACCGTATTGGAAGCATGTATATTCTGGATAGGCAGCACCCAAATTGTCAGAGTTGTCCAATTGTAGGTGCGCATGGTTACGAGAGTCAGACAACTTACCTCTCGGTGAAGAGTCAGAGGTTGATAATCTGACTGCCATCAAGAAACTACAGTCTGAAAAAGGGGTTACGAAGCAGTTCTTGACGACACCCTGAAGTTGAGCGAGCTTCAAAAAGTAGACATTTGAATTTCAGTTCTCACCACTTTGCTACTGCAGAACTTACTATTACGACATCAGGTTGAAAAGCGCATGTTCTTCGGTCGGAACTTCGCCGTACTTGGATTTGACACATCTTTCACCCAAAGTTGTCTTCCATTCTTGCATTCCATCTCCAGTCCGACGCAAACACTAGTGTTGTATCCAGGTGAAGAGTATCTGTCCAAATCGATGCCTCGTCAATTCCTAGCCAACAATGGTTTACCAAAATTCCCTCCCTCCTCCCTCCCTCAATCGATCTCTCGTCCACAGAATCTCGCACCAAAAGTTCTGTACAGCACACGAGGAGAGGAGAAACAAGAGCATTCTTCCTCGCTCGCTCCTTCGCTCCCGCATGAATCAGACCGAGCACAGCGATGCCACTCCACAGCAGCTGTACCGAACCGAATGCGCCCACTTGTCGACCTCTCGCCCTCCCCTCGCGCAGCCGCAGCGAGCGCTGGCTGCCTCCAGACGACAGAGTACATCAAGAATCAGCACCCCCCTCATACGCCCCAAGAAAGGGCTTGGCGTACGGTCGCCTCAAGGACGCGGAATGTACAGCGCCAGCCCCCCGACTCCTCCATCCATCCGTCAATTAGGGCTCAGGCTCAGTCAGTCGGTCGGTCAGAAGGCCATATCCGTCCGCCCGTCCGTCTGTATGTCGGTCTGTCTCTCAGACTGATGGACCGATCACTGTCCCACCCGTGGGCCGCTCCTGTAATCTAGCGGACCCCGAGAAAACCACGTCGTCCTCGACGATGGAGAGAATGGCGGAACCGACCACTGCGGACGATGTCCGACAGCAGATGAGGAAATTCCGTTTCTGTACGCTTTACCCTCCGGATCTAGAACTCGCGGATGGGGCATACGGAGCCATCACCCACCATCCATCCATCCTTCCATCCATCACATACCACGATCGGTCCTCGTCCGTCGCTGCGGCGGGCCGAAGTCCCACTGACTGCGCAGTCGCTGCAGGTGCTACACTGCAGCTTCGTCGTGCTAAGCGAGCTGGTCCATGTGCAGGCGCAGCAGGCCCCGGGGGCGCGGCCAGTGACCGGAGGGCGCCAGCGAGAGAGAGAGAGAGTGAGAGAGAGGGGGGCTGAGTTTGGGCGGGTGACAGGTCTGAGAGGGGGAAGGAAGGGGCTTGTTGGTCGAGTGCCTGTGCCCCGTCTGCAGAGGGAGGGGGACTACAGCGGGGCTACAGAGGGGCTAGACAAGCTGTCACTACGGCGAGCTCCAGCGAGGGGTTGGTGTAGTGTGAGCTGTCTAGGAGTACCTTTCAACCCCCTTACCTGCCCTCTTCATCCTCTGTTACATTCGAAATCCTTCGTCCTCAGAGAGTTTTGAGGGCGACACTGTGAATAACAATTCGATCCAACTTCCTCTCGACGGAGGAAGTGGTTTCGAGGATTCCTGTCTCAGTCGGGATACCAAGCGCGATGCCCACGTCTAAAAGGGCCAGCCAGGCATGCAATGACCCGTGGAAGTCCACATTTCAGACGATGAAAAGGAATGAAAAGAGTGTGAGACTGACATGACAGGCCCGATCCACACACAATTTCACCCCATGGAAGCGAAGGACAATTTTCCGAACGGATGAGAGAATGAATCTGATGAGAGACAGGAATAAACAATGCACGACGTGATAATAGAGTCGGAACGCCATGAGGTCATGGAGCAAATGTGTGTTTCCTTTCTTTACATATCCGGTCCATATTTTCACAAGTAAAAGAATCCTGGGGATAAAATGTATCCCAATAGTTTTCAAATATCCTCGAGGCGTTACCCTTGACTGATTGGTAGCAAGCCAAACCTTCTGCTCGGAATTTAACACGAGATCGTCGGTCAGAAGCGCCTTTTCGGCGAAAGGCCAAAAAAGCTGCTGCTGACAGAAGATCTCTGGGGCCTCTTTTCCTGAGCCGGACCGAGCGGCTCTACAAAAGATGGCCTTTGCCAAGGAGCAAATACTTATTGGGGCGAGCAGGGTGATCAATGGCTTCGAGAGCTGGTGGCAGAACAATCGGCGTCCCGCTCGACTCAGCTCTGTACAAGTTGCCGCAGCCTCTGGTCGTCGGTTTTCTCCTTGATGTTCAAGGACATATTACAAGATCTGCTTTCAAAATTGCTATCCATCAAAATTACAAAATGCCAGGTGTGTCTATGTTTATCTCCTCTCTGCTGGCTTCATCGTCATCATTCATTCATTCTATCATTCATTCATTCATTCAGTATCAATGGTTCGGCTGCCTCCTACGCTTTATCTCCAGCCCGAAACCTGAGTACACTAAGTAAAAGACTCCCCACTTCACCCGTCCATGCTTCGAAGGGTGTTCACCTTTCTCTCTTAAAAATAAAAATCTGCACGCACCCAAACGTCCAAATCCTCGTCAGAATCCTTTCCACCCATCGATCGATCCATCGACTGATCCATCTCACGTGGCGCCACCAGCATAAAATCGAAAAGGCAAGCATGAAGAAGGTCATACGTCATGGAGAAGGCTGATTTCGCAAGCTCGAAGCATGATAAAGCAAAAACTGTCAAAAACTGCTGCAAAAAGTGCAGCAGGGGAGGCCATGGGGGAGAGAGAGAAAGAAGGAAGGCTATGAAGTACCTGCAATACGCTGTAATCGTACACTCGGTTCTAATGTGACATACGTCGATGAATGATGAGGCTATGAGAGCAGAATCGACGACGACCCCGATAGAAGAATAAAATGTAAAGAAACCAATACGGCATGGAACGGGCACTCTCCGATTTCACGTAATAAAATATGAATCGAGTGAAGAAGAAGAAGCGTCTGGCATTCATTCGCCTCGCGCAGGGCAATCTCGCTCGCCGGACAGGCCGCTGGCGCGAGGGGACGAAGCTCAGACGCCTGGCTGTGTCGACTATCCGGAAGCTCTTCTGCTCGTGTCGACGACGTCGCCGGCGGCCCGATCGGAAGAAGGCAGCGAGCCCCTCCCGGACGAGGAGGATTGAATCTCTTGCATCGACTTGAAGAAGGCGTTGCTGATCAACATCTCGGCTTTTCCCGGATCCGCTACCTCGTTCGCGCCCTGTTCTCCCGCATCTCTGAGACAGAAAACGCCGAGGGCTCTCTCGTCAGCACTCACTCAATCACTCAATCTCTCAATCTCTCAATCTCTCTCCCTCAATGACAACAATGACGAGCGATGCTGATTCACCAGGCAATAAACGACGAGCAAACATTCACGAGGGCAGGTGATCACGACGTACATTTGATACGGGTATCCGTAGGAATTATCGGCCTCGGCGGAAAAGTGGCCGAACTGATCGCTGGGCACATCCACGAACGCTTTGTCGCTGTCTCCATAAGTGGCACTGCTTTGCACGAAGAGACCTGCAGAGCCGAACAAGAACCGATTCGGGGTCAGCAAAGGTGCGAGAAACACGAGAGACCACTCTCGACAATCGGCCGAAAATGTGGGGCTCGATCGGGAGCCCAGAGGACACTGGCTCAATGGCTCAATGGCAGCGAGAAACGACCAAAATGCGAGAAATTGGGGGATTGGGGGATTGGTGGGAGACTGACTGACCTTGGAAGACCATGAGGATGCCGAAGCCGAGGGTGAGCGCGAGGGCGATGAACGGGGTGCCGGAGCTGGCCGGAGCCGCAACCCTCGCCTTGCGCTTCGCTGCGGCCTGCTTCAGCATCTTCCTGCGCGCGGCAGCAGCACGATGCGCGGCGATGGTGGCCGAGTCGAGAGATGTGGCCCGTCCGGGGTGCCTGGGAGGCTTGGGCGGCTTCGGAGGCTTCTTGCAGTTCATGTTCACGGGGCTGCTGCTGTTGGGGTTGTTGCCCTTGGGCGCAATCGAGGCGCCATCCCTCTTCTGCTCGCCGCCATCGCAGCGACTGCTGCACCACGCTGGGCCCTCGGGCCGATAATGCGCCAGCGGCAGCGCATCGGACCTCGACTGCGGATCCCTGGCTTCGAACAGAGCCCCCCTCTTCGGGAAGGACTCTTTGCAAGGACTCGCCGCCATCGTCGTTGACGAGGTCTTCGTCGTCGTGTGCTCGGGCTGCAGCATTCCTGCGACGTCGGTGTTGCTGGAATCGTCGAGGTCCGAGGTCTTGAACGAATGCAGAAGCGACCCTAATCCATCGAATAACGAATGCTTGCCATCTCCCGACAGAAGCCCTCCGCAGGAAAGCTTCGGGGGCGAGAACAAAGCCCGAAATTGACTGACGAGCGATAAACATCCGTCGTCGTCGTACCCTGCAGGATTGAAGCCCGTGTCTGTGGCGCCTTTCCTCGAATCCTCGAGCCCGTGAAATGACACTCTGACCTCCTTCACTCCATTAGAAGAATCCAGCGCTTCCATGGTGATGTACGAGCGGTCCTTCTTCAAGCCATCCGGATAACTCCCCATCGATTTGGCCTCGTCGCCCTTGCCATCCCTCGACAGCCCGCACAGAGACAGCTCCAATTTCCTCGTCTGCTGCGACACTTCGCTCGATCCGAACAAAGGGCGGGTCTCCGAACCATCCTTCCTTTCCACCAACTTGAAGCAGTACTCGACCTCGGGCCTGGAAGCCTCGTCGAGGGAAATCGAATGCCACTCGGAATCCGCTGGGCGCTGCTGCTGCTGCTTCATCATCGTGTCGCCCCCTTTCCCGCAACCCACAGCTTCCTTCACTGCGCCATCGGCCTGAAGACCAAGAAACTAGGGCGCCAGCGCTCCGAGGCAATCCAGCGATCCCATCCTCGAAGATTTCGAGGCTCGCTGTACGCGAATACGAATACAGAACCGAAACAAATTGCGCACTCCTGAGAATTGCTCGTCCGTCGGTTCTTCTGAGACTAAGAGTTCATTTAGATGTTCCGGCCCTTCTCATGGACTCCATGAGGACCACATTAACTTTCCCGATGGCGTCGTCCACTTAAAGATGACCACTTCGAGGCTTGATCGGACCCTGATCCAAACCTCCGACAAGTCCTCGAGCTACAAGATGAGAAATGGAAAGAACGAATTCGAGCAATGTGACATTTTGATAGCAGGAAAACGAGCTCCTCACGGACAGCAGCTCGGAGCCATCAAGCTCGCGGGAAGAAGAAGAAGAAGAAGCAGAAGAAGAAGAGCAAGGTGATGCCGATTGCGAGAACCCGAGATCCGAGGCTCGACAGACCAGCATAGATAGAGGATGTGGTAGGAGACAGATAGATACAAGCGATCCCGCAGCACCAAATGTGGCAGCACCGGCAGCGACCGACCGACTGACGGCCTATTTCAACCAGGCCCGTGAATAATTGTGCGACCTGATGATAACGCGATGACACTCGCTGCTGCTGCTGCTGCTGCTCATCGGACCAGTGGCGCCCTGCAGCCGTCGTGCCTCTACCATGTGGGAGCACGCTGAGCCTGGAACCATCCAACTCGTGCAAGCCACCACCACAACCTCCACGAACACACCCGACCCGTCGAGGCAACGCACGAAGATTATATCCTCCGATTGGCCCCCGAATACTGCTTCTCCTGCAGAATAGGGATGTTGCTCCTCCTGCTGCTGCTGCTGATGAAAATGATGATGATGATTGAATGCAACCGAGGCCGGAAGAAATCAGAGTGCCCGGCGTCGTTGGCGTCGCACTGTGAGAGTTCCTCGTGCGGAAGAAGAAGAGAAGGAAGGGGAGAAGGCGTGGGAAGGGGGAGACGAGGTGCGTCTCTCTCTCTCTCTCTCTCTCTCTCTCTCTCTCTGAAACGGAGGACGGAGGGAAACAATCCACTGCCAAATAGACGAGATCTGGCAGCACAAGCAAAGCGAACCGAGCGAGCGAAGGCGAAAGTCGAAGAGCGTGCGCGTGCGAGCGAGTTTTGTCTCTGTCCTCGCTGTCTGGCTGGCTGCCGAGCTATTCAGCTCTATAGCTGCTACTGCTACTACTGCTGCTGCTGGTTTGCCTCATAAACCATCACCACTACTACCACCACCACTACTACTACTTCTACTACCACTCCTCAAGTGTGCATTCATGCTCATACTACGAGCGCAATTTCCTCGCCCTCTCTCTCTCTCTCTCTCTCTGTCTCTGATGACTCTGATGTGCCTGGTTCTAGTTGAGGTCGATGGATATATTCAGCTGTATAACTGAACCCGAGAGCGCAAGGCCCAAATATGGGACGGCCACCAGCAGAAAAGACGAATGCGCTCCGGTACCCATCATCAGGCCTCCCCTCCCCCGGTAACACGATCTTCGCGGCCTCGAGGGCTGGCCCACTGCGCACTGCATTCTCTTGCTTCTCGCTTTTGCGCGCTCGCTCAATCTTCTTCTTCTTCCTGTCTGCTTCCCTCTTCTTCTTCCATCCCCTCTTTCACGCCGTAACCTCCAATCCTGGCCCCCGCCCCGGGGGGGGGGGGGGGGGGGGGGGTCACCGGGCCCCACTGCTGCTACGCGCTCCCAATCTCTCTCCTCGATGCCGATGCCGATGCTGACTGACCTCATGCGTTTGAAATTCGGCTCGCAACAGTTCGTCAAATCCCTGGGGCTGGGGCTGGGGCTGGGGCTGGCTGGCCCCAATACCCCCGGCCAGCCCCCCACTTACCACTCTCTCTTCCGTTACCTTCCTGCCTGCGGCAATGCCCGGGCTCCGTCACGGCGCGGGTGCGCGGGGCTTAAAATCGGGTTTGCCTTGCCAGAGGACAGGGGGGTGGGCGAGGGGGAGGGGGAATTTTGGCTGCGCGGAGGCCACGCGCCGATTACGGGGATAAATTAGGACACGAAGCGCCGACACGTGGACCGGGGAGTACTCGAATGGACTATCGGGCGGTTCTGTTGTGGATCGCAACGTTTGCTGTGACTGGCCTCATATATCCGGTCGCGACCCTCAGGACCCCCGGTCAGCCTCAGCCGCAAAGTCGAGTGGCTAACCGCGGAGCAGGCACATAACCTCCGCCCGCCCCCTCCTCCAACTTTAACCGTGAACCTGCCGCTAACTGTTCCCGGTTTTCAACCCCCTTCCGTCCATTATAACTGCACCCAGATTTAGCAGGCCTGCCAGCTCCCCGGCTAGCCCCTTCCTTCTCTCCGGCCTCAACGGCCTTATCCGCTAAATGTAAGACCCCTGTGATCAGGACGTGAAACCACGGTACCTGACCGCGACCCACTTCCCTTACCGGCACAGTTCACTCCGGGCTGCCCGGCCTGTTATTGTACAACCGTCCAGCTAATCATCAGATCTCACAATCCGAACGAGATCCTTGGGAATATGCGATCGCGGCCTCCAAACACAGTATCGGATTCTTAATTCCGACAACCGCGTCTTCCAGCTGTAGAAGAGCTGTCGAGTTAGAGAAAACCGCACGAAATCCAACCGCGGTTCCGTTGCCCTCCTCGACCCGGGTCAGGTGCTGCCCAACAGACCCTTCCTTCCTTCCCTCCTTCAGTGCTTGGCGTGGGCGCAGCTGGACGACGGTCATTTTCTTGGTACGTCGATCCGTCTGTCTGCGTCGTCATCTGGCCTTCTAATTCGTCGCGTTCGCAAGAGCATTCGCAAGAGAAATTCTCGAGCACACGCATCGCACTCCGTTGGCAACTTCTGGAATATGTCCAAGAAGCTCCGCTATATTTTTTTATAAATCAGATGGTTCTATTGCATCTTGATTTTCCGCGAGATTTTATTTTATGGTACTTGATAACTCCGTATCTCACAAGGAACCACGTCAACGTCCAATCCCTCTTTGCACCCGCGCTTCTTGCACCGACTCGTGCTGTCCGTCCGTCCGTCCGCTCGCCCGTCCGCGTCCTAGGTCCCAACGCCAAGAATGGGTACAAAGATTTTACGGTATCGTATGAGGTGACAGGGATATATTCCGGCCCCGGATCTCCCTATCTTATAAAAGCAGGCGTCCCTGTCAACCACGTTAATGTTCTGGCTCGGGTCGTTGAAGACCATGGCCCTTGTAGCGTCACGCGAAGGCCCGCAATCGCGAGCTGAGGTCGAGGTTGCGGTACCGGATTCGGAACACGGCGAGAACAGCGGGACTGACATATGGGTCCCCACTCCAGACGTTCGGTCGTAACCACTGTGCCGTCGTACGCTGGGGGCGAGTTACAGTACTCGTAAGGGACGTGATTCGAGCAAGACCCGGTAGCGATTCCGGTTACCAGCCGCGGTGGGCGGAGATCGTCGGGCGGGATCGGATTAGGAGGAGGAGGAGGTCGTGATTAGGTACGGCGCAGGGGCGGACGGAAGAAAGGTCGTGACTGAAAGCTGAGCTGCCCTTCCTTCTACGGATCGGCATGCCACCGACGATCTCCTCGGAAACTGCGAGTCGAGTTTTCATGATGCCGCATACTCAGCGACGATGCCCTGATTTGGCACCCCTCTGTCCGAGGACGTGGCAGGCACGAGTTCGACTTGGAGGCTGACTGGATGATTATCCTCTAAATTCCCGTTGATGGGTTGGCGGACCTAACATTAACCGCGGTTGTCAACCGCGCTCATCATCGTGCCAATGGATACCGTGGACTTCCCTACCTCGAACAGTTCCAACCACGTCCTATATCTTGCCCATGGCAGCGACTCACAGTACCAACCTTTCTCTCGTCCCGACTCTCGTCTATCTGGCAATGCCAGGCAGTCGCCCGACGCCTCCGGAAAAAGCCACAGCCGACGGCCGCAAATGGCGACTATGTCGCGCGCGGCCGAAGTGCGTACCACGACCGGCATCCAACCGCGTTTCGTCCTCGTACTGTACGTAAGCCGGGGGGCGTCTCGAGCAAGACTGTCGTGAGAGACTCATCCGAACATGTTCAGGATAAGTGTAGTAGTTCGGTCGATGGGTCCCTGTGGTCGAGAGAAGATGGTGCCGCCGCGACGTGGTCGGGTCTCGTCTGATCAACCGCGTCGATGGGACTCAAGAACGGCCAGCTGTCGTGCGTGGTAGGCGCTCGTGGCGTCCGTCTCCTGTAACCGATACGGTTGAACACGAACAACGGTTTTGCTCTCGACGAGCTTGCAGTGCGCGTCCTTTGACCAGGGTGCCGGGCGAACGTTTGCCTTCCGTTCTCGTTCCCATACGAGCTGTTCTTCCTCTGGATCCACATCATCCACCGAATTGACTTTTGTTCCTTCATTTTTTTTCATTTATTTAGACTGAGCTTACGTTAGTCCACACTGATGATGACTTGTGCATAAATTGGACCACTCTAAAGGTTAAGAATTAGTCTATGGAACCCCGGAGCGATTGAAATACTAACGGTTTCCTTCACATCCAAAGAAGTGTGGACAGAGAATGGGATGCACAGCATCATTTCTGCAACTTGGCCCGGATGTCTTGCAAATGGAGGTATGGAGGGCTCTTGGTGTTCCAAAAATGTTGAAATCTAGGACTTTGAAAATGTCTCCTACCGGTGTGATGAAAGTTTTGTTTCTCGCGGAAAAAATGGCAAGTATCCCATCAATTCTTATTATTTATTGTCATCCGCGCTTACTTTATATTTTTTGTAAATCACTTTCGATTTCTCTCCAAACTTCCGAGGTGCCTTTTGGTGACGTTAAATTCACATCAGCATGGGAAAAGTTCTAGTTCTCTCCTTGACTTTCACAACACTTGTCAACTCGTGTTGGTCTCACTAAGTTCGTGTAAGAGCGTAGAGCTGAAATGCTGGAAAACCCTCGAATTTTCGAGGGTTCACTGACCGACATTGTCGATCATGTCAGTGACGTAAACTTGATAAAGGGAGGGATGTCTCGACGTCTTGATCAAGGGATGACTCCGGCGAATGGTTGCCCATTCGCATCGAGCTAACGCTCACGCTCAAGTGGTACTGACATTTTTTATACATTGCATGTCTCGTTGCGCTGAACTTATGCTTTCCATGCACACACAGTGGAATGAATTAAATATGTACGTCACGTGTTATGGACATGATGTGCTCGTAACCAGCGAAATTTACTGACACCTTCACATGTACGCAATGTCATATTGCCCCGGAGAGGTGCTGTTCCCTTATTCGCATGAAATCCTGGGAGTAAATCCCAAATGTCACCATGATCAAAACATTATCTCATTGTCTTGACTCTTTCCGACCGACTCTCACAACCACAGGGGGATTCTCCTCTTGTGGACGGAGATTTGAGGACCCCGCGGAGGCGAGCCAATGAGCTCTCGTCACTGTTAGTTTAGCGCAATTCCCTCTTTTCTGTATTGATTCAGTCATTTCTGAGAATGTGAATGTTCTGTATGCGAGGCCAATTTCTGGCACGACGAGGGCGTGCCTTTTTGTTTCAAGCAGCCCGCAGAGTAGTACATCGTAGTACCTAGCCATGGCTGTGCAAATTCTTCCGTTATTTTGCTTTAGCGTGTCCCGCCCAAAGACAACAGATACGCTATCAACGACGTGACCCCAAGTACTGAGACATTACGAGAATGTCTTTTTGTTTCAGGGAGCCCACAGACCACAGACCAACACTGTCGCGAGTCTGCAATGTTCCAACTTTCTCGTGATTCTTTGCTTTAGCACGCGATGCCCAAGAAACCAGCCGCATAACAATACGAGATGCCGGACGATCATCCGAGAAGTGGGTGGAAAAATGCAAGAATGTGTACGTGAGAGTAAAAATGTCCACAAAGCTCAGGCATGCAAATGTGGATAGTGCATCCTCGTCGAGCCCACTTGTGAATTTTGACCATGTCTTCATGTATCAAACCGAAGCCTATAGACTAGCCGTCGTTGTGCAATCTTCTCACG